GAGGGAAGGGGCCCCTCCAGGGACTGTTTAACCTCACACACGAACACACGAACACACGGTGTATAAATACATACACACATGTGTAATTGTACATGCACGTCACAGTTCCCCCGTGTGCACATCATCGCAGCTCCGCCTGGGTCTGCACCGTCCGCGCGGGCTGTGATGCCTTCATTGGCTCTGCAGAATCTCAAGAGATTCGCAACGCTGAGCCGAGGCTGTCCATGCGGTCAGCGCCCCTAATGACATTACGCGCGCTGACGCCCGGCGCTCGGGCAAGGATGCGATGCACCCCCCGGGGTCTCGCTAAAGGTGGATGGGTGGGGAAGAGCGATGATCCGCAGTGAAGGCAAAAACCAGAGCCCAGCTCCATCCAATAATAGAACCGACGCTGAGAGCACGAAGCTTAATTAAGCGCGTAACGAGCACTGTACGAAGGAAAGACGCCACGTCACACAGATACACAAAGACAAATGTCCCCCGTATAGCCGTTAACAGACTGTTGGGACAAATTATGTCAGCAAACACCTATAACGGCCGGCACGGCACACGAGTCGGTGGGTGGCCAATACCAAGCCCGCCGCCTTTGTCTCCCCAATGCTGATGTTCACACACCGGCACTCATTTAAGGCTAAGTCGACCTTCGGGAGGCCCACGACCGTTTCAAATATTCGCCAGTTATTGGTCGTGAATGAGAATCGAACTCTGGTCGCCGAGTTTATAGCGCAGTGTGATAATACACGGCCGTTCCCCACGTATAGACACGCACATACATACACACAGACACACACACAAGACAATGATCCCTCGTGTATTCTGAAGGCCGGCATAACACACGGGGTGTTGGGGGGGGTGAGGGGGGGTGGCCACAGGACGCCCGGCCACCTTTGTCTCCCTAGTGGCTATGTTTAAACATCGCACCAGCTACTCATTTGAGGCTGAGTCGACCTAGGGGAGGCCCTAGACTGGTTCAGATAATCGTCACTGGTATTGGCCGTGAGCTGGAATCGAACTGGAATTCTTAGCACAGCAACGCTGACTAACCGCTCCACACAAACACGGGGGGGGGGGGGTGGCTGGCGCCTCCTCGTTTGTACACGCGGCCCACAAGGACGGTATCAAATCAAGCACGTATGGTAGTCACCCGTGTCATAGTAAGCCCTGTCAGTCGCCCGTGTCATAGTAAGCCCTACCAGTCGCCCTTGGTGATAGTAAACCCTGTTGGTAGCCCGTGTGGTAGTAAGCCCTGTCAGTCGCCCTTGGTGATAGTAAACCCTGTCGGTCGCCCGTGTGGTAGCAAGCGCTGCCGCGCATTGCAGGGGAAGGGTTGCGAAATCAGCATCCCGGGTGAACAACAGCACCTTCAGGCCGCGCCGTGAATTCGTTCAGCACCCACCGCGCGGACAGTTCCCGGGTCTCACCGATACGAGATCTGTTTGCGGATGGCGAGATGCGGGAAGCGGCTCTCCAGGGACGTCCCGGCCTCCTCCCCCGGGCTCGCACCGCCCGCAGCCGCGGCGGCGGCCACCCTCATCACCGCGTCCGCCTCTCCTCGATCGGCGGGCGCGGCCGACGCCGAGTCTCTGCCCCGCGCCTCAGCCATGGCTGTCGGGGCCTCGCCTTGCCGCGCTGCAGTCGGCTCGCCCAGCGAGGCGGCGGCTGGGCTGCGTGTCTGCGCGGCGGCGAGATCTCACGTCCCCTCGCTGGCTACGCCTCTCTCTCGCGGCGCGCTCATGGTTGGTGACGGAGCTGCGCGCTGCCGCCGCCAGCTGACACCGCGGATCCGCGGCGAGGCGTGCGACGCGCATGCGCCTCCCCCCGCCGCGTCGCCCCGCCGCTCCTGATCTTGGGGGCGACTTCGTGAGTGGAGCGGGGGGGGGGCACCGAGATGACGCTCGACAAAGGACGGGGAAGTTTGGTGCGAGGTGTCAAAGTAGGGGACGGTGAATATGCGAGCGACTGGCCAATGCGTGAGCGATCCCATAATTCTGCCTGCAAGACAGTTGTTCACCCCATAAGCACCAAATTATTCGCCCCAATCAGCGTGGGCATCCCCAATCGGAAACTGAAAGGAACGGAATAAGCGAACCCAGCGGCACGGAATACTCGTGTCAGAAAACTCATGAATGAAACCCTCCAACGTATCCCTCGTCTTCGTATGGCAGCACATCCTATGCTGTTGCCTGTACATGGTTTTGAGACGTGGCCACATTCGGACTGTGATAGCGAGGTCGAGACGTCACCGTGGCCAGACACGGCACCTCCTCGCCACCAATGCTCTCCACTCTCCGCCAGAACCCACGGCTGCTGCTGCTGCACAGGAAGACACGCAGCGACCGCCAATATCTGCCACGGCAGTCTCACGCCATCTTCCCTGTAGGTCTTCCCATCTGCTTGGTCGCCCAGCTCGTGGAGACCTCTCCAGTGCCGTCCTCCCATCTTGCACACGCGTCCCACCCAGGGCAGCCGTTCCTGCCTCATCACACCCACACCACTCACCTTGTCACGTTCTCTTGTGGACTTCTCCATTGCTGGATGTTGAACTTCTGTCACACCGTACGTAGTCAACCGTTCAAATCTCATACACCTGGGTTCGAATGCCATCAATTTATATTGAAGCTGCCGAGTTGAGGTTCAGATCTCTGATCCGTACATTCAGATCGCACTCATTGTATTCGCGAAGCCCTCTGCATACGATCTCCATTAGCTACATGGACAGTCCGTTTGTCAATCCACTGCTGGATGATGGCCTCCCCGCACCGTGAGGGTAATATGGCCATACTTCACCATGCCAGAAAGAGCGGGTTGAGGGCTGCAAGGCCCGGGATTTTACTGCACTGCCCTCTACAGCCCGAAACGCTCACTACAACCGCTTTATGCACGGCACTCACCAATCTAAGCACGATCCAGGCTCAACTTAGCTGAGCTTGCGAGATTTGACGGGATCGGACACATTCCGGATGATTTGTGGGGAAGTCAACACTGGTCGTCCTGTGGATAGAATCACCCCCGACATAGAAATGATGAATTTCCACGACTGGCTCAGGGCCATACTAAGTTATCAATGCTACGATCCTCACTGCACGACACCTGTCATGACGCAACAGCGGCATTGCGTACCCAGTGCCAAACAACAGCGGCGCACTGGCTACTGGGTTTCAAGGCTACTCACGTCCCCACGGAAACTCTTTATTTAGGAGGGTCCAGCACTGAGACGTTATGGCCAAATACAAGTTTACATTTTAACTGGTGTTGCACCTCCGATTAGCACGGTTGGCTGTGTACGGTGCAAAAGAAGTTCAACATACATAGGTGCTGTTTTGTTGCAACGGGAGGAAATCGGAGAACGCACAGGAAAATCATGAAAAGCAGGGGGAGAACATACAAACTCCATACAGACGGCGCCCGAGTCTAGAATCGAACTTGGGTCCTTCCTGGCGGTGAGGCAAGAGTGTCACCACTGATCCACCCTGATGCCCCGATGTGCCACATTAACCGGGATTGTTGTGTATCCATACGTCACACTGGTCAGTGCAGGTTAGCTAGTCAGGTCCTGAATAGGGCTGGTGGTGCCACAGGAGGAGGATCTCTCGGATGTCGCGAAACTCCCCTCCAGGGGGCATCAAGAGCGCTCCTCCGTCACCTCGCTCGCCAGGGGATGGCGGTACAGCACACGTTGTGTCTCCACTGGCTCCGTTTGCATGAGATCGAGTGTTTCCCCCTTGCATGCGTGGGGTTTCTCCGAGTACTCCGGTTCCCTCGCACAAGTAAACGTTGCTGTAATGTATTGGCCGATAACACCTTCGTATATAGAGGACAGCAGAGATTGGGTAGTAATTGTGGCTGCTGCTGCTGCCTTCCTGCTCATCTGTGGTTGCTCCTCCTTGCGCCTCTAAGAGAGCGAGGAGCGGATACCGTGCGCTGCGTCACAAGCCGAGATGAGAATGTAAATCAGCGTTTGCCGTTATTGGCGACTGCACCGTACATGGCGGTGAATCCCCTGCACCCAGAGTAGCCAGGGCCACGACTCAAACACCCTTCTACCTTCACACGCAGCGTTCTCCGTTTCCAGAGCCCATCCAAAAGTCTTCCCGGCGAACGCCTCCTCCTTCTCATCACAGCCCCCCCCCCACCCAGCCCCCCGTGACGGACACCACGAGGTCCTCCTCTGAGCGAGCTGTCTCTGTCGAGTCAAGCGGCGCACGAGGCGATCGCCTGCGACGCCGCGTCGATGGCAGGGGACCGCGCGCGTTGCAGAGCTCGTTACGTGAGCGAGAGTGAAGGAGTGAAGGGAATGAGTGAAGGGAATGAGTGAAGGAGTGAAGGGAATGAGTGAAGGGAATGAGTGAAGGGAGGGAGTGAAGGGAGGGGCTGGTCAACGTGCTCGTCGGCTATGCCAAGCTCGCCATTTACAGGGCGAGGAAGGTGGCTCTGGAGGGGAAACGTCCGGCCAACAGCCTGGGCATCTTCCGAGATCTTGTCGGAGCCAGGGTGTGTGGGCTGGAGTTCCGCTATGCGCGGCTGACCCACGCCGTGCCGGCCTTCAAGGAGCAGTGGGCGATGGAGGAGGCCGTGTGCTCGGTGGCAGATGACGGGGAGCTCTGCATGCTGATATGAGCTACCCGTCGGAGGCCGTCGGACTGCGAGAAGGGCTGCGTGCAGAACGAGAGAGAGCGAGAGAGAGAGAGTGAGCGAGAGAGTGAGCGAGAGGTGGGGGTTTACATAAAGCAAAGTTTAAAAATAAAAAAAAATGTTTACGAAATGATGAACGAAGCAAAGTGCCGACTACACCGAGCATCTTCTTGTTTCCACTGATCGTAAAAAAAAGGAGCGAAGGGAAGGAGTGAAGGAGTGATGGGAAGGAGTGAAGGGAGGGAGTGATGGGAAGGAGTGAAGGGAGGGAGTGATGGGAAGGAGTGAAAGGAGGGAGTGAAGGAGTCCCGTGAAGGCGATTAGCGGAGTCGCCCGGAGTGAGCGAGGTGACTCGGGGCCCCGTGCCGAGTGAACGAATTCGATTTTTGGGCGCGGCACTTCCCCGGGTCTCGCTCCGTGAAGAGGTTTCGCCTCTGTTCTGGCAACGCGACTCGGCGCGACGCCCACATCCCAGGGAGTTCCTTACCCCCTCTTCCCCTTCCTTCCCGGAGCCGTGATCACGAAGATGGACGTGGGCACAGAGAGCGAGGGCGCCTTGCTCCTTGCGGAGGAGGAGGAGGGGGACGAGGGGGAGGGGGAGGCGGTGAGGCGGGCGGGCGAGGAGACGCTGCCGGGCCCGGGCGAGGTGGAGGCGGCGCTCGTCACCGCCGCCTTCGTGGCCACGTTTGACGCGCGGACAGGTGCGGGGTGGGGGGGGGTCACACGGCGGGGACAGGTGCGGGGGGGGGGGTCACACGGCGGGGACAGGTGCGGGGGGCGGTGCGGGGGGGACAGGTGCGGGGGGGGGGGTCATACGGCGGGGACAGAAGTCACGGGGCGCCCGTCCCGTGCTGCGTGTCGGTGGTGTCGGTGGTGTCGCCCTGCGGATTGAGACCCGCTGGGTTCGGGCCACGAGGCGGCGGAAGGGGGCAGGCATCGATCTGGCGAACAGAGCAGAGTGACGCGAACGTCCAAAAGACTGTAAACGCCTCCTTCCTGGCTTTGCCATTCCTCCTCGCTCACTGCCAACCTCATCAGAACGTCAGCCCGTCGATGCGCGTTTCTTCTTAATTGTAAAATTAAAAACAAGCCACAATAGTGCAATTGTGGCCATGCAACCCAAATGATAGACCATCGAGTAAACTCGTAGAACCCCAGAGAAATACGCAGATATCCCTATAAATAGAGAGTCATAGATACACATATACATACATTAAAGACAACCCAAAGTATAATTGTGGCCGTGCAACCCAAACTATGGACCGCATACTAAACCCACTGTTGTCCGTGCCCCTTTGACGGAGGATGAACAGCAAAACGACACGAACTCTCTCTCCTGTTGTGCCCTATCGTCGTGGCCAGCGGCAGACATCGACTTTGACATTGAGCTCCTAACCATATCGCCAAACGCAAGAATAGAATTACATCGATCGGAACGGGGCTTTGTTACGGACTCGTGGGGGGAGTGTGGTGCGGGGTGTGAAGAGTGATTTGTGTCGACAGGGAACGGGCTGGAGTGGTGCGCGCCTCACGATGCAGCCCTGGTCGGTGTTGAGTTCAAGGCCATCGCGAGTGGAGCTCACAACATCACTTCTGACTTCACGTGCGGGTCCCTCACTCCTCACAGTCACTTCTAACTCCCAAGTCACGCACATCACATTTACACCTGCACGGTATCCAGTCTGCACGTCCCCATTGAAAGGCTTTGGGTCGAGGCCCGCTGGTGTAAATGAGCGCGCATTGCTCACAGCCGTGTGTGTCCGGGAGTCTTTGTGCATGTCAGTAAGTGAGGGAGCGGTAGTGCAGCGGTTAGCACATTGTGCTTACCGACCTTGCGACCCAAGTTCAATTCCCGGCTACCGACAATATCGAATATCTGAACCGAATTTGGGCTTTTTCGAGGTTGATTTAGCCTTAAATTAGTATCTGATGCGTGTAAATACACCACTGGGAAGACAAAGGCGGCTAGGCGTGGTGCTGGCCACCCACCTGCTCGTGTGTCATGCCGGCCTTCATTGGCGCTCACTAACAGCACATGCCTCAATATCCTGTTAAAGCCTACAAGGAGGATTTTTGTATTGCGTTGTATGTCCGTGTGTCTGTGGTGTGCGCAGGTATTTCCGAACGGACAGCGCCTTTGGGTTGGCTCACTTCCACAGCCGGCGCGTGGACAGCGGCCCAGAGCGAGGCGTCCGTGTCAAGTCTGTGGGGGCCCTGTCCCCCAGCTACGCCACCCTCGCCTTGCACTCGACCTTCCTCCAGGAGCAAGTCAGGTGAGAAAACAACCCAGCAGTTGCCCCGCTTGTTCGGGTAATGGCACAGCCGCCTGAGTGCGTGCTCATGCCACTGCTGACAGGAGGGTCTTCATTAGAGGGAGTTCTAGAGAGCCCAATGAGACGCTCTTTGGTCTACTCTTCCACGCTGGCCAGACGTCTTGGAAGAGGTGGGGGGACTCGGACGCAACCTGCAGTGAGGAACTGAGTCACCCTGCTACCGAGGGGACAGTGGTGAGTGGCAATCGAGCAAATTGCGCAATTCTTTCTGCCATGGCATAAGGTGGAAGTGAACCGGAGACCTCTGGTTTGCAAGTCCATTCCGCACGAACCACTTCACTACTGCTGCGGCAGCTACCTTCATTTCTCGGTGAATATGGGAAGCAGGAAACTCCGACGTGTGTGTTGCTCGAGACATGCTCTATTTGTGTGCGGCAAGCCCGTGACTGATTTTTCTAAAATAAAGCCCGTACTTGATTATGGCTGATGGTGATGCTGATAATGTTCTTGATGTGTGGAACAGGAGGCAGCTTGACGAGCCAGGGCAATACGAAGCCCTCTCGGAGTTCTACGAGCAATACCGAGCAGTGCTGCCCCTCACCACCGAGCTCCCCACCACCCAGCCCCCCTCAAGCCAGCTCCCCTCAACCCGCACGCCACTCTCCTGGGATCGTCCTCTTCTGCAGGTCCAACATGAACACCTCAGCCAGCCCCTTTCTTTAGACCAACTCAAGCTTGAGACGTCACCATGTGCAAAACCGTTGATGATGCCACCACCACCACAACCTCCACCCTACCACTGCGTTCTCCCCTCTGCCACATCCCACAGCTGCTGCTGCTACTGCACAGTAGAGAAGCACATTGACCTCCACGATCCTCCCTGGCCATCTCCCTCACCACCATCTGCCCTTATTTCGTCTCTTCCCCTTGGTCACCCAACTCGTGGAGACTGGCCCTCTTCCCGAGTCCTGCATGCGCGTCCTACCCAGTGCAGCCGTTTTTATCTGTATATGACATCACCTCTACATGATGCTACTCAGTGCGGTCGTTTCTGCCTGATCATATCTACACCACTCAGCCTGCTCCAATGCTTATCCTGTCTCACCATAAAACTCCCAGCATCCTTCTCAGACAGCTAAGCTCAAATGCCGGCAATTTCTCTTCAAGCTGCCAAGTTAGCCCAGCTCCATTGAGCACTCCTGCCTCAAATATCCTTCTGTTTACACTCACTCATCTCCTCTTTACAGCCCTGAGCCTGCCCTTGTGAGTGCCGATGTTAGTGCTGGGGTGCAGGACAGTGTGCAAATGTGAGTGTCGGTGCGAGTGCTGGCGAGTGGCGCAAGTGAGATACGAGTGTTGTGCGTGGTGGTGTTTGCACTGCGTGCAGGGCCACCATGCAGGTAGCCTCTCCCGGCTTGTGAACTGCTTCGGGCCGAGCGTGTTCTGCCTCTGGAAGTTGGTTCTCCTGCGCAAGAGGATGCTGCTCTACTCGCCGCCCCCGGTGGGCGGCGCGTGCCTCCACGGTGGGCGGCGCCTACACCTCCCCACACGCACCACAAACGCCTTGCCCATTACAACTGGGGGTGTGTTAACAGTGATTACACTGTGTATCAAATGTGTATTTTTGTTCCTGGGTAGTGTTATTTTCGTATTGCTTATGCTTCAAAAGTACAGAAAATGGCTATTATTCCCCACAAACTTTGATTTTGTGACCAGGACAGTAATATTTTGAAATTTACATATTTTACAAAACATTCCAGATAGATTCAGTGCTGAATAAACTTCTAGAATATTCTAGAAATTTCCATTAATATAAATAGTAGTATAACTACAAGGGCCTTAAGCCCACCAGTTCCGTTTAGTTCCAGCTGCCTAAGTGGATACATATCTGCATTTTGCTGAGATGGCATCAAGAGGCTGCAAGCATCCAGCAGACGCATTTTTCTGTCTGCGACCAATTTATCAAGACGAGCGAAAAAGTACTCTGTGGAAGCATCTGCTAAGATGTGTGAGGTCTACAAGGCATATTTCGGCATGTCTTTCCGGGATCAAGACAAACCCTGGGCACCTCATTTCACCTGCGAGCAATGCAAAAAAACTCTGGAAGGTAAGATGGACAATTGTTGCTCGGAATTGTTATAAAATTTGTTACAGTTTTTTACTATAAAATGTTTTACAATTTTCAATGTTATTGAAAAAATATATCATATATTATAAATGTTGCGAGAATCTCTTACACATTAGTCATGGGTGAAATAAATGTATTTTTGTAGGATGGTACAGAGGGGAAAAGATAGCCATGAAGTTCGCTATCCCAAGAATTTGGCGGGAACCCACTGACCACTCAAGCAACTGCTACTTCTGCATGGTGGACCCTTCCAAACGTCGGAATGGCAAGAATGCACCTATCACGTATCCGGACCTTCCTTCATCCATACTGTGGGTACAGGGAGCTCATGCCACACTGCCATGAGCTCCCCATACTCACTCCTCCGGAGAGCAGCCGTCTTTAGAAGAGAGCAGCAAGTCAGAGAGCAAGGAAGACGTTGTAGATCCAGATGACAATTTCAGAGGTGGAGCTGAGGAGAGAAACCCATACTACCCCAACCAAAATACATCAATGCCGAGCTTTTGACGTATAGGCTAAAGCAGTGGAACTTGTTGGATGAAAGTGTGCAAGTCGCAGATCAGAGGAAGCATCACCAACCTTTTTGCAGCTTCTTCACCCATCAAGATGGGTTCTGCTTCTGCCAAAATGTGATCAGTCTGTTCGAGGCAATCGGAATCGCCTGTAACCTGAATGAGTGGCGCCTCTTCATTGACAGCTCATCCAGGAGCCTCAAAGCCGTGCTGCTCCATAATGGTAACAAGTACCTGTCTCTTCCCCTGGCTCACTCGGTGCACCTCAAAGAGGATTACAACAGCATCAAGACCTTGCTGGATGCCTTGAAGTATGATGAGTATGGCTGTGAGGTCATCGGAGACTTCAAAATTATGGGTCTCCAAGGCGGTTTTACCAAGTTTCCTTGCTATCTTTGCCTTTGGAACAGCAGGGACACCAAGGCGCACTACTAGACAAGACTGACCACAGTGGACCGAGTTCTCTGTGGGGTGGAGCAACGTCAAGTGGGAGCCACTGGTGGACCCCCGGGAGGTGCTGATGCCACCACTGCACATGAAAATGCGCCTTATGAAACAATTTGTCAGAGCTGTAGATAAGGTGTCGGCAGCCTTCAAGTACCTTCAAGTCTTCTTCTCTTCGCTGTCTGAGGCAAAGATCAAAGCCAGTGTTTTCATCGGACCACAGATAAAGAAGATCCTGGAGTGCAATGAATTCCACAAGAAGCGCACTAGTAAGGAGAAAGCGGCTTGGAACAGCTTTGTCACAGTGGTTCGTGGCTTCCTGAGCAATCACAAGGTCAAAAACTATGTGGAGCTGGTTGAGAAGGGTGAACAACGGCACAATGGGCTGTAGGATGTCCCTCAAAGTCCATATCCTTGATGCTCATCTTGATAAATTCAAGGAGAACATGGGAGTATACTCGGCGGAGGAGCAAAGCGAGCGCTTCCACTAGGACAGTATAACGAGAACATGATGGGAGACTACATTTGGGGGCTGATTCGTGAACGTGATTTACAGAATAATCGCAAAATCTCCAAAATCGACTTACTTCTAAACCTTTTGTAGTAATTTTTTTTATTACTTTAGTATAAATACATGTACATTTTTATTCATGTTGTTTTTTATACTTTATGTGAACGAAAATGCACACATTTGCCCGTTTTCTCATTGAAAATAGGTAAATTTCCAAATATCACTGTCCTGGTCACAAAAGCAAAGTTTGTGGGGAATAATAGCCATTTTATATACTTTTTAGGCATAAGCAATTAGGAAATAACACTTACTACCCAGGAACAAAAACTGTGTTACATCGTGTTATTTTGCATTACAAGTAACGGCATGAAAAATCATCTGAAAAACGTGGAAGAGTAGACCAAATACCCTGGAGGCGCGTGCGCGAGCTGTGACACGACACAGATTTGAAGATTTTTTTAGGATTCAAAATGCAGGATGCCTCGGGAGTCCCGGCATGAGCTCGTTACGTGGTGCACACACACGTACCGTTTGAAGTGCAACTTAATTTTTTTTATTATTTAGCACGTTTGGAATTCACCCCATTATCATAGCGCAAGGCTTCAAGCAGAAAGGCGCTGTTGTGTTTCACAGACACAGGCTGCATTTAGTTCCACAGAAGGGACAATGTTGCCATGGGTAATGCCAATATTTAGCAGTGTCATTTTGAGAATTTGGCAATTTGGACCATGACGCCGGCACACAGCGGCCTATTAATTTATAATGACATCACATCCACTGAGAGGCAGACGGAGCATGTTGTATGGTTAATATCCCCACAGTATAACGCAGCAATATAATCAAGGCGGCCTTCCGGTTCAAACCTCGAACCACTGCAACGAGCACCGAACGCGCTACCGCTGGGCCGCACCGCCGCTCAGAACGACGCGAACAAGAACGCCAACAATCGCTGGCTAAGTCGCAGCCGCGAGCGCTCCATAAGTCGTGGTGTGTGCTCCGCACAGTGCTCTGCTGCTGCTGCCTGGGGAGCCACGGCCAGGCTGGGCTGGGCGCCGTGCCGCCCCTCAAGCCGCTCTTCTACGTCAGCGTGGCCGACATCGGTTCGCTGGAGTCGGAGGTCACCTACATCGCGTGTGAGTGAACGCACGCGCACAACAGCGTCCACGTGGGGGATGGGGGTATTTCCCGAGCTCTGCTCGTTTAGTCCCCGCGGCTACACTTTCAGTTGCCATCCCTTGGTGGGATAAAAGATTCAGAAGTGACACCACGAGCAGGGTTGAGCCTGGTTAATGCTGAGTGGAAGACTGCTTGGGAAAAGCAGGTGCTGTCGGGTCGGGGCTGGCTGCGAGGTGGCCAAGAGATGGAAGGACGGCAATGGATTCTTGAATTTATCTGTGGGGAGCTTTGAGTGTCGCCCCCTCCGATGTGCCGGGTGTTTTCTTCAGGTTCGCCAGTTTTCTCCTGTAATAAGCCAAACTCTCATTAAAGGAAATGGCCAAACATCCCATAAGAGCTTGGTTTCAAACAGAGCCTGGTCTATTTAGAGATCAAGTGTTCACCCCCTCGCACGTGTGGGTTTTCTCCAGGTACTTTGACTTCATGCTACACTGATTCATGGAGTTTTTCAAACATCCTTATATAGGGTGACAGAGCATGGGCAATTGTTAGGATATGTTCCCACTCATTTGTGGTTTCCTGCGCATCTGTGCAAAGATTGCAGATTAAAATTCCTACAGTATTTTGAGCCAATTTGCATAAACGATGTGTAAAATAAAATAATTACTCTGAATGCACCAGATGTGTCCTGGGTGGATCGTGAGTTGTGCTTGCAAACGCTTGGCTGCTCCTCTCGACAGGCACGACAGAGAAGGTGTTTGAAGACAAGACGGCACTGTACGACGTGTACGTTGACCGGCAGAGCCTCCGCTCGCACCACAGTCACCTGCAGGGCCTGCTAGCGCCTACACGTGCCGACCAAAGCCGCTACCAACAGCTGGTGACGCAGAGGTGCGCGCATCACGAGCACCACCACGAGCCTCACTGTCACGACCATCACTGCCGGTCACTTCAAGGCTCCGTGCACAGAGGCCACGTGGAGTCTACCATTGGGACAACCAATGCTGACTTAATTACCAATTACAAGGTAGTACTCATTTTAATGACTCCCAACCAGGATTTGAGCTTGCCACTTTCCGATTGCGAGTTGCCCGCTCTACAGCTGGGCCACCTGGCCGGCGGCTAAATTCAAGCAGCATACATCATCGTCACGAGACGGTGGCCTCATGGCAGGGCACGGTTTGTTTACCCGTAAGTGCGCTTGGCTGTGTGGGGTGCGCGTGCGTCATCCAGGGAGGTGGTCTCGACAGGCCGGGATGGAAGCCAGAACCTCGACAACGGATTCCTTCTAACGTACGTCGGTGTCATCACGAGAGCCAAGTGGAATCCTTCATCCCTTCACACTTGATGCGTCTCCTCTAGAAACCCGCCGTGCCCTGCTGTGGCACGTGTCTGTATTGCACGTGAACGAGTGGTTTATTTGCGGGTCACACGGACACGCGCATCTGGTGCCACCCAGTGGCTAAATCTGAAAAGAAAAATATCCCACAAGGACCGAGGTCTTTACCCCCGAGTGTTACCAACATCAAACTGGGCCACTCCCACCTTCACCCGCATCATTAACACCAGAGACATTGTCCGAGCCGACTTTTGTTGTGGGGCTTTAAATGAAGGAACATTTACATATGGTTGTGCAGTATTTCGGATTTCTTCTACAATGTGGTTGTTTTCATTCGTAATTTCTATTTGCTGCACCGTTTCACCGTTGATGCGGTTGCTCGTCATTGTGGTGAACCCAGGTCACTCTTGCGAATGAGTCTCACTGGGCTAGACAAGCACGAGAAACTCGACTGCAGTTGAAAAACGTATGGCTGCATAAGGGGGTCTTTAAAGAGCAGTTTCATGGTAACCTTGTGCTTGTGAGACTGTCAGACAGGCTACATTCGGCGTGGGTGGCTGCACTGCACAGCGATTCACATCAAGTGTGTGGGCGTTCTCTTTATCGGAGCGGTGGTGCAGTGGTTTGCTCGGTGTGCTATGTTGAACTTCTTTCGCACCGTACGTAGCCAACCGCGCTAATCGTAGGTGTGAAAACGGAGATGTTTGAGGACAAGACGGCACTGTACTATGTGCTATGAACCTGGCGACCCGAGTTCGATTTCTACTCACGGCCAACACCGTTTACGATTATCTGAACGAATTTCAACCTGTCCTGTGGCCTCCCTTAGATCGACTAAGCCTTAATTGAATACCTGGTGCGGTGTGGAAAACAAAGACGGCCGGGCGTGGTGCTGGCCACCCACCTCCCTGTGCGTCAGGCCGGCCTTCATAGGTGCTGCTCGCTAACAGTACTTTATCCAACAATCTATTAAGGCAACATGGGGAATCTTTGGTGTCGTGCTGAGCAGATTCTTCCGGGAGCTGAATGCACGCGTGCTGGGCTCGCTGGTGCGCCTGGCGGTCAGCGGTGTCCGCGAAGTCACCGAGTCGGACGTGTGCCGCATGGGCCTCGACCCCGTGGCCGACCGACTCTTCTTGGCCGATCTCATCGACCTCTACACCATCAATGTCACCATCTCCGCCGACAACCCCTGCTGCCCCTAGGTCTGCACGTGCTGCACCAGACAACGGATGCCGTGTAGGTTCGATTCCCAATTCGTCTTTGTGTGGAGTTTGAATGTTCTCCCCTTGCTCTGCATGGGTTTCCTCTGCATTCAGTTTCCTCCCATCGCAAAAAAACATACAATGTAACTATTGGACAAATGTATAATGCTGAAAAATCACCTGCAGGTTATCCCATTGAGATTTTGCATAGCAACATCACCCCCTACTTCAAAAACTTGTCAGAATGCTCCCGAAAGTATTGAGACTCAGTGAGGCATAAATACAAAATAGGCTCAAGCATGTGCAGTCGGGGTCTCCACACGCAACCAACGGTTGTGTGGCCCAACCGGCGAGGTCCCTGCCTAGCACATGATTTTTATGATTAACACAGCAGCTGAGCACAGGCACAGTGGCCTTGCAAACTCAGCTGCTCAGCCCCCCCCCCCCCCCCCCCGAGTCCCTGCTCTGGTGGCCGGGGGGGATGAGTGACAGGACGAATCGCTCCATTCCAGATGTCCACATGGCCTCGACATCGCAGGTGGCATCCGTCTGCACGTTGAGTGTGGAGGGGAAGGCTCTTCAGGACGCCTCGCTCTGCGGGGTACGGGCCGGGAGGCAGGGAAGGCAGGTCCAAAGCCCTGGATGCCTTGCCAACGAGATGTTTCATCGTAAGAGATTACCTGGGTGAAATATTTTATTTAATGAAAAATCAAAGGCAGCTAGAGTGTTTCAAAGGCAGCTTACAGAGTTTCTACTTTTCACTTGCTGGTTATTGTAGAGAGATTCACAATAAAATATAATTTACATTTTAACACACGCACCCAGCTCATTACCCCGACGCAGAGATTGGCAGTGCTCTACCCCCTGTGTATTACTCCAAATGAACTCACTGCTGCCCCGAGGACGAACCACCAAGATGTTTTCTGATGCGGCAGTTGTCGCGACATACAAGATAAGGGGCGGCTCTGCACACCGCTACACCGTTCCATGCACTTGCGAGCGCTGGTTCAGATTCAGCACGAGTTTTGGATTGAAATATTTCAGATTTACAGTTTTCTCGGAAGTTATCGGATAGTTCTGGATTATGTTAAGACATGTATTTACGTGTCACAATGGTGATATCACTTGATGCCACGTGCCACCAGTTTTAGCAGTAAAACAGCGGAAGTGACGCAGTGATACCGGCATCGTCACTTTCCTTTCGGAATAATCCGAATCGACGTTTTTATTTAGATCGTCTCAAGTATCACATCTTGGCCTGATCCTGAGATATTTTTGATTAATCTGAAAATCAGCTCACGACTGGTTTGGATGCTCTGGCTGAGCATGCACACTGTGCAGCTGGCAGAGGCTGCAGCACTCGGGCAACCGTAATCACCAAGTGTTGTGCTCGACTGACAGCTCCCGTGTCGTAATTACCCGCCCTGCCACTGCTCGAACACGCATTAGCACCGAACCAATTTGCACTCTCTAAACCACGACCTTGCTCAAGCAATTAAATCTTTAAATATTCATAGATTTATTTTCTTGATACAAATTGTACATTTTATTTCACGGAAACCCTTGTTTAGATAAAGTATTTGGTGACACCGCATTAGCAGTGGTGCACAAGCACAAATAACAACACTTTACCACCTTCTCTGTACAAAATATTAATAGTTTTATACAGCAAGGTGGCTCACACCTGCCGCTTCCTGACACGGACTTGACCAGCATCATGCTGTTGCATCAATCATGACCTGAAAGGGAATGGAGCTGAATTCACACCAGCTGCATGGTTTGTCACCTTTTCCCCGTGTCGTGTTTCGAAACACTGAGTCGTGCAACCACCGTCCTACCACATACTGCACATGAGTTTCAGAAATGACGTCATTCCCTGTAATTTCCCAAAATAAAACGCTGCACGACCTCATAATCCTCTCAATTAGAACTGCTTCTTTTCCAAGGAATAAACGTGCTACTGCTGTTGCTTGCGAATGCCTTGTGGCTCAATATGGACGCGGATGTTTGCCAATTGCCAGTGGTATGTCCAGACATTTGGATGTTACATGGACCAGTACAACGGTGGCTGAAAGTACAAGCATTGGTCCTCGCTGTCATACGGATTTGGGGCGGTCATGTGGCCCAGTGGTAGCGTGTTCGCAACTTGGTTATTACTGCGGGTGCATTTACGTGCCATCTGCGTTGCTCACAGCGGACATTAAGATCCCACGACATCCTTTGAAACGAGCAGGAAATTATATGTCAACATCGCCCCCTACTGTGAGACTGTGCCTGTGAAACAGTAGTGCCTTCATTCGTGATTGCCCTGCACTATGATTGTTATTATTTGTTATCTACAGACAAAATACTTCAAGAAAATCCATTGGTCGCATTAGCCATCCTGGGTCGTATGGGTAATGCATTTGTGGACCAGTGACACAAGGACAATGCGTCACCTCCACATAACGGTCAACCCATACAGTTTACCCATATTCTTGAACAGGGAAATTGTTTTCAGGTCCATACGGCGTACAGCCAATTCAATACGTGCAAAACAAAGTCTATTTGTGTTTCTTCCTTGTGATGGAACTTTGTAGGATGAGCGTTGAGATTTATAAGGGTACGGGGTGACCAATAAGGTCTGAATTGGTCTGTAATAAGATAGGCACTGATAAGGGGTTGACAGGTATGCCTCCCTGAAAAGACATACATACATTACCACAAAGGATTCAGCCAATGGAAGGGGAAGGCCAGAGCAGGTTGCCGGCTAGCCGGGAGGTGCTGTGGTCCGAGCGCTGGCAGGGTCGTCCGCTCGCACCTCCGCCGCAAACCGGGCCAGGGCCTCCCGCTGGGTTGGCCGGATGAGAACGTGCTGCCGCAGAGAGCGGAGGTGGTTGCAGGCCTCCTGCACATCCCAGCCATGTACCTGCGCACAGCCCGCACGGACATCACCTGCCACTTCACCGCTCTACTACTCGTCATTGTGGCACCCCAGCTCACGCTTGCAAACAAAGACAATCCGAGTCTCGAGTTCTCTCCTGGTTAAACAAAGTCAACTCGACCCCCTCGGCGCACGGCACTCAAGAGTGTACGTCGCAGGAGGAATTAATTTTACAACGCACCTCATCAGTAACTTTATTAAGCCATTAACGCGTGAGAATGCGAGGAGTGGGGGGTGCAGTGGTGACATGCCTCAGAGCGAGGAGGACCTGGGTTATATTCCAAACACGGTCGCCTTTTTGTGTTGCATCTGTTTATTCGGCCCCTGTTCTGCATGGCTGCATGGGGTTTCCTCCAGGTGATCTGGTTTCCACCCACAGCTAAAACACGTACAGTGTAAGTGTTGTTGGCCAAACATCCCAAAGCTTAAGAAGAGGTGCGGCGGGCCACGTGCCTGGATGAGGTAGGCTGCCACCATGGTGGCGCTGCGCGAGCGCCCGGCCTTGCAGTGCACGTAGACCGAGTGGCCGAGCGCCGCGTATTTCAGGGCGAAGGCCACGCCGTCGTGCAGCTGCTGTGGCGAGGGCACCCCCGTGAAGTCCACGGTGCTCAGCGTCAGCTGCTCCACGCCGGCGTCTCGCCACTCCTGCAGGCGCACACACAGGAGGAGGAGGAGCTGCTTGCTTGCGTGGAAGGGGCGGTCATTCATCAACAATTTTATTCGTGACCATGCACGTAATCATTCAAAAATACCAGAGTAGGTGGCACGTGACTGGCATCTACATCGATGGTGAAATGTCTACTGGATGTGGTGTGCCGGTGTTGGGCTTGAGTCGTCCTTAGAGACCTCGAGCGAGTTGCACAGGAACCTCGTTTCGTACGCCTCGTTCATAGTGATGACGCCGCGCACGTTCTCCTGCTTCACCAGCTGTGAGCAGAGACGCAGGCAGCGTGAGCGGAGACACGGGGAGCGTGAGGGGAGACACGGGGAGCGTGAGGGGAGACACGGGGAGCGTGAGGGGAGACACGGAGACACGGGGAGCGTGAGGGGAGACACGGGGAGCGTGAGGGGAGACACGGGGAGCGTGAGGGGAGACACGGGGAGCGTGAGGGGAGACACGGGCCCATGCTATAACCGCAACGACGGCACCCTCACGAGGCATGGTGAGTTCCTGTTCCGAAAAATGCATTGAAGACGTGATACCTCCCGTTTACAGCCACCGAGTCAGTAATAAATATCTCGCATTCCTATGGCGGGAGCAAATCTGTCCATAAGCCGATCATTGCTAACTTCCCCACAAATGTTTACTCATTGGCACTAACTGCATCAAACCCGGCGGGATAATGGGCCGAGTCGCTGGCTCCACTGCCGAGGCACCCGGCCAGACAGCCACGAGCAGAAAGGTGCCCAAAGAGGGACGCGGGGGACCTCGCCTGCTCGGTCAAGCCGCGCAGGGGCAGCGCGCCCAGCACCACGGTCGCGTCCACGCGGTCGAACCAGCGGCGGCGGCGCGGGCCCAGCACGCGGCACGCGAGCGCCGTGTAGAGCAGCGTGGGGTAGAAGAGCGCGCGGGCCGCGGCCCGGCAAAGGAACTCCTCGGCGAAGGGCGGCGGCAGCAGCATCGCAAACGCGGCCTCGCCACGAGGCCCCGGGGTCGCCACGAGGCCCCGCCCACTTGGCACGAGGCCCCGCCCGCGCGCTCGAGGCCCCGCCCACTTGGCACGAGGCCCCGCCCGCGCGCTCGAGGCCCCGCCCGCGCGCTCGAGGCCCCGCCCGCGCGCTCGAGGCCCCGCCCGCGCGCTCGAGGCCCCGCCCGCGCGCTCGAGGCCCCGCCCGCGCGCTCGAGGCCCCGCCCGCGCGCTCGAGGCCCCGCCCGCGCGCTCGAGGCCCCGCCCGCGCGCTCGAGGCCCCGCCCGCGCGCTCGAGGCCCCGCCCACTTGGCACGAGGCCCCGCCCACGCGCTCGAGGCCCCGCCCACTTGGCACGAGGCCCCGCCCGCGCGCTCGAGGCCCCGCCCACTTGGCACGAGGCCCCGCCCACTTGGCACGAGGCCCCGCCCACGCGCTCGAGGCCCCGCCCACGCGCTCGAGGCCCCGCCCGCGCGCTCGAGGCCCCGCCCACTTGACACGAGGCCCCGCCCACTTGGCACGAGGCCCCGCCCACGCGCTCGAGGCCCCGCCCGCGCGCTCGAGGCCCCGCCCACTTGGCACGAGGCCCCGCCCACGCGCTCGAGGCCCCGCCCGCGCGCTCGAGGCCCCGCTCACTTGACACGAGGCCCCGCCCACTTGGCACGAGGCCCCGCCCACACGCTCGAGGCCCCGCCCGCTGGCTCTGATTGCGGATTTCACCGCTCCATGGACAGACGCCCTCGCAAACGCGTTCGCTCCATTTGGCTGCCGCTGCTGTTCGTCCCGACCACCTGCTATCATCCCTTCCGGCCATGACGTGTCCTGCCCAAAACCATTGTGCTGCTTGCTGTCTTGCATCTACCACCTGTGTAAGTTATCCAAATCATCCGTTGCTGTTGATGGGCGTGTTACATTTCGGTGGACGTGGCTTTATTTTTTTAACACAATATTTTGAGGCCTTTTTGTTAAGTTCTAACTTCTTTGGAGTTCATTCCCATTGGACGTTTGAATGACCATAGCACTAGAAAGTTGAGAGACGGTTTCCATTTTTACCAGGGGCGGTTTCTTCATTAGGGCGATTGGGCGACGCACCACCAATGTCATTCAACCACAGAGTCACGCTAGCCGTCACTGTGCCTCTGGATATAGTCCAATCAGCGTCATGCTACGTTCTGTGGAGTACCGCCTCTTTTTGGGCGATTTCCCTCCGGCTGAGAATCGCCCCGAGTGGTCCCATAGACTTACATTCAAAGATGTTTTTTTTCGAACGGGGGGCACTGCAATGCATTCTCTATGGCTTCCGGGAGGGCTCGCACTAACGTGCTTACGTCATCATACGTAAGCACGTTTCATCCAACAAAATTATTTGTCGCCACCTAGTGGAATCTTTAATAAAAGAAACATGAGTGGATTGTATTAATAGTGAGTATAGGAACTTTATTTTTCATTAATATTAAAGAAGTGAAGTTGCCTTTACATGCTTAAGCTGTTAATTTATCCTTTGCATGGGTGGACCTTATCCTTATCAATCATCCAGACATTTGCCCCCCCTGAGAGATTTTGCAGGAGCCGCCACTGATTTTTACCATTATCTACATTTCATTCTCAATTACATTTTCAGAAAATATCTTGTCACTATGCATAACTTTATGGAAAGCGTATCACCTTGTCTGACTCCCTTTCTAATATGTTGGTACTTCACGAGGGTTCGTGGATCACACACATTTTATGAAACTCCATGGGCATCAAGGTGCTATACCCTGGGCTTGCCAGAATGCGGTACACGCCACCTGTTCCATCTGTATAGGGGAGTGTTGCCTCCTCGCACGCGTGGATCTTCTGTGGGTGCTGTGGTTGCTGTGGTGTCCTCCCAGATGTATAAACGCTCATTTATTTACTATAATGAGCCAAGAATGTCTGTCCCGCGCGTGACGTCACTCCACGTGGGCCAACCCCCCTCATTAATAATCATGAACAGGTGACGTCCTCCACATGGACCCCCCCCCCCCCCGCCATTAATAATCATGAGCAGGTGACGTCACTCCGCATGTAGCACCCCCCCCCCTCATTAATAATCATGAGCAGGTGACGTCACTCCATATCGAACAGCCCCCTCATTAATAATCACGAAGAGATGATGTCTTCCAAATGGGCACCCCTCATTAATAATTAGCGGGTGATGTCTCTCCACATGGGGGGGGGGCGAGGCGCCTCCTCCCCCCTCCTCAGCGTCAACTTACAACCCTCACGACAAAGGCAGAACCCTCACGTCACGCGACCCCCGTAACGCTATTTAGCATTGGGAGAATTGACATCTGCTGCTGTCAATTCTCCCAATGGGAAACGGATATTGTTCAGGGCCGGCTTCGCCCTGATCTCAGAGAGAATAAGATTGCTCCGATTTGAACTAGATAATTTAAACAAGCCTCTCCTGAAATCAAACTTAACATTGACGGAAAAAATGCAACATCTGATTGGGAACATGTAGATAACATGACAGCCTCTTCAGTCACCTCAATGTCAGCTAAATGCAAAGATAACCTGATTTCCAAGTTCAACCTCCTTTCCAAGAAGAAGCCAGATCCACACGTTGAAAAGAAAGAAATTGACAAGATTGTTATTAATCAGAGTACCAGTCTAATTCCCGACAGCCTAAAACCGGTTCTAGCTAAAGGGCTGAATTTCGCAGTCACCCCAAAACACATCCCAGTTGATGATATCATTGCCCAGGTTGACGTAGCCCTTAAAGTTTGGGACACATCACTGCAGATGTGGCAATATCGGAAATCGCTGCAATCCTCAAAAACGCCAAGACACCTATTAGCAACATCAGTATTCATCTTCTTGGTTCTTTCGGTAAAGTCACGTAGAAGGGAAGTAATAAAATAATAAAAATAAAACATAATAAAACAATTCTCACGACGTTTCGGCCACAACGCAAGCAGCCGTCCTCAGGTGAAAACCAGGTCCGTCGAGGCGACAAACCAGGTCCGTCGAGGCGACAGAGTCTGACTCTGTCGCCTCGACGGACCTGGTTTTCACCTGAGGACGGCTGCTTGCGTTGTGGCCGAAACGTCGTGAGAATTGTTTTATTATGTTTTATTTTTATTATTTTATTACTTCCCTTCTACGTGACTTTACCGAAAGAACCAAGAAGATGAATCCCTGCAGTCACGAAAGCTTTAAATCGAAACATCAGTATTGATGAGCGCTTTGAGCTTTCCCAATTAAAAAAGAGAGATGACATCGTCATCCTCTCAGCCGACAAGCGAAATGCCACAGTTATTATGGACAAAACCACATACAACAAAATTCAGGACCTATTTAATGATGGTAGCTATACAAAAATGAAAATAGATCCCACCAACAGTCTCGTTACGAAAACCAACAATATCACCGATTCGACATCTTTAATCAAACCAACCAAGCAGTTCTCCTTAAAACCCTCTGCTGCTAGACCACCCAGATTATATCGCTTACCAAAATCCATAAAGAGGGTACACCCCTTCGTCCTATCGTCTCCACCATTGACTCACCCACCTACAAACTGGCCCGATTTGTCTGAGACCTTACAACCATTCACTGGTAAGACCACCTCAGCTGTCCTTAGCTCACTTGGTATCGTTAATTAAGGACATCTCACTATCTCCAGGTGATTTGCTCGTTAGTTTCGATGTAGCCTCTTTGTTTACCAAAGTTCCTGTGCCTGACACCATTGCAAACATTGAAGACTTGGTCCAACAAGAACTGAATGCTGATGTACCGGCCCTGGTTAGACACTGCCTCACCAACACTTACTTAACCTGGAATGGAACTTTCTACAAACAAGTTGAAGGTACCCAAATGGGTTCTCCCTTATCTCCAGTTGTAGCCAATGTTTTCATGGAAAAATTTGAGACAGATGCCGTCCAGGCATCCACTCTACATCCGTCCTTGTGGAAGAGGTACGTAAATAACACGTTCATCATCTGGCCACATGGCCGACCAGCTCTGAACCAATTCCTCAACCACAAATTCCATACACCTAGCCATCAAATTCACCATGGAGATGAAGCTACCATCCTTGGATGTTTTAATCGAAAGGAGACCAGATGGCTCAATGGGACACTGTCTACAGGAAAGCCACCCATACGGACGCATATCTAAAACCCGACTCCCACCACCATCCTTCCCAGAATAATTCCCTCATCAAAACTCTACACCATAGAGCTCGATGCATTTCCGACCATCATCACATAGCCAGTGAACCAAAACACGTACACCAAGTTCTCAAGATGAATGAATATTCAGACTACACAATCCATAAAGCTGTCACCCCAACCGTTGGAAAAGAACCATCTGAGAACCCAATCAAAACCATCACCTTGCCATACATAGCAGGGGTCACCAAAAAGACCTCCAAAATCATGAGCAAACACAAGATCCAGGCTCGATTTAACACAGTACATAAAATGTGTGTTCTGGTCCCATCTGTGAAGGATGTGATCCCTGACATGCAATACTCCGGCATCTACAAACTAAGCTGTGTCTGCGGCAGTAGTTACATTGGGGAAACTAAGCGACATGTCTCGGACCGTGTTCGTGAACATAAGTCAGATCTGAAACATGGTAGGACCAATACCTCGGCCGTGGCTGATCATTGTTTTAATGCGGTGGGCTCACACGAAATTGATTTATCTAAGACGAAGGTACTTTGCAAACCCACTGGCTATCAATAAAGATTCGTTTATGAAGCCATCCACATATGCAGAAAGACACAACTTCAATCGAGAAGATGGGTATAAACTGAGCAATCATTGGAGGGACGTTATCAACCAGTTTAAGTCATAACTGGCTGTGATGTTCCCATCCTACCACCTTCCGATGTTAGTTATTTTCGGTTCTCTGATTTGACATTAACAGGTTAAATTTACCACACTAACACAGCCACCTCGCTTGCCAAGCTCGACGTTGCTGCTGTGCGATCTTCCATTAACATGCTAATCTCTCACATTAACATCGCCACCGCAGCACCCTCGTGGAGGCCGCTCTCCGATCTTACATTAACACGCTAATTTCTCACACTAACATCACTAGCCCTGTCCACTTCGTTTAAGACCCTTGGGCTATATTTTCTTTTAAACCTTTAAAACAGTCTGCCGCAGCAGCTTTCCCCCTTTTGTTCCTCCTGATGACGATCGCTTGTGTTGTGATCAAAACGTCGTAGTTTTTTGTTATTTTTTCTTTGAACCTAACTACGTGACTTTACCGAAAGACCCAACGAATATGATTTTGGCCTCTACATAATATTTTTTTATATTCTCAATCTTACAGAACTTTAGCATTACACTCATTACCAATAAATTATAGATGCATTAGCACATACATAAATACCGCACTTCACTTCATGGTAATTACAATGGTAGATATTTGGTTGCATGTTAAAATCCTGGTTGGGGGTTGACTCAGCTCATCATCCCTCCGGGGTTGTTGAAATGAGTAGCAACTTTGTGGGATAGTCAATAGTGGTTGTCCGATGGATACACCTGCCCCCACCAGAGGAATGCAGATTTTCCACCACTGGCTCTGCAGGGCTGTAAACATGAGATGAGCACCAATGCCTCGATGTATATTTTATCAGCAGGAATTTACTCTTGATTTTTGTAACAAGGCTTTATTTCAGATTCATGAAATATCGATGCGAAACTAGCACGAGGTTGCAGTGATATAGAAGCCACACTCGCACGCTTCAGTGTGTCATCCAAACATTAATTTGGCACTGCATTTGGCCGAGAATATAATCTCGTTACGTGAAACATGGGAGCACACGACAGGAACTCTTCACTCTTTAATATTCACCGCCCCAGCGTAATGGAACACACAAGTCACCCCGGAGACGAGAGCTTCACTGCATCCTCACAATAAAACACATCACTTCCCGCAGCTTGGGCGTAGCCTCTATATGATCTCGTGCCACGAGCCAGGAGATGTGACACCATTCGCAATGCAGCCCGATTATATCGATACCTCACAGTTCAAACAGTACATTATTACAATTTAGTTACAAAAAGCAGGGAAGACATGGTTTTGATTATAAAGGCTGCTCTCACAGGCTGTAGGCACATGGGTATGTTAACAAACGAATATCTGGCACGAACAGAAAATGACAATCAAAATTAATGTCTTGGAGAGCCCGCATATGTCATCTGCATATGGAGGTGGTGACTGAGTGGCATAAGTCGTAATCCAGTTGGCTCCAGCTAAAATCACGAGTTGGACTGCCGGGGAACTGTGCATATTTATTTTGCAGACAGTGACATTCATAGGCCGAGAAAAATCTTTGTGGGAAGTGTTTGCAGATATATAATTTATTTTATTGGGTCAGATCACGTACATAGAATGTGTGTTGTATCTGTTTGCAGATACTCGGATTTAGAATAGATATTTACATTTATTGGTGCATGGTGGTCCGTGGGGTTGTCAGTGACTCACAAACCACAGGTTCGGAACCACTGCTTTGGTGGATACATTTATAACTCGGGGTGACCAATTACAAGAATATTTGGGTGGCAGGGTAACACTTGAGAACAGCAAGAAGGTCCTGGGGGTTCGATTCCTGACACGGGTGCCTTTCTGTGGAGAATTTGTTTGTTCTGCCCCTTTTTTGCATGGGTTTCCTCTTGGTTCTCTGGCTTACTCTCACAGCAAAAAAACCCAATGTAACTGGTGTTGGTCATATGCTGAAAAATGACCTGCAAATTACTCAATTGGGGTGACACATGACAACATCGCACCCTCCTGTAAAAACTTGGCAAGACCCTCCTGAAAAGTGTCTTGAGACTCAGTGAGATTTCCTGGGTAAAAAAAACCGTAATAATTATAACAAAAAAAAGAATAATTACGACTGACATCCTGGTTGTGTTAAACTCTCCACTCTGCTCATCCCATGGAATGTGGAACATTCTCGGGCTGATTTGGGGGCCGTGGGGGGTCCTCGAGCAGTAGGCCTTGCTGCTGCAACCCTCCCGGACCCAGCGTCGTCACCACCTCACAGCGCACCACTAGGCAGTCATCGCGCAGGTAAGAGCGGTGGTGCAGGGTCTTGATATCCATGAAATTCATGTAGCCAAAACCCTTGGGGTTGCGGTGCACGGAGGGGCGCTGGAAGGCACTCAGCTGCGGATCGGCATCCATCATTTCTGTCACGTGCACGCTGTCGCGCTCACACTGGTCCACCACCGAGATGCGGATGCGACCGTTGAAGGGCCATGGCAGGCGGTGGTCATAGTCGCCTTGCAGCAGGTGAACAAACAAGGCCAGATGAGGTTGGCGCCCGGCGAGCAGCACGCCGGGAGAAGCCGCGCCCGCCGGACCCTCGCGGCCGCTCAGCACCTGCAGGCGAAGGCACAGGCGGTAGCCGGGGACTCCCGTGTAGAATCCAGAACTGTGCATGACAGCCGGAGCGTCTGGGTGCATCCCATCGGAGGCAAAGCCGGAGGCGAGGCCCCCAGGGAGGAGTCGTGAGAACCTCTCCACGCGCCACGTGAAGATGCCCGCGCACAGGCGCGACTCGGACTCGGCCACGCGAGCCTCCAGCGAGCGCACGAGGCGCGTGGCCTCGGCAAGCAAGCCCTGCTGGTTGTCCGTCTTGGCGCTCAGCTCCCGGATCTGGTGCAGCTGCAGGATGACGCGCTCCTCTAACGTCCGCGTGATTTCGCGCAGCCGGTCCAGCTCCTGAGCGCAGTCGCACGCGGCGCGGTCGCGCGAACCCTGGCTCCGACTGGCGCCGGCAGTCTGGACGTCCCCGCCGCTCGTGCTGCTGAGCCAAGAGAGGCTGTTAGGCGGAGCAGAGGACCCGGCCGCCGAGGACGGTTGGGCACCCTGGCCAACCTGGATACGCAGGATCTTGAGGCCGTTGGCCAGGAGACGCATGTGCACCTGGGTGTGCTCATGCATGTGAGCGGCCAGCAGCGACCGCACCATCTGCGAGAGAGCAACATACCACACACACACGCACGAGTTCACACGTATAACGAGACGACTTCCGAGACACGACTTGTAGAGGGTTTCTTATTTATTTCTTAATACTTTAACGACAGGGTCACAGAGTAACATAAGCACTGACTGACTTATAGCTTAGCCATCCATACAGCGACATCGGCAACACATAACTATATAGCTGGCTAACTATATAGTGACGACGTCGATGAAGACTGTATAGCTGGCTGGCTATGCAGCGACGACGACGAAGAGATGGCAGCGATGACGGTGATGACAGCCAGGACCCAAACCCCCACGACAGCCCCGAACCCCCGTTTGCCTTTCCCTTACATTCACCCAGTATGGCCAAGCCCCACCGCCCTTGGCCACGCCCCTCTTCTGGAACTCTCTCGCGAGTTCCAGGAGCTTCCAGTCCAATCCCCTCTTTGACCCTTGACCCAGTTATGCCCCCCTTGTGGTCGGCTGCATAAGTGTCATTCTATACCGCTCCCATACCCGTAGTTAGCACTCTTGGCCACCAGATGGCATACCCCACAATCAGGCAGCATGTTCTATTTCGTTTTAAAATCCAGTGACATCCTATGCGACTTAATTATTATTCTTAGTAGAATACTTATCTACTAAGGAAAGCCTCGCTGAGTGTCAAGCTTCTTTTTCAGGAGGGTGCTGTTAAGTTTTCACATTAGGGGGCGATGTTGCTGCTGCTGTGCGTAATCCCATTTGAGTAATTTGCAGGTAAACTTTCAGCATTGGGATCTTTTGTAAAAAAAGCTACATTGTACGTGATATAGCTATGGGAGGAAACCAGTGATCCCAGATGAAACCCATGCAGAACAAGAGATAACATACAAATTTCACACACTATCACTTACCACCACTCACACATGCACACACTCTGCGGAACAGGGAGAGGACATACAAATTCCACATGTAAAGGCAACCGAGTCGCTAATCCCTTCTTGCTGTGAGGCAGAAGTGTTACCACTACACCTCCCTGCTACCACTTAATGCACTATTTATCTCTGCAGCTTTGTACTGAAGAGCTACCTGATTTATGCCTGGAATTCTCGAGAAAAGATATGACTCTGCACAGCATATGAAGCCCCAAAATCGTTACCTGAGCCTCACAGCCGAGCGGGCTGAAGGTGCAGGGCACCTGGGCTTGCTGACAGTCGACCTCCAGATGCGGCCCCAGCTGTTGTAAAGACAAACGTAGCAATTGATCACAGAATGTTACATCGCCAAAAACTCATGTCAGGGAATCACCACCCATAATCAATCTACTGCTGGATTAAGGCATCCTCAAGCCACTGCTGCTTCTCATGATCCTGCTTTTTTATATTGTTGCACATTTTTATTGACGCTGACATATCTACTGCAATAGTTGCGTAGGAGGTTATTGCTATGCCCATTACACCTTCAGGACGCAACGTCTTCAGAATGTAGCTACCACGCGCGCTTACAATAATTAATCTACTTTATTTATACTGCGTCATTCATGCAATGCGCATTGTAAAATGCTGTCCAAGTCGTAATGTGCAGTATTCGCACAGAGGTGCAGGAATTTACATGCAAGTGTGAAGGTAGCCAGAACCAGCAATACCTGAATAAAATCCACGTGTGCGAGGTTGTAACGCTTAATCCTCATCCAGGTGGAACAGAGAAAAATGTATCTATTTGCTCGACTACCATATTCTGGACAAGCCAGGAGATGGCAGTGATGGAACAGATGACTCACCTGTTCCCGGATCAGCTCCTGTTGGCAGTGTTTGCAATTCACCACGACGAGTGGACACATCTGTTCATGGTTCTGCAGAAAAGCAAAGCAAACAGAAAACACACAGCAATGTGTTAGTCACTGACAGAAGCACATATTTTAGATTATTTAGCTCGTTGCTAAATATTCATGCTCTTTTAATTATATAAATGTTTACATTTTATAGACAAATATTATAATGGAAATAGATATTATGCTTTTTAACCCACCCCGAGAATGTGCCACATTCATTGGGTTGAGCAGGGTGGAGAGTTTAACACCACCAGGATCTCACTTGTCATTAGTTTACTATTACACTTTTTTACCTAGGGAAGCCTCACCGAGTCTTAAGACTGTTTTCAGGAGGGTCCTGCCAAGTATTTGGAGTAGGGGGCAATGTTGAAATGTTTCATCCCAACGGAGTCATTTGCAGGTAATTTCTCAGCAATGGTAATTTGGCCAGTTCCAGTTACACTGTGGTGTTTTTTAGGTGTGGGATGAAACCAGAGAACCCGAAGGAAGCTCATGCAGAACACACAGAGAACATACAAACTCCACACAGCAAGGCGCCCGAGTCGGAAATCGAACCCAAGTCCTTCTTGCTGTGAGGCGCAAGTGCTACCACTCCAAGACCCTCCTGCCCAGAATATAATCGGAATATATCGCAGCCACAGTCTAACCTTTGAGTCCTGGTATGCCATCTTCTCACAGCAGTGGAGACAAGTGACGATGCGTCTCATGCACTCCTGCTCCTCGTGCTTTGCCAGGTCCCGCCGGCACACAGGCATCTCACAGCGCACACACGGCACCTGCGCGTACTCACAACGCAACTGGTGTTCCTGCACACATGCACACACGAAGGGCATTATACAACATTCAGTCAAAGTGTAAGTGATGTCTTGGTCAGATAAGCAGTGCATCGATGAGGTGGCTTGGTGGTAGAGTGAATTCACGTTCTGGTTGGGGGTTGACTCAACCCATCATACCTCCATTCAGGGTCAATAAAAAAGTACCATAATTGGTTCTTTACCCTTCTATCTGGCAACAAAACTGACACCTTTTTGCAAGGAGTTGCAAGGAGTCATGTTTGCATAGACCGCAATACCTGCAGTCATAATACATAATACAAACAAAAGAACATAACTCTGATAATGTGCACTGTCAGAGTTATGTTCTTTTGTTTGTATTATGACTGCAGGTATTGCGGTCTATGCAAACATGACTCCTTGCAAAAAGGTGTCAGTTTTGTTGCCAGATAGAAGGGTAAAGAACCAATTATCATATTTTTACTGGCAAATGAGGTCCCCATAGTGAAAAAAGTACCAGTTTGTGTGAAAGTCAACAGTGGTTCTTTGGAAAGACTTGCCTCCACCATCATAACGTGGAATATCCATCACTGGCTCGTGGCTGTAAACAGGAGCGGAATACTGCCTAAATGTAAATTTGAGCTTGAATTATGCCATGGGAATGATTCGGGATGCGGTGTAGGAAATGGCTGGGGCTTCTCACCTGTAGGGCACGCAGCTCGCCGCGGTGACCACACGGCTTGTTGGGACATCGCACGGTGAGCGACAGGATCTCGCGCTTGGCAAAGTTATCGGGGAAGAGTTGTCCCTCATGGAGCACGGCGTTATCCACGGGGCACTTGGGACCGGCGTCCCTAAGTCAGTAACATGGAATGCATATTTGAACCTGAAGTTGTAAAAATGTTAACGCACACACTAAAAAAATAGTCTACACAGTTTAGACAATTATTACAGAAGCAGCCAGACAAAGAGGCATCGTGTACAGGGGGGGATGCACGGATATCCCTGGCTCTGATTGTTTTATCCCTGGGACTGCACTTTCACTTGCCATCCCAGGCGGTGGGGGAGGGGTCGGGGGGGATAATGCGCAATGCCAGGGTTAAGCCTGGTTCGTGGGAGGCTGCTTGGGAATCACAGGTCCTGTAGGGGCGGGAGGCTGGCTGCGAGATAGCCAGGAGATAGCAGTATGGCAATAGATTCTTTAATATATTTGTGCGGTGCTTTGGGCGTGAACCCCTCCTATGCGCCAGGTGTTTCATCCGGGCTCTCCGGTTTACTCCCACAAGAAGCCAAACTCTCATTAATGGAATTGGCCAAACCTAACAATGTAGCAGGACCCGCCTGAAAAATTATTGAGACTCAGTGAGGCTTCCCAAGGTAAAACACATGATTATGTAAAAGTGCACGCATAGTGTAATAGCACCGGCTGCTGTCCAGCAGCGGCAACTGTGGTGGACAAACAGTGCACACGCCGGTGAGCATATACACGGCTGTGTGTCGGCAGGGCGGAGGAACTGGGGCAAGGGTCATGGAAGACCCCATCTGGGAGCCCCTGGAACCTGCTAGTGGGTTCCAGAAGGGAGGCGTGGCCAGTGCGGATCCAGGCCGCGCTGGGAGCATAAAAGCAGCTGAGAGCCGGAGCTCAGGGCTGCCGGTTCTGGGAGTGGACTCGTCTCGTCGTCGCTGTCGTCTTCGCCGCCTTCTTCACTAGATATTACACGGCCGGAGAGTTGTTGGCTGTCTCGGTCAGTGCCATCAGTGTTACACGGTCAGGATTGTGTTTAGGCTCGGCTAGATGACTAGTGAGAGTGCGAGGGCGAACCTGTGAAGTGTGTAGGTGTTAATAAAAAAGGTGCCTCCTGGAAACCCTTGTCTCCAAATCGCTGACATTACACATGTAACATTCGTTGGCAATATCACCTGCTGTTGCTGCTGTGTGTGCAGGTGTCATACATTTCAGCGGCTTGTCACAATCTCGTATTGCATGAAGGCCTCATTGTGTCGGTCAGAAATATTGTTTGACCATTCTTTAACCTGTTTAGTATTCCCTGTTGGTGGAATTTCCGTAAAAAAAATTGTAGATAGTCTGTTTGTGAAAATGTGGAAATATTTTGGCGGCAGGATGGTAGTGCAGTGGTAACACTTGTACCTCAAAGTATGAATTGCCTGGGTTCAATTCCCAAATCGGGTGCTTTTCCGTGAAGAGGTTGTATATTTTCCTCCTATTCTGCACGAGTTTCCTCTGGGTTCCCGAGTTTCCTCCCATTACATACAAAGAAACACACGGAAACCGGTATTGGCCAAAACATCCCCAAGCTGAAGAATTACCTGCTAATGTCTCAATTGAGATGACACATCACATCATCGCTACTTACTGCAACTTGTCAAGTCGCTCCTGAAATAGTCTTGAGATTATGTGAGGCTTTCCTGAGTAAACAAGCGTAATAATAATGACATTTTACAGATAACTCTTCCCTCCCATCATCTGTAAAACATCCTGGCTGAAACTGGCAGGGTCCGACATCTTCATGACACTGAGAGCAGCTCTATTGAAGCCATGTGTGTGGGAATGTCCAGTGTATGTGGGAAGGCCCAGCGCACCTCATGGAGTGCAGGATGCATGCTCTGCAGAAGCGGTGTCCGCAGGGAGTCTGCACGGGCTCCCTCAGTGCCATCAGGCAGATGGGGCACTCGTACTTGCTCTCAAGGGGCGGCTCAAAGTCAGCCTCGTAGCCTTGAGCCTCGGTGGCCGAGTCATCGCCAGACACCGAATGGAAGGAAAGACCGCTCTCTGAACAATCGGTTGTGTCTCCTGGCGTGCGCAATCCCCGTGCGCTGCAGCACGCCTCATCGTCCACTTCGTGACCACCACCACAGCTCATTGTGCCACGCGGCCCCACGGCCCGGATGGGGCCTGCACAGAACCTAGTGGTACACGTAGGGGGAAGTTGTGACCAGGCATAAGTACAAAAGATCACAGGAGTGGTGAAAGCAAGTCAGTCTCCCATCGCTGACCTCATCACACAGACCCCACTCTACCCTGGTATGCACACACACAACCGGCAGGAAATTTGCACGCAGGCATTGCGCGCACATATAGATACAAGTTCTTCGCATCAGCCCAACTTTGCTGATAAATGTCAAATCTGGCCCACAGTTTGCTGGTATTTCGGAGAGTGAAAATATTAACTCTCCGGAAGGCCGTGTGGCCAATGGGAAGTGTAAATGTTTTTGCGGAGAGATATGTGAAGGTGGATTTCTGACTAGCTTCAGGAGTGACATGTCCCTGTCTCTGTTTTCTTAACATAAACCTGTTACCTCCATGAAGTCTAAAAACCTGCCCCGTATACAGTTTGTGATGTTATTTATATTGATACAAATTTTTTTAACGTAAAGGTACAGCCCTGCAATTGCTTAAGCCAATTTCGGCGCGAGGATGTTCACGAGAGGAACATCTGGGGGGGGTATTGGGTTTACTCTTCCACAATGACCAGGCGTGTTGGAGGAGGTGGGCATAACCCCCCACTCTTCGTCCCATCACACGCGACCGGCCGATCAATGAAGTTGCGGTGACCCCATTTACACTGTTGCTGGGTGCCCAGGGGCGGCGGAGTAAACTTTCCCGATTGTGTTCACAGCCGCGCCGGGAGATGGAATTAAACCGGTGCGACTGGATTGCAAGTCCAGTGTGTGCTGTTACATTACGGCAGCTACCTATAAACATACACAATGCGGCGAAAACACGGTCACGGCAAAATCTCACGAACCACCCAGTGACTTCGACGCGGTCCGGCCTCTCGCCTGGCGCCCGCAGCCGCGGCCAGGCGAGCCGGGGCCCTTGCCCCGTGCGGCCTCTGGGCCTCACATGAGCCACTCATCACATTTATATTAATACATCTCCAATGGTGTAACGCATTAATCTAAATATATCTTCCAATGCTCTTTGGTTCTTTCGCTAAAGTTACGTGGAAAGAAAATAAATTAAACAATAGAATACGACGTTTCGATTACAACACAAGCAGTCGTCATCAGGTAGAACTACATTTGAGAGACAAAACAGACACAGAGACACACAGACACAAGCAGAGAGAGAGACACACAGAGACACAGAGAGAGATACAGACAGACAGAGAGAGACACACACAACATAGACACACAGACAGACACACAAGCAGAGAGAGACAACACAGACACGGAGACACAACATAGACACACAGAAACTCTGTGTTGTCTCTCTGCTTGTGTGTCTGTGTTGTCTCTCTCTGCTTGTATGTCTGTCTTGTGTCTATGTGGTGTGTCTCTCTCTGTGTCTCTCTCTGCTTGTGTCTCTCTGTGTGTCTGTGTTGTCTCTCTCTGCTTGTGTGTCTGTCTGTGTCTGTGCTGTGTCTCTCTCTCAAATGTAGTTCTACCTGATGACGGTTGCTTGTGTTGCAATCGAAACTTCGTATTTTATTATTTAATTTATTTTCTTTCTAAGTGACTTTACCGAAAGAACCAAAGAGTAATTCCTGCAGTCACGAAAGCTTCAAATCAAATATCTTCCAATGGTTTAGCGCAATACATGCGGGCGAATGTGTATGTGGCCACGTTGTTTGCAGCACACTGTAAACACGCCGCTCGCAGCGCGACACCCACCGGCGTCCAGAGCCCGGAGCTCGGATCTCGGCAGTGACCGGAGCCCGGTCACTTGGGCCGAGGACGCCGCTACTACTCGGAGCTCGCCGGTGCGCGGACCCCACTGCCGAAAGCGACTGCGACTCGGCCTCCAGAGCTCGGGTCTCGGGTACAGCTGTTTAGTCGTCAGGGTGGTCAGAGCCTGGTGCTCGGACTCAGGAATTTCATTGTCATACCTCGCACCCGGTGGCTCGAACCTCGGACACCTGCACCGGGACCTCGGACCCCGGTTCTCGGCGCCCTTTGAACCGCGACGCTGCCCCTGAAGTCGCCCTCCGACACTCGACCTCGGCCCCCGGTGCCTCGCTTCCTTCATCCGGGGACTCGGCCCCCACGTCACGTGACCTCGGGGAAGCCCCGTGACGTCACGACTAGGGGGGGGCGGGGCGCTATCTCCACCCAGGCTCTATCCGCTGCTGAATGGCCCAGAGGCCTGGCGCCCACCCACCCACCCCGCAGGGCGAGACGCGCACCTCCACCCCGCAGGGCGAGACGCGCACCTCCACCCCGCAGGGCGAGCCGCTCGCACCGCCTCGCAGCTGCGGCGGCCGTCCCCGCGGGCGAGATCCCCTCCGAGGCTGCGACTCCCCCACGGACTCGACCGCCGTCTCCCCTCGCCACGCGTCCTGCACGAGCCCCCCGTGAACAAGAGGCAGGCTCGAGACGTCGTCTGGTTTACGTGTTCATGCGTACGCGCACTTATAAAGGCACCCGCAATGTTGTACAAAACCAATAAAACATTCCGATTAAGTGAGGGGTTTCACATGATTGCTTTTTCATTGCTTTCATGGCTTTATTTTGGTGATTTCGAAAAGTGTATTGGTTTAGCCATGTTTGTTTGTTGTAGTACAGAGTTAGACTGATGGCCTTAATCTAAGCTGTCTTGTGGTTGTTGTTGTTGTTTGACTTGCATCCCACTGGGATTTTTGCACACAGCGTTGGTGTACGGTGTTTTTTCTGCAATATTTTTGCTGTCTTTTCTTGGATTTTCTGTTAGCACTTAGTCACATATTCACTTTAAGATGTTTTTTGTTCATGTTTTTGTTTTTTGTTTGTTGCGGTTGCACCCGATTCAAGAGCTGAATGGCTCACAGGGCTATACCTAATAAATGAACTTGAACTTGAACATGTGAATTGTCAATAATGTGCAAAATGGGTTTCCATTTAATTTCAGAGGAAGTCTGTTATGATGGGTCATCGCCCATACTTTGTTGTATCTCGTAATGAGGAAGGTGTTGAGTTGCTGGCACGCCTCGCCCTTCAGGCGAAGCTCGCAGCACTGACCGACGGAGCGAGGAAACTCTGCCACTTCACGAGACTTTGTCAGCGGACACTGGGACACCGTCGCTCCCTGCTGGCAGCAGACTGAGTCGCAGCGCACTCGGCATATTGTTGTCTCTGCTTAGTGCGATAGCAGCTCACTGGCCGCGAGAGGGCTTCCAGGCAGCGCGTGTGAAGGAGCAAGTCCCACTGTGGTTTACAACGCGGTCCATGCTTTGGGTTGCATGACCACGATCGCACTATGGCTTGTCTGTAATGTATCGATGGGCTGACTACGTGGGTCGGAGTTTCGGTTGCAATTGACTCATCCTGGTCTCTGGAGTTCTCACCCGGGGAACACAAAACCGACGGGAACACTTGAAAAGCCACGCGTGGGTTGGCAACTCTTGAGATTAAAAACAAATTAATGTACCTAAAAGATCATTAAAATCACTCGGATTCCAATAATCACCGGGAGATCGATGCCAGACCCGAGAGAGACTCCCGCCCATCCCGGAGAGTTGGCAACGCGCTGCTGCTGCTGCGGCGGCCGTCGACGTCACCGCGCATGCGCAGCAGCAGGAGGCGCCATGGCGGGACGCGAGGAGGCCGAGCCGGGCGCCTCGAGCCCGAGCCGGAGTCCGATCTGCGCCCAGGGGTTCATAGGCGCCGCGGCGCTGTGGGTCGCGGCGACGTTGTTCGCACTGCCCGGGCCGAGCGCGGCCACCACGCACTGGGTCGTGACGGAGGACGGACGCATTCAGCAGCAGGTGAGAGACAGAGGGGTACAGGTAAGGCCCACTTCCTGTCCCCTGTCCCCGCGTACCTCTGTTAACACGGGTTCCTGCCTCCACCTGCTATCTCTACCTGTCTCCATGTACATGTCTCCACCTACCCCGTCTCCTCCACGTACCCCGTCTCCTCCACCTACCCCGTCTCCTCCACGTACCCCGTCTCCTCCACCTACCCCCGTCTCCTCCACCTACCCCGTCTCCTCCACGTACCCCGTCTCCTCCACCTACCCCGTCTCCTCCACCTACCCCGTCTCCTCCACGTACCCCGTCTCCTCCACGTACCCCGTCTCCTCCACCTACCCCCGTCTCCTCCACCTACCCCGTCTCCTCCACGTACCCCGTCTCCTCCACCTACCCCGTCTCCTCCACGTACCCCGTCTCCTCCACCTACCCCGTCTCCTCCACGTACCCCGTCTCCTCCACCTACCCCGTCTCCTCCACCTACCCCGTCTCCTCCACCTACCCCCGTCTCCTCCACCTACCCCGTCTCCTCCACCTACCCCGTCTCCTCCACGTACCCCGTCTCCTCCACGTACCCCGTCTCCTCCACCTACCCCGTCTCCTCCACGTACCCCGTCTCCTCCACCTACCCCGTCTCCTCCACCTACCCCGTCTCCTCCACCTACCCCCGTCTCCTCCACCTACCCCGTCTCCTCCACCGTACCCCGTCTCCTCCACCGTACCCCGTCTCCTCCACCTACCCCGTCTCCTCCACCTACCCCGTCTCCTCCACCTACCCCGTCTCCTCCACCTACCCCGTCTCCTCCACCTACCCCGTCCCTCCACCTACCCCGTCTCCTCCACCTACCCCGTCTCCTCCACCTACCCCGTCTCCTCCACCTACCCCGTCTCCTCCACCTACCCCGTCTTCTCCACCTACCCCCGTCTCCACCTACCCTGAGCTATATCGGTGCTGCTCCTAAAGTACAGCAGAACCCCAATAATCCATGTTGATATGTGAGGTCAGTATTGTGTGTCCCATAATCCGCCGTTGTGATGTTTTGGTCTTGATCCGTGTCATATCTCTCGTATGCTGCATGAGCAGGTGGATTCCCAGTTGAACTTGAAGCACCCCCATGATCTCGTGTTGTTCATGCGCCAGGAGGCGCGGCTGGAGGCCCTCAAGGAGCTCGAGGTCAGTGACCGAGTGTAACCTATGAGAACGTGTAGCTTGTAAGAAACATATCTTCATAACCGCGCGGCTCTCAACTCGTGAGAGTGTTCTGGTTGGTGGGCGCACACGGCGGCCAGGATACCCTCATAGTGCCCCACCATCTTCACGGAGTCTCGTTGTAAGCGCTTGCTGTTCTTTTCGATTATTCTGATCACCAAGGTGCACATGCTAGCTCTATCTAGCTTTAGTAATTATACAGTAGTAATCTTACCATTTATATGGTGCTCAATGCTTCGGAAACCCAAAATGCCTTGCGTCACATACATCTCAAACACTCGAAGGGCAGCTGTCCTTGTGCAGCACAAGGCGACTCGGCACCGGCCTGCAAATGTGTATTTGATTGCCAGTAATAACATTTCTTTTTAATATTTCTTATTGCCAAAAATACACGATTCCTCACTGTGTATATGAAATGTAGGTTACTGTACTTATTATTGATATAATGCTTGTTTATCCAGAAAAACTGCAACGAGTCTCAAGATTTTTGCAGGGAGGGTCCTGCCAAGTTTTCACAGAAACGGACGATGTTCCATTCTGTTTCCCAATTGAGTAGTTTTTAGGAAATCTTACAAACTCCACACATTGGTGCCCAAGTCAGAAATGTAACCCACTTTCTCGAATAGTCTTATTAGGCTATACAGGGGGTCTTTGTTTTGTGCGTGGGTGCAGCTGGTTCTTATGGAGCATAAAATTCACATCGAGGAGAATGAAGACAAGGACACGCGCCTGGAGGAGCGGCACTATGCCGAGGAGCCGGCCTGCACACATGCCCGCGTCCCCCTCGGTGACCTGGATCTCTATCATGGCACCTACATCGCCCTTGAGACCAAGAACATCCGGTGAGTACCTCGCGACAATTGTGGGATGGTGTCTTCCTGGCGGTGGTGCATTAGCTGCTCATTGCAGAAGTTGGTTCATGTCCAGCAGGGCACCCTGTTTGTACGTCATTATCGCTGCTGTTTTCGTTGTGTGGATGCTCTGCATGAACCACCTTTGTTGTGTGTAGGCCAGAAGATCACATAGATGTAAAGCACAAGCCAAGTGGTGACTTACTGAGTCCGGACTGCATGCGTATCCTGGAGCTCGCCTACAGCATACACGCGTTTCAGCACCTGCGGGTCAGTCTGCTCACACGCATGCATTTCCCTCTTGCACGGCTGTAGGGCACAACCAGGTTCACGAATAAAACGCACACGCAAACACACGCTTGCTGCATTTGTACAAATATGGCAATGGTGCAGAGAGTCAAGACCATGATGCGGAGCGTAGCCTTGCAGGAAGCCGGAAATGTGGACACTGACAAAGCACAGCGTGAGACGGTGGGGAGTGTTTTAAACATGGATATGGAGGAGGATGCAGATAGCTACACTGAGAAGAAGAAATCTTAAATGGTATCAACGAACGAAGGTGAGAGAAGACCGGATTGGACGCATTTTAGGAGAGGATGGATCGTTGAGTAGGAAAATAATGAGAGAAAGGCCAACAATTTGGATGCTGGAGGAGCTGAAGAGGTGAGCAGAGAACAGAAAGACAGAGAAGATGGCAGCCGAGGACCTGCCATGAAGGCAGAGCACCAAATAAGAAGCGAAGCCCTGCAAGTGCTTGCTCACGGTCCTGCTGGCAAAAAGGCCTTCCCTAGAGGCAGCTCGAGGTGGTGGTACTGTATTTGGTCGATACTTTCCATGTTGACCAGACGTGTTGGAAAAGGTGGGCGTGTCCACACTTTTATACTGCCTCACCCGACTTAACTGTGGTGAACCCATGCATACTGCTGGATGGACAGAGGTTGTGGGGAGATATGAGAAAATTGCACCATTGTTTTAACTGCCTCGCTGGAAGGTGGATTGCCAGTCTGGTATGCTCACCGTTACATTACAACAACTGCCATATGTGCAAGTAGCTACAAGTAATGGAGTTTTCATGTACATTCTTTAAAGTGCTTGCTGTTAACATTGTGGAGTGATTGTCACGTGTGGTGCTCTGCAGGGTGTGCAGGAGAGAGGAAATCTGAGTGCTCCATTGCTGTCCCCAGAGGATCCTGTATTCCAAGCATTGCCGCTTCCCATGGGGACCGGCAGCCTCGATGAACTGGGGCATCTGATTCACCTGGCGTTGCAGCAGGTGTGTGCCATGTAGGGGCCACGTTCTTTGTCATAGCTCCGCTCTGGCTCAGTTTCTAACGTGACTCGGCTCAGGCTTAAGCCACTCGGCTGCTTCCACAGATGCAGGAGTGATTGACTCAGCCATTGTTCAACTTGGGCTCAGCTCAGTGGAATCCTGAGCCTCGTTGGGACTGTGCTTAGAGCCGGCTCAAGTTAAACGCAGTGGCTTTGAGCCAGCTGAAGCGAGCCATCGCCAAGCCTGAAATGAGCTGTGACTAAGAATACGGGCCTTGGACATCGAGCATTTTACAGTTGTATGTTCATGGCTCCTGTGTGAGTACCGCATTTCAAATGTTGGCGTTATAGACATTGTATGAGTGGGTGTGTGAGTGGGCAACAAGTGAAGTGAGCAAGTGGGTAACCTATGGGTGAGTGTTTGATCATGTGAGAGAGTTGGTGTGTGAGTGAGTGGGTGACAAGTGAAGGGAGTTGGTGGGTGAGTGAGTGTCTTCATAGGTGCTTGCTATTATCACTTGCCCCAGTAGTCTGTTCAGGCTATATGGGGAATTTTTGTGGGTGAGTGGGTGGGTAAGTGAATGTGTGGGTGAGAGCGTGACTCACAATTATAACAAGACTATTGTACACACAATGTATGCTCCAGAACAAGACATCCTGGGTGCTTTACAACATGGCCTCTTACTACTGGCGTCTCAAGAACAGTCCCACGCAAGTGGCCGAGTGTGCTATGAGAGCCCTGCACCTGTCCCCCAGGTAATAATCACAATGCTAAACAAAATCTCTCCGGCGATGCTGCCATGTAGGCAGTGCTGCACGAGCATAAATTACAAACAACTCGTCACCTTCCTCAATCAGCACTGTGGCCTGAAAATGAAAAATAAATCAAGCGATGTTTCATGCACTGGCTTGTATAGCAAGTAGAGGTCAGAGAGACAGAGAGGATATTGGTTTTAGACTGCACAGTAGAACTGTATGATAGCTCAGTTTACGATAACTCTCTTTGCAAGTCATAGAAAGATTATAAAATATAATTCTTACTAGTGCCGCATGGTGTATCGTGCTATTATTCATCAGCTTTCTCTGCCAAAACAAAACACTTCCCAGGAAGTCTGGTAAATTGTGTGGATCCACAGGATGAGGAATTAGATTGTACGTCATTTGGTGCTGACGGGGGCCCCCTTGTCCCCGTGCAGGCCACACCATGACGTGGCGCTGGTGAACCTTGCCAGCGTGCTGCACCGAGCCCACTACTCGGCTGATGCCGCCGTGCTGCTGCATGCTGCGCTACCCATCTCCAGCGATCCGGCCACAGTTCACTACACCCTGGGCAACGTCTATGCCGTGAGTAGCAATCCGCTAGCTGTTGTCTTCTCTGTACTAACCAACCATACTCTTTGGTTTTTTCGGTAAAGTCACGTAGGTAAAAAATAAAATTAAATAAATGAAAACAACTCAATTAAATCACGTTTGGGGCGCAACACAAGCGTCCGTCATCAGGTGGGAAAGCATGGCCTACTGCTGATGCAGACTGCTTGTGTTGCGCCCCAAACGTCGTGATTTAATTGAGTTGTTTTCATTTATTTTATTTTATTTTTTACCTACGTGACTTTACCGAAAAAACCAAAGAGTATGAATCCTTGCAGTCACGAAAGCTTCAAATCTAGAACTAACCAACCAGTTGTCTGGGAGCGGTGACGTGGCCCAGCAGTAAGGGGCTCTCCGCTTGATGCAGAGGTTGCGCTCATGACACACAAAGTGCTTGCCACAAAATGAACCACAATACCTCGCTGATTTCGTCAAGGAGCATGAACCATCACGCGAACTCCAGTCATCCTCACAACAGTGTTTAGCTAGCCATCGAACAGAGACGGTCACTGCATTGCACGCGTTCAGATGCGCTTTATGCGGCTGTCTGGAATGCTCTTCCTTCCGATATAAGGAAGCCCCTGGAGCTATGCACTTTTAAATCTATATTGAAAACTAATTTCTTGAGAACTGTTTTTGGTGTTTGTTGGCATTCCCTCACACCTCTGATTACCACAGTTGGCTATGTACTGTGCGAAAGAAGTTCAACATACATACATCTGACTGGGTCCTGGGCCTCCTTTAGGTCGACTCAGCCTCAAATGATTTCCTGCTATAATGTGTAAAACAACATCACTGGGGAGACAAAGGTGGCCAGGTGCGATACAGGCCACACCATCCCCTCGTGTGCCATGTTGACCTTTGTAGATGCTCGCGAACAGCACTTGCCCCAACAGCCCGTTTAGGATATCGGGGATCTTTAGCTTAATGCATGACCACGTGTGCATGATGTCACGTGTTGCAGATGCTGGGAGAGTACAACCACTCGGTGCTCTTCTACGAGCAGGCGCTCGTGCTGCGGCCCGAGCTGGAGGCTGCGGGGAGGAGGCGCCACGCTGTTCTTTGCCAGCAGGGACTTGAGCGCAAGCTGGAGGCTCAGCACAGGTGCCTATCCAGTGCTGCTGTACACACACGAGCCCCCTTTCTGCTGTGTACACACACTATGTCCTGGCTGATGTGTACACATACACTACCCTGCGCTTTTGCATACAAACAACCCGTGCAGAACAGGCACGGAACATACAAGCTCCACGTAGAAAGGCGCTCAAGCCGCAAAATCTAACCCAGGCCCTTCTTGCTGTGAGGAACGAGTTTTACAACTGCGCCACCACTCTGCGGCTTCATTATCACAGGTCCCTGCAGCAGACGTTGAGTGAGCTGAAGGAGTACCAGCGGCAGCACGAGCAGTACGTGCACCTGCAGGAGCAAGTGGAGCGGCACAAAGTCCCGGCTGACCAACAGCTGCTTCACACGATCCTGCACGAGGCTCATCTAGCCCGCGACACTCACTCCGGTACCCACACTCCTGCACTGATCATGTCTGACACTCACTCTGCTACCCACACTCCCGCACTGATCAAGTCTATGATACTCACTCTGCTACCCACACTCTTGCACTGATCAAGCCTGTGAAACTCACTCTGCTACCCACACTCCTGCACTGATCAAGTCTATGACACTCACTCTGCTACCCACACTCCTGCACTGATCAAGCCTGTGACACTCACTCTGGTATCCACACTCCCTCACTGATCATGTCTGTGACACTCACTCTGATATCCACACTCCTGCACTGATCAAGTCTGTGACACTCACTCTGCTACCCACACTCTTGCACTGATCAAGTCTATGATACTCACTCTGCTACCCACACTCTTGCACTGATCAAGCCTGTGAAACTCACTCTGCTACCCACACTCCTGCACTGATCAAGTCTATGACACTCACTCTGCTACCCACACTCCTGCACTGATCAAGCCTGTGACACTCACTCTGGTATCCACACTCCCTCACTGATCATGTCTGTGACACTCACTCTGCTACCCACACTCCTGCACTGATCAAGCCTGTGACACTCACTCTGCTACCCACACTCCCTCACTGATCATGTCTGTGACACTCACTCTGATATCCACACTCCTGCACTGATCAAGTCTGTGACACTCACTCTGGTATCCACACTCCTGCACTGATAAAGCCTGTGACACTCACTCCGGTACTACTCAACCAGGTGGCTCAACGGTAGAGCGAGCGGCTCGCAATCGGAAGGTTACGACATCAAATCCTAGATGGGGGTTGATTCAGCTCATCATGTTTCTCTGGTCGTTAAAATTAATACTACTTACGGGGGTAAGTCAACAGTGGTTACTGTATGGATAGACTCTCTCTTACCATGGGAATGTGGAATTATCTGCACTTGCTCTGAGCTGCAAACAAGAGATTAACACCGCCTCAGTGCTAATTTGAGCAAGAAATCACTGACTATTGACTCGTTATTTACGACACTGGGTGCTGCCAAGACCTAGAGAAATCCATCTGTAATGATCTGGTGACATAGTGTTTGCTGTCTTTCTGTTATTGATACGAGTGCAGGTAACAGTCAGGTGTGTCGGTGGAGCCAGCAACAGAAGCTGCTGGTTTGTCAGTGGGATCAGCCGGTGCGGTACACGAAAGGGGAGGGAGAAGATGGCATCGAGCGCGTGCAGGTTGGAGGCTTCTCGTGACTCGCACAATGCCACATTGTTTTGTCACACGTACCCATGGCCAGCACTTCCACTACCAATGCGTCCACATTGCAGCAGGGAGTAATGTTGTTGGGGTGTGGGACGCACAGCTTGGTGTGATGATTTCAAGTGTTGCTTTTACACATCATCTCCATCATCGTCATCTCTATCAATCTATTTGAGTCATGGATTTGAAATTTACTTGTGAAATATGAGAGATATCAAAATAAATATATGTATTCTCATTGAGCGTGATTAATTATTATGACACTTGTTTACCCAGTGGAAGCCTCACCTAGTATCAAGACTCATTTATAGCAGAGTCTTGCTAAGTTTTCTCTGTGGGGAGCGATGATTGCTGTGTACATTCCCATTGAATCATTTTCAAGTGACTTTTTAAATTTGGCAAATTTGGACCATGATGCCGACACAATTGCGATTGACCTCACATGATTTGTAACGTTAAGCATGAAGCAGACGGTGAATAGTATGTTATGGTTATACTCATACTCTTAGGTTTTTTCGGTAAAGTCACGTAGGTAAAAAATTTAAATTAATAAAAGTAAAATAAAACAAATTAAAAAATTCACGACGTTTCGGAAGCAACACAAGCCTCCGTCTTCAGGTGGAACCGTCACAGCCACGACAGCTGTATCAAGTAAATGAGAGAACACAAGAAATACTACCCCGTATATATAATGGTTGAGGGGGGAAGGGCCAGGAACGGCACACTTTTTATTAATATGGTAAGGTGAGGCTTAAGACCAAGAGTAGACTGCATAACAAAGGACTGAGCCTTTGTTATGGAGAGGTGCGGTTTGTAACTAACACATGGCATACATAACAAAAGTGTGAAAAAAGAAAAGCAAGTAAAAAACTAAAACTGGTAAAACAACAAACTGGCTGTCTATCAATAACCTGTAATAGTTGTCTGTCAAATAAGATGGTCCAAATAAGTGTAGTTACATCTTTTTTGCATGGTTAATCACATCTTTCCAATGATTACTCAGTTTGTAACCCTCATCACGGTTGAAATTATGTCTGTGTTTGTATATTTGTATGGCTTCGTGTACAAACCTTTGATGGTAGCCAGGAGGTTTGCAGAGCACTTTGGTCTCGGAAAAGACAATTTCATGAGAGCCCACAGAGTTGTAGCAATGATCGGCAACAGCCGAAGAATCAGTTCTGCCGTGTTTCAGATCTGACTTGTGCTCGCGGACACGATCAGAAACATGACGTTTCGTTTCTCCAATGTAGCAATCACCACAACTGCAACTCAATTTGTAGACTCCAGGATACTGTAAGTCAGGAACGACATCCTTCACAGATGGAATCAGATCAAGGATTTTATGCACTGTACTGAATCGGACTTGGATCTTATGTTTGTTTAGAATTTTGGAGATCTTTTTGGTCACGCCTGCTATGTATGGTAACGTGATAGTTTTGGTCGGAGTTTCATGTGGCTGTTTCTGTATGGTGTGAGAAACAGCTTGGCGTATGGTGCGGTCAGAGTATCCGTTCATCCTGAGGGCCCGATGTACATGTCTTAATTCACCAGCCAGGTGGTGTTGGTCAGAAATGCAGTGGGCTCTGTGGTATAGCGTTTTGATGAGAGAATTCTTTTGAGATGGGTGGTGGTGGGAATCCGGTTTCAAGTAGGAATCTGTGTGGGTGGCTTTCCTGTACACAGAATGTCCCAAGGATCCGTCAGGCCTCCTCTCAAACAAAATATCCAAGAATGGTAGTTTACCATCTTTCTCCACTTCCATGATGAATCTGATGGATGGGTGTCTGGAATTGATGTGGTCCAAGAAGTGGTTCAATGCTGGGAGGCCATGTGGCCAGATGACGAAAGTGTCATCCACATACCTCTTCCACAGGGAAGGACGCAGGGTGGATGTCTGGATGGCGTCTGATTCAAACTTTTCCATGAACATGTTGGCTTTCACTGGTGACAAGGGGGAGCCCATAGGGGTACCCTCATTCTGTTTGTAGAAGGTACCATTCCAGGTAAAATAGGTGTTGGTGAGGCAATGCCTAACCAGCACAGGTACATCAGAATTCAATCCATGTTGGACTAAGTCCTCAATTATTGTTAGGGTGTCCGGTACTGGGACTGCCGGATTTAATCCACGAACCTCTGTCACAAGAGGCGAACGCGCTCCCGCTGGGCCACGTCACAGTAAACTTACTGCGTGTCGTGTAGAGTGGAGTCATGATGCACAGTGCGCAACCTGTTTCAGTTTGGGGAAGAGGAGCCAGGAGCTGGCACCACAGCCCTGCCCAGCAGAGCAGATTCTCTGTCTGGTGAGGGCCTCGTCTCTTCACGGCCCCACCACCACACAGGACCTCGAGCCAGGAGCCACCACAACCTGCCGGCCAGTGTACAGGTAGGCGACCATGCTTAACGGATATATAGTCTGATTTTTTCTTGTACTTGTACAGGAAACGTTACTTTACTTGGTGGCCAGGCTGTAATTAAGCAGGCTTGGACAGAGCACATCACTGGAAGGGATGGACGATTGATGAAGAATGTTAAGGGAATGGTTGCGAAGGAGTGGATGCATCCTTGAGGACATCCACAGAAGGAGATTAAGCAAGCAGATCAGTTCATGTGCAGGTGCTGGATGGAGTGTTGCATCGCAGGGAAGGCCTTCATCCTTGCAGGGAATTGTTCTTGGCTGATGACGATGATGATAACCGGGCTGAGACTATCAACCGACTACACACAAGAACCTGGGTTAATCGGAGGCTGCTGCCCAGGTTTTAATCTAGGATCTCAGTGGTGCTGGCTCAGTGCTGTCACCCCTGAACCACGCACCTACCTCAAACGTATATTCTCTTCACAATGAACTTCAGATTCCCGTTGGACAGCCTGAGATCGGTTATGTACAAAACAATATATTTTCGGTTGTGCAGATGTGTGTGTGTGGAGTGTGTGTGTGGTGTGTGTCTGTTAACGCTATTTGAGCCTTGTGATGTCCATTCAGGGTTTCCTTTGGCCCCAGAGGAAGCAGTGTCTTCATACTTTTCCCACAACTTCACCTGCTTCAGTTCCACCGATATTTTCTTTTCTTCTGGACACCATGGGAATGAAGTAAGACATCACCATAGACACACAATGGGTAGGACCACATTTATTTCAGAAATTCATAAAGTTACTACTTCATATGTTATATGCTGGCCGGTCAGGTTGCCCAGCAATCTAGTGAGCAGCTCGCAATCACAAGGTTGCGAATTTAAATGCTGGTGGGGAGTTCAGTCCAGAGTCCATCAACTCTGGAATCAATAAAGTAGGTACCACTGTGGGGGAGTAAACAGTGTTTGTCCAATTGGGAGACTTTCCTCCACTATTGCAATGTGTAATTCCCACAACTACATTGACCGTAACAGCATAAGAGAACCACCTAAATACTCATTTTAGCAGGAAATCACTTTAACTTTGTTGACGTTTTCATATGTTTACAACTGTTTTAAATACCTCATATGCTGAATGCCGCCAATGTGCTTTGTTTTTGGAAGCCTGACTCAGATGTTGGAGGATGTCATGAACTCTCCTGAAAAGCCACGGTGTGCTATGGCACACAGCACGCAATCAGCGCAACCGGAAATGCCTGGAGAGACTGCTCACAGAGCATGCTGCCTCAAGCCGGAGCCCAGGCATTTCCAGCCCGGCAGCTCAGAAACCTCCGTCACCCACGGCGGTATAGCCACTGAGAGAAGAGAGCCGTTAATTCAGCAGGTCAGATTCTCGCACAGCTCTCGGCCACCCGTTCTTCCTTTTGCTTGTCCTCGCCAATCCCCTCCCTCACCACTCTCCTCCCTCCCAATGTCCTGTCACAGTCATCCGCTTTTGTGGCTCGTAAAGTTTTTGAAGGGGAGGCTGAGGTGGTAAAAACAAACATCACGTAATTCGAAAGCAATTCAACATTCTCCTCAATGCTTCGAGGGTGACAGGGCGGTGGCGCAGTGGTAACACTCGTGCCTCGCAGCAAGGACCTGAGTTTTTCTTCCCGACTCGGGTGCCTTTCTGTGTGGAGTTTGTATGTTCTCCCCTTGTACTGCATGGATTTTCTCTGGGTTCTCCAGTTTCCTCCCATAGCTAAAATAAAAACAAGGTCATTGGTGTTTGCCAAGCATCCCAATGTTGCAGGACCTTTCTGAAAGAGAGTTGAGACTCAGTGAGGCATTGCTGGATAAATACAGGCAATAACAAACTGAAAAGATGGTCATATTTGCAACCGATGCAAACAAAATGGAGGTTTTACAAAGTTTCCACTCACAGGTTGTGGTGTTACTTGGCATGTGATGTGCAGTGCGTATGTGACACCACATATTTGCGGTGGCGCTCCGGTTTCCTGGCAGGAGCATTGTACATTTGGCACCATTTTTATAGCACAAGGCTCACCTTAAGGAAGGCGCTGTTTTTCACAGATGAGTAGAGTTGCCAGTAGTAGGTCTGTCGCCTCGACAGACCTGGTTTCACCTGAGGACGGCTGCTTGCGTTGTGGCCGAAACGTCGTGAGAATTATTTTATTATGTTTTATTTTTATTATTTTATTACTTCTCTTCTACGTGACTTTACCGAAAGAACCAAGAAGATGAATCCCTGCAGTCACGAAAGCTTTAAATCGAAATTTTGTAGTATTGTAGTCGGGGAACTAAGTTGCTATGTGTAATCAGAATTATTATACCCAAAGGTTGCATCAGTTTAAATAAAATTAATCTTGCCAAGAAAATCAGTTTCATTAAATTGTGAAGCATTTACTTGCCTTTAATCTGCCCAGGTGGCTCAGTGGCAAAGCGAGTGGCTCACAATTGGAAGGACACGAGTTCAAATCCTCTGGGGTCAATAAAATGAGCACCCAAGTCAAAAGTGGTTGTCCATAAGAATAAGGAAATTCCACCACTTGCGCAGGGCTTTAAATTGGAGCTTTGAGGCACCAATGCCTCAAAGCTCATTTGAGCGAGAAATTACTGTGACATTTTTTTGGACTTACCTTTTTTAAACTATTCTTATTTTACCAGGTAAAGCCCACTAAGCTATATAGCTTTTTTTTAGAATATACCTTGCCACAAATGATAGCTCAACGAAGTGGTTTAACATGTGGAAATTTAAAGCAGCCAAATAAGCTAAACACACATCTAAATGTGGAGGGAAACACTTCAGGAGCCGGAGAAAAATCCACGCAACAATGGGGAAAACATGCAAACTCCAAATATACAGGTGTAATGGGTTCAATTTAGGCGCACACACTTCTTGGGAGGCAACACTCATTTATTAATTAACACAACGTTTACTCAACAGTTACTCTTACTCTACACATAGGGTGGTGACCACCGACCTACGCTAGCTAACACACAATTGTATTTTAGTCTCTCTCCAGCGTGACCCAGCCAGGTGGCTGCTGGCAGTCCGCTCACTGTAGGTCTTCTCTTCTGGCATCTTCACGAGGTGTCTTCATTCTTCTCAGGAACAGCCCTGCTCTGCCTTCACACCACCCTTATATCTCGTCTCTCTGGCGTGGCCGGCTCCGCCCAGGCCACGCCTCCCTTCCCAGGCCACGCCTCACTTCCCAGGCCACGCCTCACTTCCCCCACCTCTGGGAAGGTCCGGATCCCTCCAGCACGTGACCCCCCAGGCACCCCCTTGGGGCCCCCAGCCCTCGTACGGGCCAACACAGTAGTGACCGTTCTGTCACTACATCACCCCCTCCTGTATAAACACACAGCCGTCCCCGGCTGTAACACAACTGTGAACATCGAAAAGGTGTGCCTCCGAACCAGCAACATCAATAAATGACCGGCGACCGATAAGAAATACAATCACGTAATATATACAGAATCGACGAGGGTAAAAGGGAACCGCATAGAAAACGGGGAATTAACAACAAATATACATGAAAACTGGCTAACCCACTTACGCTACAGCACAGCCCCCCCACCGTTAGAATCACGCATGCAATGACAGTCACCCGTTAGCACCCCCCCGCCTTTCCGACGTGGCGTCACAACCAGTAGCACGCGTCGGCCATATCGGGGGGGGAATTTCCATGTTACCACCCCACCGCCTTTCCGACGTGGCGTCACAACCAGTAGCACGCGTCGGCCATATCGGGGGGGGGGGATTTCCATGTTACCCCCCCACCGCCTTTCCGACGCGGCGTCACAACCAGTAGCACACGTCGGCCATATCGGTGGGATTTTAACCCAGTCTCTCTCCAAGACTCGCATCGCAGCATATAGCTGTACCGACCGAGCTGAGATGACCCAGTCTCTCTCCCAGACTCGCATCGCAGCATATAGCTGTACCGACCGAGCTGAGACGACCCATCGTTCACTCACTGCACAACATGCACCCTAACAACTGAGGGAAACAGTCTCAACGTAACAGGCCAACTCCACCCGAACCTTACGAATCTCCAGCCCACTGTTTCAACGCGCCTCAGAGGGTCTCAACCTCCGAGCCGTCAGGTCAAGCTGTCAGCCATAGCATGACGGGACCACCCTCCCTGAGCCATGTGAGCGCACAGCCCACAAGGCTAGACAAGCCACAGAGTGTCTCGCTCTCCGGGCTGTCAGGTCAAGCCGTCAGCCATTGCATGACGGGACCACACACTCCGAGCCATGTGAGCACACAGCCCACTAGGCTAGACATACCACGGAGTGTTTCGCTCTCCGGGCTGTCAGGTCAAGCCGTCAGCCGTTGCATGACGGGACCACACTCTCCGAGCCATGTGAGCGCACAGCCCACTAGGCTAGACATACCACGGAGTGTTTCAAGCTCCGGGCTGTCAGGTCAAGCCGTCAGCCATAGCATGACGGGACCACACTCTCCGAGCCATGTGAGCGCACAGCCCACTAGGCTAGACATACCACGGAGTGTTTCAAGCTCCGGGCTGTCAGGTCAAGCCGTCAGCCATAGCATGACGGGACCACACTCTCCGAGCCATGTGAGCGCACAGCCCACTAGGCTAGACATACCACGGAGTGTTTCAAGCTCCGGGCTGTCAGGTCAAGCCGTCAGCCATAGCATGACGGGACCACAACGTTCATGTTAGACACGCAACACTCACTGGGCCATGCTGGTCAGGACCTGTGCCCCAAGATAGTGACAGCCAGCAGCACAATTCCAAATCCCTGGCAGCATGTCACCATCGCAATTTAACACCATCACAACACATACAATTTGAATTATGATCCCCCACAGAACTAATCCAATGCCGAACAGGTACGCACAAATTTTTTTTTTTTTTTGACGATCCCGAATATTCAATGGTCACAACAATACACCTCACATCCCGTATCCGTACACATCATCTCCGAGACTCGCATTGCAGCAATGCAGCTGTACCAACCGAGTGGAGAGAGCAATGCAATTTGACGGCAATTAACGGAAACGCACCCCCGATCCATGTAGAACACAAGGAGCATTCCCGCACAAAAGACATCATCTGTGCAACAACGGACAGGAACCAACCAGTGAGTTTGAAACAAACCGAACCTGTCACTTCAAAATCCCCTTCAACATTAACCATGGGACTCAGGGCATTCGAATTTTGAGAGAAAAAAAACTGTACACAAACCCCAAGAATCGCCGAATTGATTAATACAGTATATGCAGTATACGAAGTTCGTACAGTCAATCATTTGGCACAATGCACCATCCAGTCCCCACATGGCAACACACACAATCAATACTCCAGACAATCCGTACATAGTAAATAATCACAAGCAAGTACCCAACATTCCATACACTGTTAACAATGACGATCAAAGTTTCTGACAGTTGCAAGTGACAATCACGAGCGAAACTCCATACAGTATACACAATAACAATGGCGATTTCGCAACACAACGATGTAACAACACGAGTCATTAACACGGCAACATACAGGATATCAACGGAGCTCGGGACACCAACAACGAATTAATCATTAACTACCCCCAGAAGATACCGATCTCGACGCCGTCATTAACAACAACACTGGTCGCCGCGTCAATTTCTCACGCACACAACCGGACGAACACGTTCCGCAACCCAGCGAGTAAAAAAAACCCGCGATCGCAACCCGGCACACGCAAGATGGGTGAAGTTATTATTATTTTTATTGGGGCCGGGTGCTTGTCAAGTCACAACTCGCCTGGCAAACTGTGAATAGCGGAGGGCGGCAAGGTGGAGCACTGGAACGGCCTGAAGAATCTTTGATGGTGAACACGGCCTGCTCTTGCGAACCCATCCACCTCTCACGCTCGAGCAGAAGGCTGGAACTCCCCCTCTGCAGGCGTTGATGTCGGCGGGAGCGGCATTTCGGCAGCAGGAGCGGTGTTTTGGCGGGAACAGCGCCCCGACCAGCCGCCGAAATGGCGGGAACGGCGTTTTGGCGGGAACAGCGCCCCGACCAGCCGCCGAAATGGTGGGAACGGCGTTTTGGCGGGAACAGCGCCCCGACCAGCCGCCGAAATGGCGGGAACGGCGTTTTGGCGGGAACCGTGCCCCGACCAGCCGCCGAAATGGCGGGCCCACCGCGTGGCCCGCATGCCCGGGCCTCCCCCGCCAGCCACCGCAGCGACGATGGTGTCCTCTCGCCGCGGCTCCGTCGCTCCGTTCCCGATGGCGGCGAAGCAGCAGTGCGATGCAAGTCCCGCCGCTCCGCGTGCAGCGCCATCTCTCTCTCTCTCTGTCACCGGGGCTGCCATCCCCGGGGCTGTCCGAAGGATGGTCGTCACACCATCCCCGTCGTACGAAGACGTCCAGATGAGTTTTATATTTGTTTTTCGTGTGCCCATTTTACTTCCCTAGGATAACACCTAGCAATATTTATTTTTCCACAACTTCTGACACCAAATGTAATGGGTTCAATTTAGGCGCACACACTTCTTGGGAGGCAACACTCATTTATTAATTAACACAACGTTTACTCAACAGTTACTCTTACTCTACACATAGGGTGGTGACCACCGACCTACGCTAGCTAACACACAATTGTATTTTAGTCTCTCTCCAGCGTGACCCAGCCAGGTGGCTGCTGGCAGTCCGCTCACTGTAGGTCTTCTCTTCTGGCATCTTCACGAGGTGTCTTCATTCTTCTCAGGAACAGCCCTGCTCTGCCTTCACACCACCCTTATATCTCGTCTCTCTGGCGTGGCCGGCTCCGCCCAGGCCACGCCTCCCTTCCCAGGCCACGCCTCACTTCCCAGGCCACGCCTCACTTCCCCCACCTCTGGGAAGGTCCGGATCCCTCCAGCACGTGACCCCCCAGGCACCCCCTTGGGGCCCCCAGCCCTCGTACGGGCCAACACAGTAGTGACCGTTCTGTCACTACACAGGCATCAGGGTTGGGATCGAGCCCATGACCTACTGCATACCAGGCGAGGGAGTTAACATCTCGTCACTGTGGTGCCCCTACCTGTATTCATCCTGAATAATAATATGGTTATGATTAACATAGCCCTCCTGGTGTTGTGTGCAGTGGTTGGCGAGACTGTCGAGAGCGAAAGATAATGTGACTCGGGCTTTGTCCCTCGCCATTGACAAGGTGAGTTTATGCTTGAGCCACTGTAGGTGAAATTACTCACATTTGGTATCCATACTTCCCACATACTGCAGTAGTTTCACAGTAAGGGGTGATGTTGTTATGCTATTTGAAGCAATTGAAACATTTGCATGTACATTTAAAATTTAGCAAATTTGGACCCTGATGCCGGAAAGCAATGGCCGACTATTTTGAAATGACAGTACGGGATTTTTAATGTACGCTGTGTCGCAAATGGCACATATTTTGACAGTTAATACACCCAAAGTATTAACCAGGGCGGCTGCTGAAACCGGACCACAAATCTCCGCAACAAGTGGAAAACGCACTGCCGCTGGCCTATGTTTCCGCTGCACTACGCTACCTGGATGTGAACACATGTGGAAATTAAAACCATACTTCATAGAATTGGTAACAGTGCATGACCCTCATGAAGGGAGTGTAAATCTGTGCATGGCGGGGCTCGCAGTGCGTAGAGCCCCGGTGGGTCTTCCACGTGCTCGCTGGGCTGCACTGGCGTGGAGAGGGGAAGGCGGTACGAGCAGCCGCGTGCTTGCAGGCCGCAGTGCGTTTGGCTCCCCAGGGCGCGCGGCACGTGCCGCTTACGGACCACGCAGCCCTCGCGCTGCACCTGAGCCAGCTGACGGAAGCCGCCCTCCTTCTAAACCACTCGCTCAACCACACTGCCGACCAGGTGAGCCTCACCACCGCAAAACCACGCCGCCATTCGCCGCTAAGTGGTGAAGACGTCATCGCAGTGCCTGTGCCAGGCTAATTGCACTTTAAGGCTGTCACGTCAAGTGTGGAAGGCTCTCTGGCAGGTCATGGGACAGACCCAGGCGCTATGGTTTGAGAGGACTAGCAAATACACCAACCGTCGCCCCCACTGTGCCACTTCATTGTGTTTTAGCTGCCCAGCCCTCGACTCAATTTTTTGTTCGTTGCTCCACCGCTCTTCATTGTTTTTGGAGGGTGACTGCCTGCAACTGCCCAGTAGCGTTCTTCATGAACCTCCTCCACAGAGGCAGATCTTGGAGGACACTTGGGAAGAAAGCTGCTGAGCTCGCCACACACATGCATATGGAAATCACGGCATGTACTGGACCTGTATTTACTCAAACAATGATTGGCTAAGACACGCAAGGTTCCTTTGAAATAAAACTGTCTCGATTTCTAAATTTGATTACTAAAGTTGTCGTGTTTGGGTGTGAAGGCCGCGGCTTTTCTGGTGCTGGGCAACGTGTTGCTGGATGATCGGAAGGCAAGTGGAGCGGTGGAAGCGTTTGACCGAGCACTGCAGCTGAACCAGCACTGTGACCTCTGCGGACAGGGCCTGCTCCGAGCCCGTTGCCTGCAGCTATACCCAACCCTGTACAAGATCACCACGCTGTCACGAACCGGTAAAACCCCAACTCTGACCCAGTGAGCCTCTCGCTCTAGCTCAACCATATATAATTATCAGAGTAAATTAGCTGATAATACATCACCTTCCTCTATCTGTCCTTGCATATATAAGAAATTAAAGTATATTTTATACATCCCATCAACTACATGGCCAGAGAGTATGTTTATTCAGCAGCATTGGATTACTACAAGTAAACTCTTCACCAGTTATGACATTGAGTGTGTCATCGGCAAAGTCGGTCTCATCAGAGTACTTATGAACAACCACGATTAGTTATGAGTCCTAGTTTGAGGGAAAACTATAGAATACACAACACAATAATGACTTTCATTGGAGAGAATATCGATCACAAATAAAATAAGCAGATAATCTGCCTCCTTCCCATATTTATTCCGATAAGATCACCATGCCGTCATGTACTGGCAACACCCCGACTGACTCGGCGGGCCCCCTCCCTCCATCTAACTCTGGAGCACGTGTTGTCTACATACCGTCGCGTTGTCTAGTGTGTGGGGATTGGCGAGCGCATAGTAAGTGTCGAGTGTGCCGACTGTTTCCAGGGAATTGCAGTGAGCAGCAAGAGGTCCCTGCAACACGCGGCACACGAGACATAGGGGCGGCACTTCCTTCTTCCCTCGTTCAGCATGGAAGGACAGAACAAGGTTTGTCTTCTGTTAACAATCCCGTTACATGTTTCACAAACATCTTAACGGTAATCAGTCTGAGTGTTGTTCAAAATTATACAGAACTACGTAACACATTGTTATTGTATAGCTTCTCCAGTGGTACGAGTTATCAGCAGCACATGTCTGTGTTGTAATCACTATGGACAATTGCTGTTGTCTCTGCATCGTTTAACTATTGGACAGCCCTGCCTATATGTGGGTGTTCAATATAAACTTAAATGTTTTAACCAGATACTACTCACCACTAGTCACCTGACACACCACTCCCTACCCCCCTCAGACTCGCTCCTTACCAGATACCATGACCTGACACTCACTGCACCGACACTCGCCACACCTTCATTGAGTGTTTTCTGTATTGGGAAGAGTGACTGGTGCATTTGTTGAGTGATTGAAGCATTGGGTGAGTGAGTGGTGAACTGCATGTAGAATGTGAATGAGTGGTGGCTGTATGGTGTGAATGAGTGGTGGCTGTATTGTTTGAGCCAGCTTATAATGTGTTGTAGGTGCTGGAAGCCAAAATGGCACAGGGGAGGAGGTCCACTTGAAGGAGGAGCAAAAGCCAGAATCAGAGGAGGCGGATGAGGTGGGGAAACTCAAAGAAGATGAGCCAAAGCAAGATCTTGAGGCCGAAATGATATCTGACAATTGGAAAACAAGCTTAGATATGCAGCCAAGTCAGAAAGAGAGGCTCTTCAAAGTGGAAGGGAAGGAGGGAATAAACTCAGGGCCGGAACTCACTCGGAAGGAGACGCAAGGCTTGGAAGAAGAGGCAAAGTCCTCCACACTGGACTCGGCTGACGGAAGTACAGAGCAGCGCGGCACTGACGACTCCACGGTGGAGGAGCCGCGGTCGGCACTGGGCGACGTCTTGTCCACCGTGTGGTCAGAGAGCGGTTGGTTCGAGGGAGCGCTCGAGGTCAAAGGGCAGCGGGTGGACTTGCAGGGGCTACGCATGGTTGCTGGCGACTCACAGGCCGGGCCCTGCTTTGGGGACTGTCGCGATGGAGATGAAGATGAGTGGGTAAGCACCTTACAACAGTGATATTTGACTTTTGCCAGTGCAGTTCTCAAGCCTTGTAACGCTTTTCCTTTGCTAATAAGATGCTCAGAATAATTAGATATATTAAGTCTGTCTTGAAAAACTCACCTCTTTAAAAACTTACCTTTACCCCCCGAATTCTGGCCATTTACTCCGGTACTGTTTATTTCCTGCTTGTCATACGTGGCGTATTGGTATCCACGGATGAAATGTGGCTTACAAATGAAAATTATAATTATAAAGTTACGATGTTAAATGTATAACGTGCACCATTCTTGTTTGCTCCCAGAGAGAGAATATGATTCAGAGGTGCGGGAAACCACAGATAAGTGGGAAGGCAGCCTGAATCAACACCAATAAGTTTTAAAGCTCTGTGGTCCTAGTTGAACACGTAGGAGGCTTTCGCGACCAATATCATCCATAATAGAGGTTTTTGGGTTAGATCGCGTAAATATATTAATGTGTCGTTAAACCCGCCACCACCCGATACAGTCAACTAGTAAGGGTTACATCATGGGACCTCCTTTGCCAGTACCAAAATATGAGAATAGGTTTTCCCCTTTTTCGTCACTAGTACAGCACACCGGTGTGTTGGAGAGCCAAGCCACAACATTTACAATCTGAGTACGACGTTTCGCCAGCAATTACAACTAGCTTCATCAGGCGACAGCCAGATTTGTGGAGAAGTCCTCCTGTTTCGTTCATTATTTAGAGGCATAGATGTGGTGACCACACTTCTGCGCTCTTGCGCAAAGTGGGGGGTGGGGGGGGATTAATGAGTCAACGTACATTATGCACGTGCATTATGTGAGCCCTTTGATCTGTTCCTTCCTGTCCATTGTGTGTAAATAGCCGTACCAACGGTTCCGTATTTTCCCGCATATAACCCGCGGGGTAGACCACTTTTTACAAACAAAACAAGACCCTGTGGGGTATATGGAGGTGCGGGCTATCACGAAAAGATTTTACACGTGTGATATGTCATAACTCGTTTAATTTTTTTCATGGTAGGACTATCCACTATGCAACACTTACCTTTGACTAAAGCACTGCTGAATAAACCACTAACACTAAAATTGCACATGTTATCACGTTTTAAATTATTCAAATTGTTAGTACAATGTTTACATTGCGCAATGGGAAGGGCCTTAACAAGCATCTACCAGACACGGAATCATAATTGCCGAGTCCCTTAGGCCGCTGCTATTGGCTGAGCACGATACAGTCGCGACCATGAGCTTTGTTTCAAACTTCCAATGGCTTTTTTGCCAGGAGGCAGTGGCGTTACATTAGTGCCGCTATTGTCTGCAAAGTGCGCAATCTACCAGTGCTGAAACTGTACAGGGGTAACTACTGGTCCAGTAGCTGTAAAAATGATGAGGTCGAATGCTGGTAAGCCTAACAGTACGCTTACTTACTTATCTACCAGTTATGTGTTACTTATTTATTGGATATTTACTTTTGTTACTTATTTACTGTTTTAAGTTCACTCGTTTCCGATTAGTTTGTTTTCTTTGTGCACGTTATGATTTTAATGTTAACAATTAATAGTGGAATGTATTACAAATGTAAACTTTGTATTAATATGATGGAATTAAGCTGCGGTACCGACCTTAAAGATATGAATGCATGTGGGGTATATGGAGGTGCGGGCTCTCTGAAATTTGTTTTAAACAAAACGCTATTTTTGCGGGGTATATGCGTCTGCGGGTTATATGTGTATGCGGGCTATATACGGGAAAATACAGTAAACCCTATTGAAGTATGGTGGCCTGTATTGGCATGCATTTAAACAATGTATTATTTGGTAATTCGCTTCCACGCAGCACTAAGTCGGTAGCTATGCGAACGGTTTAAATTATTTTTATTTATTTTTATTTCGATAGATTTTCTAATTAGTCTTGGCCAGTAGTAGCTAGTTTTGCACAGAACTTCAACATCAAAATCAAATGAGTGTCCTTGTTGGCACGTGTGTTCTGCTACTGCTAACAGTTGTTTTTGGGAGTATTTGATATTTATTTGGTGTGGTCCTCTCTTGGCATCTTGGGCCAACTCCATTAACAATGAAACTGGAGTCCCCGGAGAAAACTCACGTGTGATCACTTAACCTGACCTTGGTCTAACCTTTGCCCTGCAGTCGTGTAGATGCCTGTACATGTGACTGATAACGTCTGCATCTCAAGCTGGACGTGCAATTTTGCCACCTCCTTTTTATGAAGCACACGCCCCACAGCAGTATTTATTTGTGTAGTGCCACAAAGCCCATCTCTCTACCCTACACAACTACTGTTCTGGTGTATTGGAGAGTAAATCCACAACATTTACAATTCGAGATTGTCTGTCACCTGATGATGCTAGTTGTAATTACTGGCGAAACGTCGTACTCGAATTGTAAATGTTGTCGGTGTACTCTCCATCACACCGGTGTGCTGTACTAGTAACGAATTGGCATGTTTTGTTTACGTGACAAACCTTACTAATTGGCTGTGTCAGGTGGTGGCGGATGTAATGACACATTTATATTTACACGATCTAACCAAAAAAAACCTCTCATTTGCATTAAACTAACACACCCTAGCGGCGGTGCTTCTGATAGGTTTCTTTTTAATTACAGATGAACAGGAATGTTTTATGTATGCTTGGGAGAATGGCTTATCCGGTAATGCAAGACTTGCTCCGTTCTTCTTTGACGGCCACGCATCTTTGCCTTGCGCCATTGAATCGTGATCATCGGTTCCTTCCATTGTTATTTGTTGGAGGATAAAATGAAGTCTGGCATTGGCCTGTAAACACACCATACTGGTGGTAAAGGGAGCGGGGTTTCAGCACGATATTGTACAGTGATACGCTGTCCACATACCAATGGATCTGTTAGGGAAGCTCGGAGGGATCTTCTACAACATCTGACTTGCATACCAGACCTAGTTCCTTTGGATCTTCATCTCTTTGACTCTGCACAGTCATAGCTGAAGCACAAACCAAACGACTTCTCTGCTGCTGTCATTAGATTGCAACTGGGTTTCTGGCACACATTTGATCAGAGGGAGGCTGCATTGTGAATGCTAACATGTTCTCTAAATAATAACTTTAGCCTCTTATTGAGACACCTTTGTGATCACTTTAAGGCAACGTTGGTGACTCGACGTGGATGTTGCTTGGCTGTTGTTGTTGTTGTTGTGCAGATAACGGTGCAAGTAAAGCAGTCGCGGAAACAGAAGGAGGCCTGGGGAGACTTTGGTCTCATTCCCAAGAGAGAGGGAAGTCCCATGGAAGAGGCAGAGAGAGAGCAGTGGGTGTTTTCTCCAGCACAGAAGGAATCTGAACCCCAGCTCAGTGGCCCCGTAAAAACCTCTGCACCTCCAGGTGAAACGCGGTGTCCCTTTTGACTGATGATGAAGCATTTATACCACATCACCTTCATTTGGTCGCAAAAAACTTTCTCACTGAGGCTCATGTAAACATAGTTGTGGACCTGAATTTCTTAAGTGACTTGAGGTGGCTTTTACCTAACACTTTGGAAAATGTTGCAAGGTAAGATGGGCCATTAAATTATGTGGTCACCCTGTGACTGATCAACTACAACGGCTGTTACTCCTCTGCCGTTCTCTGTCCATTTTATCATGACCATTTGATGGAAGATGTTTGTAGAAATGGAATTGTAAATGTGTTGTCTCTGGAATCAGCTCTCCAGAAAGGACATTGCATCCCTCAGAATGGTGATAAAGGGCATCCAATCAGCAAAGAGCAGCAACCAGGTACTGAAAGAGGACGTGCTTAATTATTATCATTGTGATTACGCTTGTTTACCAATCAGTCTCGTTTTTAGAAAGGTCCTGCTAAGTGTTTCACAGGAAGGGGGCGATGATTGCCGTGTTTATGAATGAAGTAATTTGCTAGTGTTTTATAAAAAACATGACGCCGGTACATAGTGGTCTATTCCTCTTTAAAGAACATCATGGGATCTTTAACGTCCACTGTGAGTGAAGCAGATGGCGTGTAGTATTTCATGGTTAATAAGCACGACAGTATTTACCATGGTAGCTCACCGAATCCAAAACCGCAAACACCATTAACAAGCGGTGAACGTGCTATCACTGGGCCATGTGACCTCCCCATTCATGTTAATGGTTGGCTACGTACAGTGCTAAAGAAGTACATAAGTATAGAATGCGAAGTGTGATTGAGAATTTCTCTGAAACCGTTTCCACAGCTGCCTTTATGTGTTTGCGTGCTGTCGCAATGGTGTGTGTGCAGAAGCAGCCAAGAAGTTTGCGAACCTAGGCTGGCCCAGCACCAAGGAATGCATCCGAGTTCGACGTCTCAACCCCAACATCCACCCTTCCACTTGGGTTCCCCTCACTCTCAAGAACATCCGGTGAATTGATCCTGCTCTGGTTTTATATGCTGACACCCTACTTTTACCCTGCGATGTCCGGTTTATTTTAAAAGCAGTTGCTAACCAATTGGTGAGAGGGCTAATTGAACCTTATGGCGGAACCCCGGGGTCCCGAATAATTGGAAGTCAAAAGCGGGAATCATTAATTCATTATTTTCGCCGACTCTGTCCCACCGCGCACATAAACGCCGCAACCCACCTGGCGCGGATCATTCTGTTGTCATGTCGTCCAAGTGCAGCGAGGACGAATGCGCATAAGAAACAAAACTTTTAAACTTTGATTAGCTCATCGTGTAGAGCTCATCGAGAGGAATAGATTACCATATCGTTCGCCTTCAACAGACATAAAATGACGTCGCAACGCAGTTTATGTGAGAGCCGGGGGCTTACGAGACCCCGGGGTCCCGCCATAAGGTTCAATTGGTGAGAGGGTCAATACGTCAAGTGGCTAGCAATAAACAGTAATAAGGGTTGACACATGTCTTGAATAGAGCATGGTTATAAGAGATAATGGAACAGAATCCCAAAGTGCGAGGAAAGAAACCGAAAGAGGAGCGTTGTTACCTGCAGTGTGGCGAGTGGGTGATTGAGTGAATAAGTGTGTTGTTGTGTCCTATAGTACAGTGGTTCAACACAGTGCAGATGAGATGAAACAGTCCAGTAGAGAGTCTTTATGGCGACTGGCTGCTGGTGAGCGAGTGACTATTCAACGGCTCAACAGACTCGATGACAAACGTGTCGCAGAGAAGCGTTTGGTATTGTGCAGGGTGCGGCTAACGAGCAGTGGGTGTGTGGCGCGTGCAGCGTGGCAGAACACATCGACCTGACGTCGCCGCTGCAGGAGCCATTCTCGGAGCCGGTGTGCAACCCGGCCCTGCCGGCCAGCATGCACACGCTGGACCACCTGGCCGGCGTAGGCGCTCGCGGCTCCCTCATGTACGGAGGAGAGAAGCGTCTGCGAGGGGTAACCACACACGCACACCCACAACATGAGCATTACTCTGTAGGGAGGTTTACAGTGGTTGTCCTTAGGATATACTCATCCCCACCATAGTGTGGAATTTCCACGACTGGCTAAGGCCTATAAACAGGATATGCTAATTTGTGTAGGAAACCACTTTTATTTTATATTCTTTGTTCTTTCGGTAAAGTCACGTAGAAGGGAAATAATAAAAATAAAACATAATAAGCTAAAATTCTAACGACGTTTCGGCCACAACGCAAGCAGCCGTCCTCAGGTGAAGAACAGGGCTGTCGGAAAGACCGCGTCCTAATGAACTGCTTGCGTTGTGGCCGAAACGTCGTGAGAATTTTAATAATATTTTATGATTTTATTTTTTATTTTAATTTTATTTTTTTACCGAAGTGACTTTACCGAAAAAACTAAGAGCATGAATCCTTGCAGTCACGAAAGCTTCAAATCTAGAATTAATACCCGGTCACACGACCGTACATGTTCTGCATTAGCCCAGGTTGTCAGTAGCCCCTGTAGTATCGGTCGTGTATTCTGCTGGCCATAGTGTCACCCAACACTGTTTCTCATCCATCAACCACATTTGGAAACTCATGGAGTTGAAATTTCCGAAAACAAATGGTGTCTAGATCTAGGCGAGAAAGTCATGATGGCCAAACCCACTGATGCCACCAGCATCCGTATCAGACAGCTGTACTCAAATGTCACAAATGAGCTTAAACACAATGATAGCTTCAAACACACGTGTATGTAACAATTACATTGAGGCTTTGCTGCTCACTTGTGTGGAGTGGATAGACCGTGATGCTGTGATGTGTGGTGCTTTGCTGTGCTTCCCCCAGGAGCTGGAGAGACTGGCCAAGGCCTCACTAGGGGAACGACGCCTGGAGCACGTGGCCACCCGAATCGCCAGAGCGATGGAGAAGGTCTTCATACTCAGAACACTATCTCAAATTTGACTTACAAGCCTTAGAGACACTCGTTCCGGCCAAGTAGCTCACAATCGGAAGATTTAGAGTGAAAATATTGGTTGGTGGTTGACCTGGCCCATCATCACTGTGGCAAAGTATATAGTGGTTTTCCTATGGACTCCCCCCTGCCATAAAACTAGGAATTACTACCACTGGCTCAGGACTGCAAACAGGAACTGAGCACTGCCTAAATGCGTATTTGAGTAGGAAATCACTCTGGCTTTTTGACTTGCCTTTTAGGTCACGGCTTGCAAATCTGCATCACCCACACCCGCCAGGTGTCAGAGGTTCAAATGATCCTTTGTAATCTTTGGTTTTTTTCAGCCTTCGTTCTCGTTTTCGTCCCATGTCTCGCAACTCTACAGGACCTCGTGCCTCCATCTGCACATTATTTCAGCGCTTGCAACTTCCTCACCCTAGCTGATGCAGACTAAAATCCATACCTTCGTCACAACCCAACTCGCCTTCTGGAACTCTGTCCTCTCCCGCCTCCCCACATCCCTTGTCCCCTAAATTCCTCATCTCCAAGCTCCAGATGATCCAAAATGCAGCTGCCAGGCTTCTCGTCCGCACCTGTAAATGAGACCACATCTCCCCAATATTCCAATCCCTCTACTGGCTGCCAATCCCAGATCAATTTAAGGTCGCATTCACAATTATCAAGATCCTCCATGGACCCTCTCCTCTCATCTTACTCTACTCCCCTGCATATGCTCTTCTTTTCCCCTCTCATCTCACTCTCCTCTCCTCCATGCATACTCATACCTTTCCCCTCTCATCTCACTCTACTCCCCTCCACTCACTGTGCTCAAACTCCCTTTATGTGCTCTCAACTCCAGCATTAAACACGAGAGAACTTGGTTCAATCTCGTGCGAGAGCTGAACACTATTGTATGTGTATATGTTGAACTTCTTTCGCACCGTACATAGCCAACCGTGCTGTGTGCTGGCTATGTGCTCTGCCCACAGAATGACACATCATGGGTGTTGGCCAACCTCGCTGCCCTCTACTGGAGGATCCAAGGCCAGGGGCGACGCGCAATTGATTGCCTGAGACATGGCCTGCACCACGCCCCTCACCACATGAAGGTGCCAGACACCGCCAGGGCTTCTGTGCACCATGTCTGGTGGTTGTTATGGGTTTTTTCTATTTCAATGTTTCAGAGAAAATCCTTTGAGTTAGAGAAACATATAATTTGCAAGGTAGTCCAGGGTGTCAAGTGACATACAGTAACACGTAATGATGCGTATACACACATACAATTATAAAGATTCCCCTTTTAGCCTTGACCAAACTGTTGGGGCAAGTGCTATTATCGAGCACCTATGAAGGCCATCACTCGAGGGGGTGGGTGGCCAGCACCACGCCCGACTGCCTTTGTCTCGCGCAGTGATTTTTACACACCGCACTAGTTACTCATGTGAGGCTCAGTCAACCTAGGGGAGGCCCAGGACCTGTTCAGATCGTCATCGCTGGTGTTGGCCTTGAATGGAAATCAAATTCTGGTCGCCGGGTTTGTAGCGCCGCGTGCTAAACACTGTTCCACCGTTCCCCCACCCACACATAGCAAACTTAATCAGCACACATGTATACACGTATACACGTAGACCTCGCTTAGTGCTCAAGATGTGTTCCTGGAGAAGTGAGTGCGAATTGAATCAACATGAAAAGGGGTCATTTTACTATTAAATATATGGAGAATCATTCATGATGTTATTTCTTGCTTATAAGCAATACATGAGGGCTTCATTGGGATATCGGTAAAAACACTAATAAAAATACAGATGGTAAACATGATTTAATAAATAAAAGCTAATATTTTGTTAGATCAATATTATGTACTGTACTCACCAGTGCATTCTACTCACAACCCACAGCCACCTGACACTCACCTGCCTCAACCCGCCATATCACTTGGATTTTGACATCCAAAGTGATACTTTTCCTGACACTTTGGTCACATTTCCAGCACTAACACTTGCAGGCCTTTTTCCAGACACATTGGGTCTTTAATGGTCACAAAAACAAAATAAATGAGGCAGAGACCAAGGTGGTGGAGTAAGCATACGTCAGTGGGCACGTGTCTTTTTAAAAATACTGGCGAGCGTTGCTCTGCTCGGAGCATTTCTTGCTCTCATTGGCTTTGTGAAAGTAAACAAAGATGGCAGTGGGTGTGTTTCCTCAGCCAGTGCTGCATGTTCTGACTCAAAAGCGCTTTTAAGATTTTTGGATGTTCTTAATGTTTTCATTAAAAATGTCACCAGGACAAAGAGCACTTTAACTAATCAGCACTGTACGGGGTAGCGCTTAGCAAGGTCTCCCTGTATACTGGACATCACTCCCAAACTCGTCAACATGTAGATAATTAAATTATGCACAGCACTGGTTTATGTAGATTCTACTCTTGCTGCACCAGTTGCAGATGTTGTGCCAGTTTGTTTTAATTAAAGATGTAAATCAGTTAAATGTTGAGGTTGGTGGTGCATTTCGTGTGTCTTGAGAGATAATTCCATGTTGACACAGCTTTGAGGCAGAGTGTGCCTGTTGGGTTTGCCTGTTGGGAATAATCGTTGTCGAGTGGCTTGCGGTGTTGACCTGCCTATGCGGCGCGTGTGTTGTAGGACGTGGCTCTGGTTAGTCTCGCGAACGTGCTCCTACAGGCCAGGCTGGGGAAGGAGGCTCAGCTCGTGGCTGGCATGGCAGTGCACATCTCTCCCAGAAATCCTACCGCACACTGCACGCTGGGCAATGCCTACCTCGCCACGGTGAGCACCGTGCCACCGCTCACACCTAATTCACATCGCAACAGAAGCCAAGTCGGTGGTAGAGTGAGCAGCTCGCAATCAGAAGGTTCTGAGAAAATTCTGTTGACTCGGAGCATTGACCCAGGGTTAATGAAATTCATATCACTGTGTGAGGAAATCAACAGTGGTTGTCCCGGGAACAAACTTACCCCTGCGATAAAAATGTGGAATGTCCACTACTGGCTCAGGGCTGTAAATAAGAAATGAGCACCACCATAATACTCATTTGAACAGGAAATTGCCTTGAGGAACACACGCACGCAAAAATAGATGAATGGTGGTAGGGATACCATGGGTGCCAACAGGTAAGACAAGTCACTTGCATTCTTATTTTTGCAGCAATATTCAGAGATACCTTGTTAGCTAGTTTACTGTGACCGTCGTACAGTGGTTGTTAGGCCACTTAATGATCTGGCAAAATTTATGTAGCAAGAGACCCCCCCCCACCACCCGACACAGCCAAACAAATTGTCACATGCACAAGCGTTAATGAGCAAACCGTTATTGTTTTAGCTTCCCAGATAGTTGAACAATGATTGTCTAAACTTCATTTAGAAAAAACATACTGCATTTCAGTTGAAATTGTCAGATTACATCAGAACAAGGTCTAGCAACAGCACCGGATCATCTTCTAAAACAGGTGTCATGACCTTCCAGGAATAATCAGAATTACACTGTATTCGCAGAAACTTTGCTCGATCATTGTTTGGCCTCATCTAAAAATTAATTATGAATCATTATATTGGCTGCGTAAATATACGTGTCCAATTTATAATAAGCAAAGGTGAAATTCGTGTAAAATCTGTTGAGTTCCATAAACAGTCATGGTTGTGTCTGTGTTTGCGCTGGGTTTATTTGCACACATGGAGGTCTGTGTGTGCATGGGTCTGTGTTTTTAAATATCAAATATTCACACAACTGTCACTGCAGGATATTGTAACTTTTTTAATGGAGCTTCCAATTCCCTTGAACTTTTTGTGTTTAGTTTGTTGTCCTTCCCCCGCAACTCCGGTGAGCATGGTTGTCTATGTATGGTGCAAAATAAGTTCAACATACATAATTGGTTAAGGAATTGTCATCTGCGTAAATGTACACGGCCTAATTTTATTTATTTAAATCTTGACTTAAAACTTTTGTGACTGCAGGAATTCATATTCTTTGGGTCTTTCGGTAAAACCACATAGATATAAAAAGTAATAAAATAATAACAATATCACGACGTTTCGATCGCAACACAAGCAATCGTCATCAGGTGAAAAATATAGCGGGAGAGCTGCTGAGAATATATGGTGGGAGCGCTGCTAAGGCTGGGAGTTATAAAGGTTTGAGATGGGTGTAGCCCAAGGGTCAGTGGGCAGGGCTCGAGATGAAATTTGCATGTAAATGGAAGATCAGAGAAATCTTGACAAACGAAGCTGTGGGGGTGGTCATTGTATTGTGAGACATTAGCATATTCTAGATTTGAAGCTTTCGTGACTGCAAGGATTCATACTCTTAGGTTTTTTCGGTAAAGTCACGTAGGTAAAAAATAAAATTAAAAGTTAATAATGGAAATAAAATAAAATAATAAATCACGACGTTTCGGAGGCAACACAAGTCTCCGTCATCAGGTGGGACCGTCACAGCTAAAATTACTGCATCCCTTGATGCAGCTAAAATTACTGCATCGTGATTCATTATTTTATTTTATTTCCATTATTAACTTTTAATTTTATTTTTTACCTACGTGACTTTACCGAAAAAACCTAAAAGTATAGACATTAGCATGTCAATGTAAGAAATTTGCTTGTCAATGTAAGAAATTTTCTTGTCAATGTAAGCTCGGAGAGAGCTTGGAGAGAGCCATCGCCACATGGAGGTGGAAAAGGATGGCAAGCCGCCATTTAATAATTGCTTGTGTTGCGATCAAAACGTCGTGATATTGTTATAATTTTTATTATTTTATTATTTGTTCTATCTATGTGGCTTTACCAAAAGACCCAAAGAATATTTATTTAATGATTTTGTTTACATTCCAGTTTCTGTGGTGTTACAGTTTTCAATTATTAGGATATGTTTTGCCTTTGTTATATGTTAAATAATTATTGTCCATAGGATTCTGCCATGGTGCAACGGTCGGGCCAAACACTGGACTTGCGATCCAGATGTCGCCGGTTCGACTCGATCTCCGTGCGTAACAGTTGCAATGGGGGCAATTTTCTTAAATCCCCCCCACCTCTGTCCACCTAACAATACAAATGGGTACTCATTCGACTGGCAGGTTACGTGTGGTGGGGTAAAGTGTGGGTACGCCCGCCTGTTCCCGCCTGGCCAGCGTGGTCTTTCTGCCAGCAGTGATATGCATGATCAACAAAATGCAGGGCTGCATCTTTAATGTTTTAACTACAACGGGCACCTGCATGGTTGTGTGTGCATAGGAGGACAGACAAAAGGCCCTGCAGTGCTACGGGTCAGCACTGGCCCTACAGCCAGAATACCCTACCGCCCTGGAGCGTCTGCGAGCCGTGCAATGCAACATCCTTGTCTATGAAAACCAGTAGGCTTGTGACCTCACCTGGGATGGGCACTTACCTATGTTCTCACCTTTGCCCTCACCTAGTATTGGAATCAAATGTGGAGAGTTTGAAACTGCACAACATGGTGTCTTGGGTTTTTTTGTCAAATTTGTGTCCAAAACATAAATCAGATGTGTATTAATCGTATGGTAATTACATTAGAAGATGGAATCCCTCTACACACTTGACACATGCCCTGTATGGACAGATGTTGGCTGCACATGCAACAGAGCGTGTGGTAATCGATCTCTGCGTGTCTTGACGTGGGTGATCTGCAATGCCTGTGGTGAGTCGAGGCAAAATTCAAACCTCACGGGGGTGATCGTTTTCAGTTTTTACTTGAGCAGAAAATGGCCAATTCTTAAAAAAATATTAATTTAATCTAAACGCCGTGAGGTTTATGTTCTGTGTCAATTATAAACTATCGTGAGGGTCACAAGAATGCAGATGGTTGCATATTTGACAACACTTGTGGGGAGCTTGGTGAATCTCAATATTGAGAATATTTGTGGTACTCGGTGTCCTTCAGACCTTGTATTTGTACCACGTGGAGATTAAATACTTTGACTAATTCAGCTGATTTCTCATTGTGGATGTGTGGGAATGGGCTATGCACGACAGGTAAATCCTCATACTCTCCACCGAGGCTTGCCGAGTTCTGATACTAGTGTTGCCACGCGTGGCGAGAACCCCCAGCTGCCCTTGGGCCACTGAGGGGATGATGAAATGTACAGCCAGCCGAAGACATGCCAACCACAACAAACCCCGACTTGCCTATGGGCCTGAAGACTGAAATTCCTCCTCCCTGTCTCCTCCTACTCCCCGTGTCTCTTCATGTCTTTCTCCAAGTCTCTCGTTTATTTCTCGCCATGTCTCTATTTGTCCCATCTCTCCTTCTTGCAGATCTGTGCAGTCATCTACAATTTTAGTTATTTCTCTAATTGTTATATACATTCATTATAAACAATACACTTCTGGAATGCAGGCCCAGTTCAACTATACTTCACCACACCACTCATTGGTAGGTAGGGAAGACCTAGGACAGGTTCAGATTCAGGTAATCACCACGGATGTTGGAAGTGAGGTGGAAATTGAATTATTAGTCAATAAGAGACGGAGACAAATGTCATATTTGTCATTGTGTTATTCACAATGCGACGTAAAATATGACAATTTAAACTTTGTAATTAGGTTTTTAAGTGTTTCTATTATTTTTGTACGTGATTTGCTTCACATAAGCCTGCCTCGTGTGTGGTGTGTGTTCAATTCCCACTCATTGCCAATATCGGTGGATATCTGAACTAGTCCTGGATTCCTCCCCTAGATCGACACAGCTTTTAATGGGTACCAGATGCGATGTAAACATCAGCATTGGGGAGACCAAGGCGGCCAGGCGTGGTGCTTGTCTCACCATTCCCTCATAAGTGATAATCACTAACAGCACTCGTCGTAGCAGCCTATGTGGGTGACACAGGGCATCTTTGTCTTTATATTTGTGTGTGTAGGGGAGTCAGGGTTAACAATGAAGAGATTTCTTGTTTAGTCATTTAATTAACTTCCTTTGCTGAACACGCATTATACAGAGATGGGAGAAACAGGACGAGAGATACACAGAGACCCAGATAGAAAGAGACGGATCGAGGTACACACCAATCATAGGCTCACAAGAGCCAGACTAGGGCTCCCATAGGGTTCGGTGTTAATCACCCAGGCTCACAGAGCCAGGCTAAAGCTCTCCCACACAACATGACCCAGAAAGTGCTTAAGAATTTAATCAGAGACACGGATATTAATACATGCCTTCAATAAACCATACTTCACCAAAAATCACCATTACTTTCACTTACATTACCAGTGATGAACACTATGGGAGCCTCAGGATGAACACAGGGACACACACAAAGACAAACTGACACAAACCCATAGATTCACAAAAGTCCATAGACTCAAAGAGGCCCATACACTCGCACAGAAACCCTCCCACACAGCTCTAGGTCACGGGGAGAGAGATAAGGGAAAAGAGGGTTCATAAGTGCCATGTCGTCTCTACACACACACGCTAAAGCTACTGTATCACGGTTATTAACACAATAATTGTCAACTAAAGTACAATTAAGGACCTTACGTTTAAGATAAAATATTTGATTATACAAGTATTTGTATTTGGTTTAAGATGTTATCGTGAGTAAATTTAACACTTTGAGTAGCTAGTGTTGCGTTTGTGAGTTTAATGTTTTCATTTGTGGTACCAGGAGTTAATTTATCGACCATTTCAACCAATCATCAATAACGTGAGTACATCCTTGTATCCTGTATACACATTAACGCGCATAAACACAGACTTCACAGAGTTACCCCATAGCCTCGCGCAAACACGTAGAGACCCACAGATTCACAGCCTCTTGGACACACGAAGAGTCGTACAGACTCGAGCAGATGTGAGCAGATGTGACCGTGATCCAAGATCACAGCAGGGTGGTTGTTGAGTATTCGCGTCTCCACGAATTCTCGCGTCGCCGACTGCGTCGCGTTCGTCTCTGGCGCCTGGGGGCTCCCACAAGCTCCAGGAGACGGCAACGGCCGCAATACCTCCCATTGATCTATTATCCCACAGCCATATGTTCGCCTTTCTTGAATGGCCAGGTATCGCAATATTTGGTATCGTCCCCGAGTCGCTATCAGGAATGAAAATGAGCTTCATAGCTCATCGGATTCTTTCAGTAAAGATTCTGATTCTGAATCAATTGTGCTTCATTAACGAGACGCTTACTCGCAATATCAAGCCGTCACACAGCATGAAATCGCCCAAAACAATGCATTTGAATATTGAACAATGTTATTAACAACTGACGCCCTAACCCAATTTACAATGCCATATGCAAATACAGGAATATCGCCTCCTGCACAAAGAGATGCGTTCCTAGGAAAACGTGAATATTTACAATGAAGTGTAAAAAAATGCAGATGATTATAACTTAACAATATATTATTTCAACTACTGCTACAAACTACTACTACAATACATCATTAGATAAACCATGACCGAGAAACCCGTCACAACTCAGAGTCTCAATCCTCCGCTCCTCCCACAGATGCCCACAGAGCCCCGCCCCTCGCGTGCGGGGGAGGGGGGAGGGGCTGCGGGGGTGAGGAAGTCACGTGCCCCCAAGTGCGCGCGCTGCCGTAACCACGGTTACGTGATGGAACTCAAGGTGACGATGAGGCTGATTATTGTGTAGGGTTGAGTCTGCAATGAGGATTGCTATGTTCTGTAATTCATATTCATGTTTTTGCTGCTACTACTGATGATGACGACATGAAGCTGGTCTATGCTATTGGTATTGATGGTGTTGCTCTTACTATTGTACTAAAGTACTCCTGGCAAGGAGACTTGGGCGGCTGGTGTACTTGAACTGCTTTATTTCGTTGTCACCGCTCGTGCACCACAGATGTTGTAACATTTATATGCTTAATACAATGTACAAAGTAATATATAGTATCGTAATTGTATAGCGAACTAGCTGTACTACCCGGCTTCGCCCGGGACTTGTATCCACCACGGCCGGCCGCCTATGTCTCCCCAGTGGCGATGTTAATACGCCACACCAGTTACTCGTTTTGCGGCTGAGTCCCTCCCTCACCACTCTCCCTCCCTCACCACTCTCCCTCCCTCACCACTCACGCACGGCCGCCTTTGTCTCCCCAGTGGCGATGTTAATACGCCACACCAGTTACTCGTTTGAGGCTGAGTCGACCTAGGGGAGGTTCAAATAATCGTCACCGGTGGTGGCCGTGAGCGGGAATGGAACTCGGTTCGCCGGGTTTGTAGCGCAGCGTAGCGTTAACCACTACACCCACCGCTCCTCACACCACACACGCACAGACACACACACAGACACACACACAGACACACGCAGACAGACACAGACAGACACACACACACAGACACACAGACAGCACGCTAAGCACTACACTACCGCTCCCCACACACCACACACGCAGACACACACACAGACACACACACAGACAGCACGCTAAGCACTACACTACCGTTCCCCCTACACAACACACGCGCGCGCGTCCATAGGTACACATACACGCGCTTGCTGCAGACACACACGACTTTCAGGGTGCGCACGGCAGTAAACGACTGCAATAATAAAGCGGCAATGCTGCGCGAGGAACGCCTTAGACCTGCAACACATTTGTGTAATGCGAGCGTAAACACACAAACACATACAAACACATACACACACATACATACACACACATACACACAAACACATACACACATACATACACACACACATACATACACACAAACACATACACACACGTACATACACACATACATACAGACACACAGACATAGACATAAACACATAGAAAAAAACCCACATACACACACACACAAACACATACACACACATACATACACACATACATACAGACACACAGACATACACATAAACACATACACACATACACATGACCCGGCTTCGCCCGGGACTTGGATCCACGATGCCCGTCCGCCTTTGTCTCCCCAGTGACGATGTTCACACACGACAGCAGTTACGCGTTTGAGGCTGAGTGGACCTAGGGGAGGGCCAGGTCCGTTTCAAATAATCGTCAGCGGTGGTGGGCGTGAGTTGGAATCGAACTGGGGTCGCTCAACCAGCTTAATGACTATTTGTACAAAGAACATATAAAGAATCGATGATAATAACCAGGCTACAGTCCACATTATAGACTGCCAGTACACGCAGTCAGCTTCATAAGCAGGCTAGAGTGTACATGATAGAGTGGCAGTACGCTCACCGAGCTTAATAAGCAGGCTACAGTCTACATGATAGACTGGCAGTACGCTGACCCAGCTTAATGACTATTTGTACAGTGAACATTTAAGTAATCGATTGTTGGCGCGTTGGGTTTAAAAGTAATAGTAATTGCACACATTGTGGTGGGGGTGTAGTGAAGAGTAGGAAAAACTTTGATGAATTTACCTCAGAGTGGCGTGGTGGGTGTCGAGGCCTAGTAGCGTGCAGAGCCTGCGGCCTCGCCCAAATTGTCCACGCGGCAGAGGCAGGGTACGGGTGGCGTTCCTTCCCCCCCCCTAGCGCTCCAAGAATACTGTGTAATGGCTATTATTTAATTAATTACGGAGCCTATGAAAGTGGCGAAGGCGTGGCTAGCCGTTGGCAGGGGCAACCGCCGTCCAATGAAACTGCAGCCCTTGGCGAAGGCGTCGCTAGCCGTTGCCAGGTCCAATGAAAGCGGCGAAGGCGTCGCTAGCCGTTGCCAGGGGCAACCGCCGTCCAATGAAAGTGCGTATGGTCCGAAATCCACACACACACACACAGACAGACATCTACGATTTTATATATATAGATATACAGCAGTGTGATATACATTAGGGTGGGTAGAATAATACATAGTGTTATATTAAAATGTATAAGGTTTATAGCAATACAGTATATAATTTAATGTTGGGTTTGTCTATGGCAGTATATAGTACGGTGTAGACTCGTGTGATTTAAGAGAATAAAGTTTAGATGGAAGCATATATTTTTTACGACGTAGAATTGTAATGTATTACTTACTGTTAGTAACTCAGCTTATTATAGAGTATAGTTAGTATACTGATGATACTATGTAGTTTATACTTTAGTTGTTTACGTGTTGGTTTTTAGTTACTGCAGCTACATACTATTAACACTACTTCCCTTTATTAATGTTACCCCTATCCCCTCCCTTTGATGCCCGCTAATCCTGCATAATGCACGGGCATAATTAGTACTATTCACATACCTGCATTTCCCATATCCCCTCCCTTTGATGCTGCTAATCCTGCATAATGCACGGGTATAAGTAGTACCAATCACATACCTGCATTTCCCATATCCCCTCCCTTTGATGCTGCTAATCCTGCATAATGCACGGGCATAAGTAGTGCTAATCACATACCTGCATTTCCCATAAATATGCTGAATTCCTCTTGATATGCAAATTATTTTGTCAAGGCGCCCTTTCCCCCCCTTCCAACCCAGCTTAAATATATGCTCCAAGCATGGTGCTGTTTCATTCAGACACTGTCACCTCGACAGACCTGGTTTTCACCTGAGGACGGCTGCTTGCGTTGTGGCCGAAACGTCGTGAGAATTATTTTATTATGTTTTATTTTTATTATTTTATTACTTCCCTTCTACGTGACTTTACCGAAAGAACCAAGAAGAAGGGTGCGTATCCCGTGGATGCATGTGGCAGCGAACAATAGGCTGCCAGCACCCAGGGGATGTGCAAATCCTAGTCCATTTGCTGGGCGTTCACCAAATAACATCCCCAAGATTGTGCGGTTAAAGCGTCCAACCATACCATCAGTTTGCGGGTGGTATGGGGAAATCCGCACCTTCTTGACGTGTCGTACACCCCCTGAAAAAGCTTGAAAGAGAAGTTGCGCCCCTGGTCTGTCAACAGGTGCTCAGAACCCCCCTTGTCAGCCACGTACCCCTTAACAAAGGCATCGGTTATAGACGCCGCGGTCTGATCGACCAATGTTCCATGCGAAGGGCCAGTGGGTAAAGTATTCTATACCCGCTAGTAGGTATTTATTACCCCGAGCAGTGGCTGGAAAGGGGCCTAATATATCGAGGGCAACGAGCTCGTTAACCCCAGATACTTTTATCGACTGCAGGGGGGTGCGCATCGCGGCAGCCACAGGCTTCCTGCGCGTACAGCCCAAGCAGTTCGACACCCAACGATGGTGATCGGCGGACATGCCCGGCCACAAATAGTGAAGGCGTAGTGCTGCTTCCGTCTCATGGCTGCCCAAATGGACATGAACGTCTGCGCATAGCTGACTCCAAAACCCTGCGGCCGACAGTCACGTCCCAGTGCATCAACAGGCCATTCAACATAAAGAAAAAACTTCCCACCACAGTGGCACTAAGGCAGATTCTGCCTGCTGCATTCGCCCAGGGTCAGCCCTATGATGACGACGAGCCCGCCTGGTCCGAGTCCCCGACGGGAATCGGGGCTACGACCTCGGGCGCCGACGCAGCTGCAGGCTTACAGCGCCCGGGACCTGTCGCCACAGGCGCATGCAACGGGAGCCGGAAACCGGGACAATGCATCGGCATTAGTGTGTCTCAGCCCTTTGCGGTGCACCACTCAGTATGAATATTCCTGCAGTCGTTCAAGCTACCGAGCCATCTGACCCGCCGGTTGGTCAATGCGAAGCAAATACTCTAACGCCGCATGATCTGTCCGAACAGTAAACGCGCGGCCGTACAGATAGGGGCAAAATTGTTGAACAAAGTGGACAACGGTGAGCAGCTCACGACGGGTAACACAATATCGCTGTTTGGCCGGTGACAAGACACGACTCCCATAGGCGATCACAACCTCCCTACCCTCCTGAACCTCGGAAAGAATAGCCCCGACCCCCACGGCGCTAGCATCCATATCTAACACAAAGGGAAGCGAACAAATGAGGTATGCTAGGGGTGGCGCTTCTGTTAGATGCTGGCGCAGCGTCAAGAACGCGTCAGTCTCCTCCTGGCCCGAAGGGAACGCCTGTCCCTTTGCTGTGAGTGCATTGAAGGGCTTAACAATGGTGGCAAAATTATCGACAAAGCGGCAGTAGTACGACATGAACCTCACAAATCTGTGGACCACGGTCACGGACATGGGAGTGGGCCAATCACCTACGCATGCCGTTCTGTCCGGATTCATTGCGACCACGGATGCATTGACGTGACCCAAGTACATAACAGAGGACTGAACCAGATGACATTTGGAGGGTTTAAATTTAAAGTTTGCGTCGTGAATTTTCGAAAATCCCTGTCGCAATTGGGCCAAGTGTTCCTTGAATGTGCGACCAAAGACAATAACATCGTCTAAATAGATGAGGCAGGACTCCCACTTTAACACCACAAGTACTAACAACATCAACCGTTGTAACATGGCAGGAGCTGTCCGCAAACCCATAGGGAGACAGTTGGATTGAAAAAGACCTTAGGGCGTCTTGCACGCAGTTTTTGGTCTAGATTCCTCATCCAGTGGTAGCTGCCAAAATCCCATCAAAAGGTCTAGGGTGGAGAAAAATGTAGCCCCTGTGAGCGGATCCAATGAGTCATTAATGTGTGGGAGCAGGTAAGCATCTGCCAAGGTGACTTTGTTCAGGCATCTGAAGTCTACTCAAAACCGCAGGGTGCTGTCCAATTTCTTGACCAGAACAGCCGGTGCCCCCCACGGACTCATAGATAGCGAATTAATGTCCGCCTCTAACATCTCCTGCATTGCTCGCTGTACATGCTCTTTTTTCCGTAGGACTAATCCTATCGGCGTTCTGTCTTATGGGTAACGCATCACCCATATCAATGTGGTGTTCTATCAGCGTAGTGCAAATGACATCATAGGGACCCTTGCTGAACACATCACCGAAGTCGTAGAACAAGGTCCTAAGCTCCCCCAACTCCTTCTCTGACAGAACAGTGGTCTGCTCCAGGATGTCGTCTCTCCAAGACACATTTTCTACGCCGACCAACAGTTCTCCCAAATTTCGATTTAAAGCTTTCGTGACTGCAGGGATTCATCTTCTTGGTTCTTTCGGTAAAGTCACGTAGAAGGGAAGTAATAAAATAATAACATAATAAAAATAAAACATAATAAAATAATTCTCACGACGTTTCGGCCACAACGCAAGCAGCCGTCCTCAGGTGAAGAATGAAACACCACCAAGCTTGGAGCGTATATTTACGCTGGGTTGGAGGGGGGGAGGTGAGAAGAAGAGCGCCTAGACAAAATAATTTGCATATCAAGAGGAATTTAGCATATGGAAAATGCGTAGGAGGTGGGCGGGGGGGTTTCAAATTAATATTATGCCCGTGCATTATGCAGGATTAGCAGCATCAAAGGGAGGGGGAAGGGGGGTAGCATTAACAAAGGAAAGGAATGTTAATAGTATGTAGCTGCAGTTGCTAAACAACCACATAAAAAACTAAAATATAAACTACATAAACAACTAAAGTATAAACTACATAGCATCATCAGTATACTTACTATACTCTACAATAAGCTGAGTTACTGACAGTAAGTAATACATTACAATTCTACGTCGTAAAAATTATATATGCTTCCATCTAAACTTTGTTCTCTTACATCACACGAGTCTACACCGTACTATATACTGCCATAGACAAACCCAACATTAAATTATATACTGTATTGCTATAAACCACCCTATACCTTATACATTTTAATATAACACTATGTATGGGTAGAATAATACATAGTGTTGTGGCCGAAACGTCGTGAGAATTATTTTATTATGTTTTATTTTTATTATTTTATTATTGTATTACTTCCCTTCTACGTGACTTTACCGAAAGAACCAAGAAGTTCTCCCAAATCCACGTTATGAACACCCTGTGCATCGGAACATGAACCCATAGGACTGACATGTGCAAAAAACGCCCCTTCCTATACCATTGTGGGGGTGTCAGCCGTGTTAAGAACTTGTAAAAAAAGTGGCTGATTGCTGCGCACGAGCGTGTCAGATGCTGCCAAACAGTGGCAAGCAGCCACCAATGGCACCGTGGACACTACGAACGGCGAATTCCACCGGGAAGTGACGAGCGGGGTGTGATATCGCAAAGGCACCAAGACCTGAGCACCCAGCGGGATCAAGACCGTGGTTCGCACAAGCCCCTGAACCCGTGAAACTTGCTTTCCCCCTCCGCCCGGACACAAAAATACAACCGACCTCCGACAGAGTTTCTATACAGCCTTCCTCGGTCAGGCACAGGGGTATGCGACTCAGAAAATCCATACCCAGCAAACAGGGAACCGTGAGCATGCTGGAGACCAGTACCAGTCCCCGTGTCTCCAGCTCCCCAATGTGGACCGGCACTACCACTTGCCCTACGATCCCCATACTTTCCCCATTTGTGGCTATATACCTCGCCTGAACTGGCTACTGATGATGCTGTCCCTCTGGCAAAAAGTCAAAGATGCGCAGGGATATGATGGTGGCTGAGACACTCGACCAACATGCGCATGTTAACCCCTGCGACCGAACCTACCAACACTGATGTCACGGCCATGGCCGCCACTACCCTTCTCGCGAGACGACACCACTTAGTGACTGTGTCTGGCCACGGGGCCAGACCGGCTACGGGAACTAGTGACACGCCTTCCAACAAATGAGATGCGTGAAGAGGTGAATATGGGGTGGATGGTTCTGTCCAGGTGTCTGAGGTGTGCGCACTCGCCTGAGTTTAGGCGGCTGCTGGTGAAGCCCGCTGATCCGAGCTGGTCATATTCTTAGGTTTTTTCGGTAAAGTCACGTAGGTAAAAAAATAAAATTAATAAAAGTAAAAAATATAAGTATATATATTTATTATTTTATTTTTATTTTACTTTTATTAATTTAAATTTTTTACCTACGTGATTTTACCGAAAAAAACCTAAGAATATGAATCCTTGCAGTCACGAAAGCTTCAAACCGAGCTGGTCATCCCAGCTGCCACCGTCCTGCTGCGGCATCCGCGAGCGATGTGGCCCTCGTGACCGCAGTGATGGCAGATGACTTCGCACCTACCCGGGAGCGTTGCTTCCACCTCCTGAGGTGCCCAGCATCATGCTGGCCGCTCTGCTTCTCGAAGTGGCTCTGGCATCTCGATCGCTCGGGGTTCCGCGTCGTCGTCGAGATGTTAAGCGACACGTGCCACAATCCACATGGGTCCCGCCATCTCCTCATAGGCCTGAAGATGCCATGCGACCCAAAGTGTTATGCGGGCTTCTTCCCCCACCAACAGCAGTACCCCCCTGTCTTTCATACCATGGTAAGGAGATGCTCCGCCACCAGCGAGTCCAGGGACGGCTCGTCGAGCTACGTGAATGTTGCTTCTGCCAGCAACAGCAGTTCGGTCTTAAAGACTAGGAGCGATTCGGACGCGTCCCACTACCAATTCAGAATTTTTTCCGAGCCCCGGATGGGGGTCACACATCTCCGCCATATCGATTGTCTACTGCCTGTGGGGATCCCCTTTTTGCGGCCAGGATCGGCTTCTAGGGCCTGTCCACCTCAGTGCCCGGACCGCTGTCTCGAAACGGCGAACAAAGTCGTGCCAATCCCCAGTTTTGGACGCGAATTTCTCAATCATGCCCAACTGGCAGCCGCATCCCCATCCGCATTCCCTGGGTCATGCCATTTGGGGCACACCTGGTTTTCTGGTCCCGGTTTGTTCTGTTGCCCCTTGCTCGGCCGTCTGCTGGGACCCGCATACTCCCAGTTTCCTGTTGCTGCTGTCGGCAGGGGCGTGGAGGATTAGATAGGGCTTGCTCCCTGGTCCTGCGCGGGAAGCACTGTCGGTGGTGTCAGTTGTGGTTTGTCCGCCGCTGGCTGCTGCGGTGTCCTGGATTGGGAAGGCTGCATGAGGCTTCCGCCGCCTTGCTGGGGTGGTGATGCAGCTGGAGGTCCCCCCGGGCTGTCCCCCATCGGACCCCAGCCGGCGAAGCAGCGCTGTTACTGCTTCAAGCACCTGATCCATCATCTGATCTCTGGATGATGGTCTGCTGCGGCGGTGAGTCTGCCCCACCAGGTTGGTGGACGAAGGTGCCCATGTCGGTCGGATGGCTGCCTCGGACCCTGTCGATGAGCCGGTGGACGAATCCCAACTTGGCGGGACCGTTTCTGAGCAGTGCTCGTCCTGGGTGCTGAGAATGTCTTCTCTTTTCCGATCCGCTCTCCGCACCAATCCAATCAGCATTAACCACTAACCCATTGGATTGCGTGTCGTGCACATCAGTGCTAAAACCCCAATCTCTATTCCCTGCCCGAGCGTGCCATGTGTGCGTGACGTGAGTGACCCCTGACCTCCAACCCTTCCCTGGTGCATCCCCTGTATGCGTGATTGATGTGTGTGGCATGTGTGATGTTGAGTGCAGAAGGTATGCGTGTTGTTTGTGTGGTCCGAGTGTGTGAGGGTGGGTGAGACATCCTCTACACTACTAATGATGCAGTAGATATGTCTCTGTTATCAGCTAGTGTTTATGTATGATTGCGATATTTATATTGCTGATGTTGCTACGATTAGTGATTACGTTGCTCCTATTGGTGATGTTGCTGATTATCATGTTGCTACTATTAGTATTATTATTGGTGTTATTGTTTATTTTATTAGGGACACAAGCGCTTCTGCATGTGGAGAGATTGCTCTTGCCAGAAGTGCACCCTCATCGCAGCCAGACAGAGAATCATGGCTGCACAGGTGATTATATGCGTCTCTATCAGTCTTTCTGTGGATCTTTACGACTGTATATGTGTGTGTATATGAATCTTCATGAATGTATCTATGAATATCTGTGCGTTTCTGTATAGCTCTATGAATGTGTCCGAGTAGAAGTGAAGAGTTTCTATGAGTTGTTTCTCTATTAATAATATATTATCGATACATGAGCTCTAAACAGAATCAAAATATTTCCTGGAGGAATCCGATGAGCTATAAAGCTCTTTTTCACAAATATCCGGTAGGGACGGGTCAGAACGTTCTAACAACAAACATTACAAAAACACGATAGGGGTGCAATGTACAGTAGAACCTCGGAGATCGAACGCACCAGAACTCGAACAAATCGGTGTTCGAACGATATTTCTGAACATGTTTTGCCCCGGAAACCGAACGAAATTCAGAGGTCGAACGGGCAATCGCGACTTGAAAGAACCCGTACGGCTGAGACGCGTATGGCCAGCGTGCATGACGCTTTCAAACAATAACACCACCACTTCTTCCTCCTCGCCACCTTCCACTCAAGCCATCAACTCTCCTTACTACAGGTAAAGTGAAGTTCAATGTTCATTTATTTCATTTATTTCAGATATTTATTAATTTATTTATTGTGTTTCTTATTTTTTTGTATGATTTTATGCATGTGATTACTGTAAACTTCGTGTAAAAATGCTTTATAATGAGAGATTTCTTGTGTCTGGAACCAATTCATGTCATTTACATTCATTCTTATGGGGAAAATTAATTCCGTGTTCAAACAAATCGGTGTTCGAATAGCCTTCTGGAACGAATAAAGTTCGATCTCTGGGGTTCCACTGTATAGGAAAGGTAAAAAAGTCATCTAAAATATGCAAATTAAACTTTTTTTTTTATCTTACCAGGTGAAGGCCAGATTTGCTTATTTTAAGAAGGGACCTGGCCACAAGTGAAAGCTACACAAAGTGGAAGTTGATCGCAACAACAAAATTATCTAAATACTGTTATCTAAATACATCTTTCTAAAGATCAAAATGTATCTTAACTATATCTCCATGTATATATATGGATGTTGATTATGGTATATTTATGTACATGTGTAATAAGCGGGCGCTATCTCTTGCATGATTGGGGGGTTACGCTTTATATAATGTCAGACAGTCCAGGCCTTAGCAGTAGTGGGGTTCTATCTGGGGGAAAGGTTAATGGGCGCAGCTGACATGGAAGCCTCTGGAACGTTCTCGAAGGTTCCTAGAGGGGTGTGGCCAGAGGCGGGGCTTAGCCTCGGAAAAGGGAATATAAGCGGGGAGTAGCGGAAGGTTCGAGGTCGGTGGTTGAAGATCGAAGAGGAGCTCCCTGTCGCTGCTGCCCTGCCATCTCCACCAGCCGCTCATCTGCTTCCCAGCACGCCACCAGCGAGCGGTGCGGTGGAGAGCGGGGTGAGCGCCACGTGACGCGGGGCAGCGCAGTCACGCCAAGAAAGAAACAACGGCATCCACGTAACGAGAGGAGTCGTGGCTGTGAAGAACCTTTAATAAATAAATGAAGTTCTGCCGTGTCGGAGTCACTTATTACAGTGGTGTCAGATAGTGGACTTTTTCTGGCGGCGCTCTATGGAAGACACGATATCCAAGCACCAGAAAAAGAAGAATCCACCTCCGGTGTCCTCCTCCGACGACGACGAGGCGGTGACGCAGCTCCTGCCGACCCCGGGTCCCGTGGTCCCGGTTATGGAACCCATGGCGGGTGCGGATGTCGCACCTGCAGCAGACGGCGCAGCGGAGCTTCCACATCAGCTTCACCCCGACGACCCGTGGCGGAGGGTGGAGACACAGCTGAGCGCTTTGACGACAGCGCTTCTCCACCTTGTCGCTCTCGTCACGCCGATTGCTGCTGGAGGAGGTCCGGTGGTGGACCGTCCGGGAGCGGACGAGCAGAGGGCCGGCGACGGCACCTCGGAGGGTGCTCCCTTGGCTGAAACGGTCGCCATTCCAGGCAGGGTGGAGACGGCCACCATTTCGCAGTCCCCGGCGACCACGCGTCTCCCGACCGCCATTTTGGACATCGCAGAGGTGAGCGGTGGGGTGGCTGCCATTTCGACGCTACCGCGCGGCGGGTCGCCGAACATCACGACACCCGCTGCGAAGGAGAGCGCCCATCGGCTTCGACGCCTGCCCCAAGTTCGAGAGTTCGTGGCCGTGGGGGGTGACTGGAGTGCCTTCAGGTGGCGCTTCGAGGCTGCCTACAAGTCGGTCCGCTGGTCGGAGGAGGAGGCGTTGATTGCCTTGCCCACCAGGCTGGATGACGATGCATTGGCCATTTTTCGTTCCATCGCCTCGGAGAAGAAGAAGACGCTCAAATAAGCTTTTGCTGAGATGGCGGAAGTCTACAAACCGCCAGATGACTGAACACGAAAATTTCAGCACCGTAGGCGTGGGAGCTCCGAGTCGCCCCTCGCCTACAGAAGCGCCTTGATGGCATTGGCAGTCGATGCCTACCCTGACGTGAAACAAGAGATCTTGGACGCGCTGGTGATGGAACGCATGTTGGCGCTGGCGAGGGACATGGGAGTCGTCCTTCCCACGTGCGGCCACGAATTGCAAACATCTCTGTGAGCCGCGCGCTGGCTGAACGCACACGAGAATTTGAAGAGATGGGCACAGATGGCCGCGTGGGCCGGGGATCTGGCTCGTGATGGCCAACCGATCGGCTATAGTCCATCCAAGGTGGTGGGGATCTCCGAGGAGGTGCCGTCGGCAAGGGACGTCGCAGCGGCGGTTCTCCCATGGAACCAGCGACGGAGGGATGGTCGGCGTCGGCATCTACCGACCACGGCGGGACGACGATCTGCTGCACCAGCGGCCTCCCATCACATGCTTCAGATGTGGGCGCGTGGGCCACTACTCCAGGGAGTGCCGAGCTCGTCCACCATCACCGTCCGAACCGCCGACCGCGTCTCCTGCAGCCGACCGATTGTCTTTACTTCCCTCTACACAGGCGAGTTGGCACATGTCGGGCACCCGGGCACGTTTGCCACCTCATCCATCTCATGTCGTTCGGACGGGTCCATCACATCAGGGCGGTTCGTGTGATGTTCCTTGCTCAGGTACCGTCGCGAAGGGGTGGCCGACCTCACAGACTCAATGTAAAAAATTGTCACGGAGGGTTGTTGCCGTGTCGGCGGGATCCTCGACAGTTCTGGTCACTATTCAGGGCGTCGATGTCCGCGTTTTGGTTGATACAGGAGCATCGGCCACGATAATTTGAGATGTAATTTTTCAATTGTTGTCCATCCCCGTGTCGCAAGTCCGTCCGGTGTACGATGTGTGTGTCACTGCTAACTGGGGTAGTATGGATATCATTGGCCAGGTTGATGCATGTATCGCCATTGGCGATGTCCAGGCGTCCGGTCCTGTGTTGATTTCACGCACTTTGGCCGTGCCGTGTTTGTTGGGCATGGATTTTCTGTCACGAATGCCGCTGAAGATTCTCGTGGACCAAGGCTGCCTTGAGCTGCCTTCAGGTCGCAGGGTGTGTTTTTTGTCGTCGCCGCTCCCTCGGTCGGCATCGGCCATATCGGTTCAGGCGCTGGTGGATGCCACCACTGTTCCGGCGGGTTCTCAAATCTTGATTCCGCTCCATTATTGCAAGGAAATCTGTGGTGAGAGCGCGGGTAATGGTGTCTTGTTGACACCTTCGAATACTGCTATGCAGGGTTTGACGCTGGCCTGTCCTCAGACCATCCTCTGCACGGGTCAGGCTCCATTTCTACAGGTTTTGAATGGGTGACCTGGCGATGTTGTTGTGCCCGCCGGTACTGTTCTTGCTCATGCCACTACTGCTTTCACCGATCGCGAGGAGCGCACGTCGGGTCGAAATGTATGTGCTGTTGGGAAAACGTGTCCTTCGGACGATCGATGAATTACTGGGTTGTGTAAGGAGAACGCGTCACTGTCTCCGGCTCAGCGTAGCGAATTGCGCGGGTTGTTGTCAGAATTTTCCGATGTTTTCAGTAAAGACGATTTCAAATTTGGGTCGAACGTCTTTGTTGTCTCATCACATCGATACGGCTGACGCTAGCCCCATTCGCCAAAACCCACATCGCATGAGCCCATCCGAGAAAGAGAGTGTGCAGCGTGCTGTTGGCGAGATGTTGGCCGCTGACATAATTGTGCCTTCTACTAGCCCGTGGGGCACTCCGATTGTGTTGGTGAGGAAGAAGGATGGGAACCTCCGTTTTTGTGTTGATTTTCGGAGGTTGAATCAGGTCTCCGTGGCAGAGCGTACCCTCTGCCACGGATGGACAATTCCTTGGATGCTTTGTCCAGAGCGCGGTTTTTCTCGACTCTTGATTTGTTGTCCGGGTTTTGGCAACTGCCCCTTGACGAGTCTGCAAGGCAGAAAACCGCGTTCCGAAAACCGCAGGGCCTTTTTCAATTCAATTGTTTACCGATGGGGTTGAACGCCGCTCCTGCCATGTTCCAATGGCTGATGGAGCTCATCCTAGCCGGTCTCCAATGGGACACGTGCTTGATCTATTTCGACGATGTGATTGTGTTCAGCCGTTCGTTCGATGACCACCTCATTCGGCTTGGCACCGTTTTTGAGCGGATGCGCTCGGCGAACCTCAAGTTCAAGCCGAAAAAATGTCACCTCTTACAGACTTACGTACAATATTTGAGCCACATAGTCAGTGCGGAAGGTATCTCTACCGATCCTACGAAAACGGCATGCGTTCGTGACTGGCCAGTCCCCGCGAGCGTAGGAGATGTATGGAGCTTTGTGGGCTTCGCCTCCTATTATTGCTAGGTTCATTCCTCGGTTCGCTTCTATCGCCAAACCATTGCATTCCCTCACAGCTAAAAATCAGCAGTTCCACTGGGGACCGGAGGAGGAGGCAGCATTCAATACCCTGCGCGATTGGTTGTCTGACGCGCCTAATCTCGACTATCCTGATTTTTCATCACCATTCATACTTGACACCGACGCAGTCCTGTCGCAGATGAAGGGAGGCGTCGAACGCGTTATCGCCTACGGTAGTCGGGTGCTCTCGCCGGCAGAAACCCGCTGTGTTACACGACGAGAGTTGCTGGCGATCGTTCATTTTGTCCGACTGTTTAGGCCCTACTTATATGGAAGGAGATTCGTTATCCGCACTGACCATGCAGCTCTCCAGTATTCATTAAAGATTGAGCAGCCAGGCGGCCAGTTGGCACGCTGGCTTGAGGGCTTGCAAAAATTCACATTCGATGTCACTTACCGGTAAGGTGTCCGTCACGCCAATGCTGACGCGTTGTCGCGGTTGTCACGCGCCTCGCTGTGCTTGCAGCTCTGGTACGAACCGCTGTACTTCTCATGACGTGTCTCGTCGATCTGTCATGTCCGCAGTTGAGACACTCCCGGACGAAACGGGGATTCCGCCTGCCGACTGCGTATTGTGCCTTCCACACTTGGGTATGGTTACGCGAGTAGTTATCGGACGACTCCTTGACTTCCTTGCGGCAATGGCCCGTGCCGACCGCGGGTGATTTGAATCCACGAGAGCTTGTTGATGTGGCAGGACGGGATGTCTGGCTGGCTTCGGCTGATTGTGCCAGAGTCTCTCCGTGCGGGGTTGATTCATACGTTGCATAGTGAGTACCTTTTCCATCTTGGTGTCCAGAAAACGTTGCTCACCCTGCAGAGGGATTATTTTTGGCCTGGTATGACGTCAGACGTCACTTGTGCACTCCGATCGTGCCACGATTGCGCCAGGAGGAAGTCACTCGGGCAACATTACATTCCCCCCTTGCAATCCATATCGGTCACGCGCATCAATGAGTTGGTTGCCCTCGATGTGTTAGGTCCGTTTCCTGTTACACCTCGCGGGAACAAATTTTTCCTCGTGGGCATCGAATATTTTTCTCGTTGGCCTGTGGCTTGGCCCCTGCCAGATCAATTGGCTTTGCCCATTGTGGACTCTTTCGTGAATGGATACGTGATGGATAAAGGGGCACCGGAAAAGTTACTCACCGAGCAGGGTAGAAACTTTTCTTCCAAGTTGTTGCACGACGTTTGCGATGCCTTGGGGACCAGGAAAATTAGTACGTCTCCCTACCATCCTCAGACGGATGGTATGGTTGAGCGACTGAATCGTACCCTCTCTGCCATGCTATGCCAAACTGTCAATAAAAGGCAGGTCGACTGAGATTTGCAGATACCTAGCGTCCTCTCTGCGTACCGGATGGTGCCACACGCATCCACGGGGTACTCGGCGTTTTTCCTCATGTAAGGAAGGGAGAATGTGCTGCCGGTGGATGTCCAATTGGGCTCCCCAGTCATGCCGCTAAAAACAAATCTTCCTGAGCATGTCCAGGAGTCCCTTCGACGGCTTTCTGAGGCACAGGAAGCCGCCAAATTTAATACCTCCAGGACCCAGGCACGCAATGAACGTTGTGCTCGGAGTTCCAAGGGTGACATGCCATGGTCTGTTGGTGATAAGGCTTGGCTTCACTGCCCAGAAGTGCCCATTGGCACCTCGCCCAAGCTCCACAAACCATGGCAGGGCCCTGTAAAAATTGTGGAAGTTTTTCATCCGCAGTGTGTTCGTATCTGTCACGGCTGCCATCGTTGGTTTGTTCACCCGTCGCGGTTGAAACCATTTGTTGCTCCGGTTGGGTCATCATGATCTCCAGCAATCGGTCTCCCAGTGCCTGACGTGTCCAACCGACCTGCAGCCCCTGTGCAAGGTCATCCTCCTAAGTTGTTGTCTTTACCGCCCAGAGCGCCCATGAGTGAGGCGTCAGGACCGGCGGACGACCCTGTTCTGCCATGCCCACCTGCGTTGGACCCGGCCGTGCCGCCCCCTCCTGACCCGCTGCTGCCGGCTGCAGGAGCCTCCGCGTCGATTCCGGCTCAGGCGGATGGCCCGGCTACACGGACACGCTCCAAGACGTTGCGTTTCTCCTGAGGAACTCATGTCTGCTTGCTTGCGTGTCGGGTCCCTGTTTTCCGTCCCCTTGTTGTTGTTGTTCGCATGTTGACCATTTCTGGTGCTCCATATTATTTGATATTCCTTGCTTAGCTGGGACGGCTAGATTTTTGATACGCTGGCCTCTCACTGTGCAGCAGCCAACGCCTCAGCTTGTGTTGCCCACGAGGTGGCGCTATGCCCGGTCCTCTGACACAGACATGCTATCTTCACTAACATCGCCACCGCTGCCCCCCTTTTGCCTCGATGTAACGGCAGCTCTCGCTGTTCAATAGGCTGTATGTCTACGACGAAGCTCATTTTCCCATTGTGCTCGTTTGCATTAGCATGCCAATCCTCCTTTGACGTGACTGCTGTGCTTGCTTGACGACGGTGCTGGTGTGCGACTACAGGGCTCATTTCCCCATTGTGCTCGTTTGCATTAGCATGCCAATCCTCCTTTGGCGCAGCTGTTGTGCGTGTGCACGGCGATGGGACTCTTTTCCATCTCAGACCCCGCCTACTTGCCCTTGGGTGACACCCACCTCAAACCCATATATAACCTCTGGTTGCAACAGTTCTGCTGCCGTGTCTTTCTGCCTAATGATGATTGCTTGTGTTGCGATCGAAACGTCGTGATTTATTATAAATTTTTTCTACCTACGTGACTTTACCGAAAAAAACAATGAGTATAAAAAGCTACGTTTTGATCACAACACACGTGATTGTCATCAGGAGGAAAGAAGGGGAAAGCTGCTGAATGCAGACTGCTTTATAGGGTGTAGTCCTCGGGTCATAAATGAAGTGGGCGGGGCTAGAGCTTCCCCCCTCTTTCCTCCTGATGACGATCGCTTGTGTTGTGATCGAAACGTCGTAGTTTTTTGTTTATTTTATATTTATTTATTTTATTAATTTGTACCTATCTACGTGACTTTACCGAAAGACCAAAAGAAAAAATATTACGTCTTATCTCTGTTCACCTCCATGAATCTATTTTTATAATTATGTCTATGAATCACTTATTTAAATGCATCTATCATTCCCCCGCACCTCCCGATTCCTTTGCCCGCACCTCCAATTAGTCACGTACGGCACGAAAGAAGTTCAACATAGTACATACATGTGTATGAATCTCTATGAATGCAACGAGTGAAGACGCTCTATAAATATATAAAATAAGATCTATTTGAATATATATCTATCTATCTCTATGAATCTGTTCGTCCACATATGGTTATCCGTTCACTTATATGTATCTCTAAACATCTTTATGTATCTCACTATCTCTACGGATCTATATCATTTTCTTAATAATTTCAAATTCTATAAAATGATCTTTGTTAATAATGTAATGTATTTCTATAAATTTCAGCCATGAATATTTGTATCTATTAATTAATTATCTCTGAATTTCTATTAGTTTATTTATTTATCTTTGCGAATAATTTTAGGTATCTATTTAATCATTTCTTATCTCTATCATCCTGTATCTCAAATATTTGTTATCTCTCGCAATCGCAATTAATTGTTAATCTCTACCTCTGGATTTGTACTAATCATTTATATGAATCTCTATTCATCATTTGTTATCGCTCTGAATATATATCAATGCCTATTATCAATGTTATACCCTGATGGATGTACGATATCTCGATGGATGTACAATATCTCGATAATCTGGTGATACTGTGCTAAGCAGATCCATTGTCCAAACACATCACCTATTACATATTTAATATATTTTGCCCTTTAAGAGCGAGTTATTGAAGAATGTGTTGAGATGTGTACAGTATCTATGTGAATCAATTGATATCCATGTACAGTATCTTTATTAAGATGATGTCTTAATAATGTATCACTATGTATCTATGAATGTATATATTATGTTAAACATACATTTTCATATATATAAATACATTTATATCTATGGACTTCCAAATTATTTCTAACAAATGAACTGCTGTGACTGCAATATACTGTATATATTTCTATAGGTGGCTCTCAGGAGACAACAGGCTCAAGAGGAGGAACTGGGCCTTCGGGTCCAGGCGAGGCAGGCCTCACCCGGTGCGCTTGGCCACAACATGGCGGCCGTCACCCAGTCAGGTTCGTCCTGATGGCACCGTAGTGATGTCATCACAATCCCAGCGACACGGCCTTGATGAACCCAATAACTCGTCATTATGAACCTGACACACGTCCATTATGAACATATCAATACGCCCATTCTAGTTCCACTGACACGACCACATTGCACCCAAATCACATAGCCATTATGGACCCAGTGACAGCAATTATGAGCACAATAAAAGGGCCATTCTGAGCCTGACATGGACATAATGCACCTACTGAGACGACCGTTGTGTACCCAACAGCAATATTGAATTGAGAAAGGTTTTTGTAATAATTTGAGGGAAAATAACCATAGGCATCACCATCATCAAAGTGGAGCAGTGCGAGGGGAACAAAAAGACAAGTGATGTAAATTTCAGTGTGGTGTTTATACCGCGTGTTTATTGGCCATTGGCACTTTAGGCACTTTGTAATTTACTCCCATTGTCTGTCATAACTTTGCTCAATGTAAGAAAAGTGTTACTACACTCTTTAAGTGGTACATACTGGCCGATGGGCGTTTTAGTCCTTTGGCTTGTGCTCCAGAAATGTATTTGTATACGAAACCACATCGGCCGATATAACAGGCCCCCCGTGACATCACTACCACCCTTCCCACCAGATTTTCCAATGGCTTCGCTTTCCCATAACGCACCGGTTCATGGGGGTCGTGACCTTTTCGCCGAGGGTGGGACCTACTACGGGGGGGGATGTCACGGGGACCAACAGCAGTTCCTGCCCCGCCTCGTGAGCCACTTCTACAGTCATGCGGCGGGGACTGGGCTTGGACTGGTTTCTGGCTCCGTGATTGGCTCAGGGTCCGCGGTGGGGGCGGGGCCAACAAGGGAGATTACCCCGCCCACTTTCCTTGCGACGTCAGAGGGCGGATTCTGGCAGGTAAACAAAATAACATGAAACACTAGAATCACAACTTAAAGCTTTCGTGACTGCAGGAATTCATATTCTTGGGTCTTTTGGTAAAGTCCCGTAGACAGGTTCAAAGAAAATAACAAAAAACTTTGACGTTTCGATCACAACACAGGCAATCGTCATCAGGAGAAAAAAGAGCGGGAAAGCTGCGGAGGTAGGCTGTTTTAAAGGTTTGAAATGGGTGTAGAAGGTTCATAAACAAAGTGGGCGGGGCTAGTGATGTTAAAGTGAAAAATTTGCATGTAAATGTAAGATCGGAGAGCTACCTCCATGACGACGAAGGCGCGGAGGTGGCCATTGTATTGTTAGAGATTAGCATGTCAATGTAAGATCGCAGAGCCACCACCACATCGAGGACACGAGCGACGGTGGCTGTATTAACGTGAGACATTTAACCTGTTAATGTAAAACCAGAGAGTCGAAAGTAACTAATAACATCGGAAAGTAGGATTGAAACATCACAGCCAGTTATGACTTAAACTGGTTAATAACGTCCTTCCAATGATTGCTAAGTTTGTACCCATCTTCTCGGTCGAAATTGTGTCTGTGTCTATATATATGGATGGCTTCATGAACTAATCTTTGTTGATAGCCAGTGGGCTTCCAAAGTACCTTCGTCTTAGAGAAATCTATTTCGTGTGAGCCCACCGCATTAAAACAATGATCAGCCATGGCCGAAGTATTGGTCCTACTGTGTTTCAGATCTGCCTTATGTTTACGAACACGGTCCGAGATATGTCGTTTAATCTCTCACAATACAATGGCCACCTCTGCACCTTCGTCGTTGTGGAGGTAGCTCTCTGATCTTACATTTACATGCAAATTTCTCACTTTAACATCAATAGCCCCGCTCACTTCGTTTATGACCCTTGGGCTACACCCATTTTAAACCTTTAAAACAGCCTGCCTCAGCAGCTTTCCCGCTCTTTTTTATCCTGATGACGATTGCTTGTGTTGCGATCGAAACGTCGTAGTTTTTTGTTATTTTTGTTATTTTCTTTGAACCTATCTACGTGACTTTACCAAAAGACCCAAGAATACTAGAATCACAATACCACCGCAACAACCACAAACCAACAATCCTCCTTTACCCCTCTTCTCCCGCCACACCCCCTCCCAAACCCACACGACCCCTCCCCCTTTCTCAACTACTGTGCCGTACTCCCTATTTCTCCTTCACCAGGGTGGTGGTCATTCCGCTCGCCCCCTCTACGGGGGGGACAGCAGTCGTGGTCACGTGACCAATTATCCGGACAGCAGCAACAACAGCTGTAAGCACACGACTAATCAGTTACACTATACTAATACGTTCAGTAACACTCGCCGGGTGGAGGTGAATCACACAACTTTGACTTAAAACTTGCGTGACTGCAGGAATTCATATTCTTTGTTTTTTTGGTAAAGTGTACCTAGATAGAAAATAAAAATAGTACAAAATAAAATAAAAATAAAAACCAAAAACTCACGACGTTTCGATCACAACACAAGCGATCGTCATCAGGATGTTGTTTTTGTTTTTTTATTTTTATTTTACTTTTCTTTTTTTCTTTTCTATCTACGTGACTTTACCGAAAGAACCAAATAATAATCACACAACTGTGAGTCTTTCCTGGAGGCGTCGAGGCTTGCCAGGATAATGCAGTACAGTACAGCAAAAAGATGGACTTTACCTGTTCAGTGAGTTTTACCTGGTTGCGCCCGTTACCTCCCTTATGTACAATACTGTACTCATTAATCAGCTGAACAGGTCCCTGCGGGGTGGGCTGGTAGGAACGAATAACCAAAGAATATAAACATAATGTATTATTAGACTTGTTTAGCCAGGAAAGCCTCACTGAGTCTAAAGGTTTGTGTAGGGTTCTGCCAAGTGTTTGCAGTAGGGGGCGATGTTGCTACACCTAATCGGACGATACGAAGGGAGAGTTTGAGGCCTAGTATTAGGCTTTAGGCCTAGCTGTAGGCTTTAGGCCGCTGTGAGTTAATTTTTAATTTAAATGTTTTAATTATTAATGTGAAAGCTTTAAATTTAAATGTTTCTATTTTAAAACATCAGGGAATGTAACATTGTTAAACATTAACTCCCTTTCACACACGCGGGGGTACGATACGAAGGGAGAGTTTGAGGCCTAGTTCTAGGCTTTAGACCTAGCTGTAGGCTTTAGGCCACTGTGAGTTAATTTTTAATTTAAATGTTTTAATTATTAATGTAAAAGCTTTAAATTTAAATGTTTCTATTTAAAAACATCAGGGAATGTAACATTGTTAAACATTAACTCCCTTTCACACACGCGGGGGTACGATACGAAGGGAGAGTTTGAGGCCTAGTTCTAGGCTTTAGGCCTAGCTGTAGGCTTTAGGCCGCTGTGAGTTAATTTGTAATTTAAATGTTTCAATTAAAAACAATGTCAGGAAATTATAAGGGAATGTTACACTTGTCTCGCCAGGAAAGCCTCACTGAGTCTAAAGGTTTTTGTAGGGTCCTGCCAAGTGTTTGCAGTAGGGGGCGATGTTGCTACACCTAATCGGACATCGGACGGACGGACGGACGATATAATCTATTGTAGGCTGGTTCACTTCGTTCCTACCAGTATAACACCTTCATATATTGAGAATAACAGAGCTTGGAAAAGTGTAAATATCTCTGGCTCACCACCTGGCTGCTGTGGTTGCTAGCGCCTATAAGTCGTTTTCAGTTAGTGAGTGAGTAAAAACTGCGCATTAAAATGTTGATAACCACTAATTATCTTCTTGGTTCTTTCGGTAAAGTCACGTAGAATGGAAACAATAAAAATAATAAAATAAAACATAATAAAATAATTCTCACGACGTTTCGGCCACAACGCATGCAACCGTCATCAGGTGAAGACCAGGTCTGTCGGGGAGACAGTCTGAATGAAACAGCACCATGCTTGGAGCGTATATTTAAGCTGGGTTGGAAGGGGGGGGAAGGGCGCCTTGTTAATAGTATGTAGCTGCAGCAACCCAAAACCACCACGTAAACAACTAAAGTATAAAATACATAGTATCATCTTTAGTTGTTTACGTGGTGCATACTATTAACACTCCTTCCCTTTATTAGTGCTACCCCTATCCCCTCCCTTTGATGCTGCTAGTCCTGCATAATGCACGGGCATAAGTAGTACTAATCACATACCTGCATTTCCCATAAATATGCCCATAAATGTGCTAAATTCCTCTTGATATGCAAATTATTTTGTCAAGGTGCCCTTCCCCCCCCTTCCAACCCAGCTTAAATATACGCTCCAAGCATGGTGCTGTTTCATTCAGACTGTCTCCCCGACAGACCTGGTCTTCACCTGATGGCGGCTGCTTGCGTTGTGGCCGAAACGTCGTGAGAATGATTTTATTATGTTTTATTTTATTATTTTTATTGTTTCCATTCTACGTGACTTTACCGAAAGAACCAAGAAGATGAATCCCTGTAGTCACGAAAGCTTTAAATCGAAACCACTAATTACTTTCTCACAACTATTTAGCTATACACAGCCGATGATATGATCACCAACACTGACCGTGATGGGCCTGTGCCCACAAGATGGGCATCATTGACGTCAGTTGGTATGATGGACACGAACTGACGATGAACAACAATTACTATACAATAACTACTACCATTACACATACTATGAACGTACTAACTTTGCACATTTATACCCACAGCAAAAGGGGCAGCGTCTGGACCACAAGGGGTGGGGCTTGGGCCGGAAGAGGTGGGGCTTGGCATAGAGCGGGTGGGGCTTGGGGCGGAAGGAGAGGAGTTTGTGCCTGACCTCGGCCTCCGCGATGGAGAGGACCAGGGAAAGGGGCGCGGGCAACAACTCGGCAACTAGCAAATCAAATATTCTTTGGGTCTTTCAGTAAAGTCACGTAGATAGGTTCAAAATTAATGAAATAAAGAAATATATTAATTTTGAACCTATCTACGTGACTTTACCAAAAGACCCACAGAATATGAATTCCTGCAGTCACGAAAGCTTTAAGTCAAGAGCAAATAAAATGTTTCGGTTCGTCACCACATTGAGCATGGTCTATCCACTGCTGGATGAACAGTTTAACCAAAATCTGCAAATGATATGGAAATTATATGCAAATGTAATTCACAGCATAGTATATATGTAAATGATTTGTATATGATGTACAACGTATGCGCAAATTATATGCAAATGAGATGCTTGTTTCTTCATCATGGTCTATCCACTCCTGGATGAAATGTTTCAGCAAACAAGATGCTACTTTCGTCCTATAATTTTTTTCTTGCGAATATGTTCAGGAGATAAATACCAATATTGAAGTCCATTGGCCACGAGGGGTTCAGGAAAGTGTTTGTGTGCAGACTACAAGGGTTTACTATATTGTCCATAATGGTAGTTGCATGGCCACAATCACATTGTCAAGGAGATGTGTAAATTGATCTGTTGATGCAATTGATGGTACACAGGTGACTGAGGAATGTCACGGCCCTGAGGTGTAATGTTTGGGTCTCAAATGAGGTGTTTATTCTGGACAGCCACTTTCCACTCTGTTCACCAGCATTATTCCAGAAATAGGTGAGATTCTAGGATAGTAACAGCATGATCTCAGAAGGGGGATCGGAACTTGAGTGGTAGCGAGGTACATTTTTGGGTCTTGGTTGATGCTTAGGTTGTCGTTGGCAAGAAAATGTGTAACCTACCTCTGCGGATATGCGGTGGCAGAATGTATGTATGTATATTGAACTTATTTCGCACCGTATGTAACCAGCTGTGGCAATCGTAGGTGCGGGATGTTTGCCAGAACTGGGAGCCAAGGGATTGGTGGCAGTTTAGGTGTTTGGGTTATGATGCGCATAACGATATTTAATTGTGCATCTAGCAGTTTTGTGTACGAGCTCCCGAATCAGGCTGGAGCGCAGTACTCTGCCACTGACGTCAAGTTTCTGGAGCAGGATGATTCTTGAATGTTTTTAGAGATGTGTTTTTTGTGGGACTTAAAGATCAGGCGTATATCCATGATAACCACTATATAACTTGGAATAGCGCTCAGGGTTATTTGCAGAAGGGTTATTTTCAAACGGCTTATTTGCACATCAAGGGTGGAATTTGCTGTATGATTGTTGAGGTGGAAAGTGCTTGTGGTTTCAGAGGAATATTGTTGGAGTCTGTGGTGATGGAAATATGCTTCCAATAAGATTTGATCAGCTATTCCTATAATTTGCACCTCTATCGTTTTTTGTATTATTGTTGTAACTTTTTGAACTGCCCCTACTGGATTTCTCGAGGATGAATACAGATTCCGATTCTGTTCGAGTATTGGCAATATTCTCGAGGTTTGTGCCCTGTGCAAGCAAGGACTATGTGGTCTGCATATATATATATTTGTGTGAAGAAGTGTGTGGCAGGTCACATGTTAATAATGATGGTGCTACTATCGAACCTTGCGTGAAACCATTTATAATTCACTTGCGGCTGTGTTTACCAATGAGATGTACCCTGAAAGTATGGTTGCTGGGGATGATCGTGTTGATTCGGTGTACAGTAGAATGGGATCTGATGATTTTGGCCCACTTTAACAGCAGGTCATGATGCCAAACTGTGTCATAAGCGGCAGAGCAGTCAATCATTGCTGTGCTGGTTTTCTGTTGATGCTGGAACTAGCTCATATAAGGGTGGTGAAGGCAACATTTTTTTACAGCAGCTATGGCCAGTTTGAATATGGCTGGTTTTCGAGACAGTTGGGAGTCGATAATGGGTAAAAGTCAGCTTGGAGGTGGAGCACAAGAACGATATTGGCCTATAGCTGTGTGGGTGAGTATTTCTGGGTTTAGAATGGCAATGACTCTGCGTTGCTTCTATGCCATCGGGGGTTTGCCTGGCCTGTGTATGACGTTGAAGAGCTTTGCAAGCCATTGTCCATATAATCTCATGTTCTTTAGGAACTCAGGACAGAGTATCTGTGGTAGTTGACTTTAGGTGATTGTGAATTGTTTTCAGACAACTTGTTTGGTGAGCTTGTATATTGGTGCTTATGAGCAGGACAGCATATGGGAAGTGACAGCATTTGCTGTAGTTGTCTGAGGTCTATGCTCTGTTATTTTTTAGGCACCTAGGTTGCAGTGGAGCTGCCAAGCTTGATAGCCGGAGTAAGTGATGTCCAAATCTGCAGTTACATCTTCCCAATGTTTTCTTTGTGCAAATGTTATGGACTCCGAAAAGTGGAGTGTCCTTGGTTACTAGTTCTGACGAATCATTTTAAGACTTATGTTTCTGCTTGCCAATGTGATATGTTTTTAGATACCCCTCAAGATATTGTTTTTTAATGGCAGATGTCAGAATGTTACTGAATTAATTGATTCAGGCTTTGGCTTCAGGCTTCAATTTATTTTTCGTAGCCAGGCCAGTTGGCCTTCTGAATATTCCAACGTGGCCTTGATTTTGATATTATGTCCGGTATCAGTCATCCAATGTGCGTTACTGCCTATCTGTGTTGGCTCTTTGGAAAATTGCCTCTAATTGTTTTCGATGTAATTAGTGGCTGTCCATTTTTTGTCATTTGAGATGAAGCATAAGTCTGGGTTAGAGACCACTTTCCATCGGGCTGAATGAAATGTGCCCAGCTGTTTAGGGTTATATATAAAGAATGTGTCTTGTGCCGATGACCATTCCTCAAGTTTCTCTCCTGCTGTGTCATTTTGTGAGTAGCCCCATTGTGTGTGGTGGCGATGCTATTTTCCCTCCTAGCAAGTCACGTTTAGGTCTTGGAATTTATTCAAAGGCCTCGTCTGGTGGACATTTGGCCCTTAGCTGGGCCTTTTATTGGCATTAGCTCTATTGATCATATCTGGATTCAAATTAATGACGTTCATTTTGTCCAGATGACAGTATTAGTTGTGTTAACATCCCCACCCCCTCCCTGTAACATAATATGCAAATGTGATGAAAACTAGATGCTAATTTCAATAACTGTCATGGTCTATTCACTGCTGGATAAAATGTTAAAGCAAATGAGATGCAAATAACATGAAATTATATGCAAAATACAATTATTGCATTTCAATTATGGTATCCACTGCTAGATGGAGATCAATATGATAAAGTTTCTAACTTGTGTAATTCTAATATCAATGTTATTTTATTGGTTAGGAATAAAAATGTCTTCTAAACTTAATATATCATTTAACATAATCTAAGAGTTTTAAACAGTTATTAATATTCCAAATAGACATATTAATTCATCGATATGGTTAATGTTTTATAATTTGTAAGTATGATTGGGTTGTGCATTCATTGTGTTGAAAAAATTAACACATAGGTTAACATTTTTACATATGGTCACTCACCGACCCACTCGGGAATCGAACCCGGTAAATATCATGGTCGTTGTCGATTCCTCTTGGCGCGATCCATACCAGCATTGTTAATATTCAATTCGATAGAGCGTGATCGGGACCAGAATCGATTCCACACACCTGTGATGACGTCAGGGTTATGGGTTAGGGTCAGGGATTAGGGTTAGGGTTATGGGTTAGGGATTAGGGTTAGGATTAGGGGTGAGGGTTATGGGTAAGGGGTTAGGATTAAGGTTAGGGGTTAGGGTTATAGGGTTAATGTTTTAGGGTTATGGGTTAGGGTTAGGATTGCGGGTTAGTTAGGGTTAGGGTTTGAGTTAGGGGTTAGGGTTTGGGATTAGGGGTTAGGGTTAAGGTTTCTGGTTAGGGTATTGGTTCGGGGTTACGGATTAGGGGTTAGGGTTATGGGTTAGGGGTCAGGGTTGGGGGTTACGGTTAGTTAGGGCTAGGGTTAGGGGTTAGGGATTCGGGGTAAGGGATTAGGGGTTAGGCTTAGGGTTTAGAGTTAGGGTTATGGGTTAGGTTAGGGGCTAGGGGTTATGGTTATGTGTTAGGGGTTATGGTTGGGAGTTTGGGTTAGGGGTTAGGGTTACAGTTCGGGTTAGGTTTAGGGGTTAGGGCTTCGGGTGAGGGGTTAGGGGTTATGGTTATCGGTTAGGGGTTAGTGTTAGGGGTAGGGAACGGGTTATGTTTAAAGTTCGGGGTTAGGGTTAAGAGTTAGGGTTAAGGGGTAGGGTTATGGGTTAGGGTTTGGGGTAGGGTTAGTATCCTATATATTAGACTAGCTTTACTACCCGGCTTCGCCCGGGACTTGGATTCACCACGCCCGGCCGCCTTTGTCTCCCCAGTGACGATGTTCACACACCACACCAGTTACTCGTTTGAGGCTGAGTCGACCTAGGGGAGGCCCAGGTCCGGTTCAAATAATCGTCACCGGTGGTGGCCGTGAGTGGGAATCGAACCCGGGTCGCCGGGTTCATAGCGCAGCGCACAAATCGCTATGCAGTCGCTGGTTTTATTAACAACTTTGTTTAAGTCATGGTCGAGAAGTACGTCAATGGCGCCTAGGACGCGGCGCCTGCTTTTTGTGCGAGCCGATTCCACAGTTTAGGGACCGCGACGTTTTTGACGTACACAAAAATATATAATTAAAAAGCCGTCCATGCAAACATTTAATTGAAAGGAGGCAATTAATTGATGAATTTATTCTTACAGGCATGCATTGTCACCGAATCTGAGTACGTGTGCAAAATTTGGAATTGATTGGACAACAGGAAGTAGACTAACTTTTGATTACAAGATTTGACCACGACAAACACAGGTGAAGTTAAATAAAACCGTTGAATTAAAAGTGGGAAATTTCACGATAAAATTTTCAATTTAAAAAAGCAAATCGGCCATTTTTGGCCAACATTATCCAAATTTTCAGAGCTTAATTTACCAAGAAAAAAGTGAATTCCTCCATTTTGTTTACCATTTCTATGCTACATATTACTCTATTTCGCGATTAAATTTTCATGTCCCAAAAATGAAATCTGCAGACTAACCTATGCCGTTTTTAGCAAAAATAAGCAACATTTTCACAGCTTTATTTTTCAACAAAGAGTGAATTCCTCGGTTGGGTTGAGCCTTAGCTATATATTACATTAAAAGTGAGAAATTTCACGATTAAATTTTCACGTTGCAGAAATAAAATCGGCATACTTACCGATGCCGTTTTTGGCCAAATTATTACAGCTTTATTTTTAAACAAAAAGTGCATTCCTTGGTTGTGTTAAGCCTTAGTAACCTATATATTACATTAAAAGTGGGAATTTTCACGATTCAATTTGCAAGTAAAAAAAAATAAAATCTGAATACTAACCTATGCCATTTTTGGCCAAATATGGCCAAATTTTCAAAGCAAAATTTTCCAAGAAAAGTGAATTCCTCCATTTTGTTTAGCATAAAATGCTATGTATTAAATTATAAGTGGGAAATTTCACGATTAAAATTTCACGTCCCAAAAAAAAGGCATCCTAACCTATGTAATTGTTATGCAAAAGTAAGCCAAATTTTCACAACTTTTTTTTTGCAACAAAAAGTGAATTCCTCCATTGTGTTGCGCCATAATAAGGCGCTGTAGGGAGCTGACCTGCCGCCACGTTCACGGGCCGACAGGGGGCAGCCGAGAGAGCGAGGTGGATAGGGGTTGACCGAAGGTCAAACCCCCGCCCCTCCGTGACTGGAGGTTGACACCCCAGACCCCTCAAGGGCTGAGGGATGATGGCCCCCCTCCACTTCCTAAGACCCCTTAAGAATAAAGACCTCCTAAGACCTTCCAGAAGGTTTTGGAGGGGGGGGTCATGAGGGGAGGGTGACCCCGACCTGGGGATAAAAGGCCAGCCCTCGGGACGTTCGTGGCAGGACTCACCAACTCAAGCTTGAAGAAATCTGAAGATCTGAAGACTGGACCATCGACCCGAGGACCCTCAACCGTGGCTCTCGTAAGCCGGTTGTAGCAGAGCCGAGGTCGCTCGGACCCCTGGGACCCTCCCCGAGGCTCTCGCTAAGTCGGGGTTCGGGGTTGAAGCGGTCCAAGGCGAGTCCCGTACCCTGGGTGGGTCGGTCGGTCCAGCCTACCCCTAGTCGCCGTCGCAAGGGACCGGCGTCTGCGTAGCCCAGAGTGGGTAGAGTACGCTAGAAGGGAGGCTGTTAGGCCGTAAGGTGAAGACGTTTTACGTTTAATCCCGTTCCCATATATGGGGCACTAAATTCTTTTCATTCTAATAAAAAGATATATTGCTGTTGGCCGTGAAAATAAAAGTTCTCCATGTCTAATCCTGCAGTTTATTTTTTATTATTGTTTAAAGTCGGCAATATTTCTTTCCTCGCGTAATAATATTTTGATCATCAGTGATGAGGCTTTGCGTCACGTGCTTCCCGCTAGACCAATAAGGTGGCTGCTTTTTGGGACGAGAGGTAAACATTAGTCCAAGATGTCTGCGCCCTTGTTGTCAATGTCGAGTAGTGAAGAGGAGGAAATTACGGCCAGACCTCCTACAAAAGTCAGTAAAAAGTATTTTAAACAATGCTACATGCATCTCACATCCATAAAGAAAGAAGAAACAAAGGATTTTACACGGACACGGGGGGATACATTCAGAAACTGCGTCAAACGGTGGCTTTTTTTGCAAGGTGAGAATCGGAGAATAGCAGAAACATACAAACATTGTCTAGAAATCGAGTTTGACAATGTTCCCGAAGACACTGGGTTTCACTCCACTTGCTACAGGCGTTTCATTGACAAAAAGCGCTTGGATGCGGCCGAGAAACGGGCCACACAGCGTCCTGAAGCTCAAGATCAAGGCCAGTCTGTGCCATCGGGTAGTAACGTTAGTATCGCTGCAGTTGATTGTCCCGCAAAAAAACTTAGGTCCAGGACCGGCCTGCCAGTAACTTGTGCTGGTCCTGTGCGTTCTGCCTTGTGCATAATTTGTAAGAAAACGGACAAGTACATTACTGTGGGAGGCAAACGCCAGACGGACCATCTTTCACAGGCAGAAACGTCAGCACGTAGGTAAATACAAAACACACACATACACACGTTTGAACTTTTATTCCCTTATGCTGGGTACCATGGCTAACTTTCAATTACAATTACATAATTTATGTAATGTTTATTTTACAGTCAGAGACAGATTTGCATTGTTTTGCATACAGCTACAGCCAGAACACTTAATATTGTTTAACTCTTAACACAGTTTTTTATTAGTGTAATTAGTTTTTATTTATTTATTTACAGGCAATTTGCTGAAAGCTGCTGAGATGAAGGAAGACACTAGCATTCTTGTGCATATTCGAGACAAAGACTTGTGTGTCTCTGGAGGTGCGATACCACAAGTCCTGTTATAGACAGTACACCAGGTTCTTGACAAAGTCTAGTGCATCAGTTACTGTGACCTCAGAAGAACAGTGAGTTAGCAATATTTTATATTAATAAATATTAATGAATAATTCCCTCACATTTTCACATTTCAAAAGTAGGAGGTTGGCCCGTGATTTCCCCCAGCTGGTGTTTCACTCCCTCAAGAAGCGCAACATAAGTGAGATGGTTTTCGTTGAGACATTGTCTGCAGATAAGCTGATAGACAGGCTACCTCATCCATCAAGTACAGAAACAACAGAGTCAACTGAGGTAACTAGCGAAAGTGACTGATGACCTAAATGTGAGCGAGGCAAAATCTGTCATTCCAATTGAACTGTACAATCTGATTTCCTGGATTATTGGTGCAACTGAGGAACCAACACTGGCCCATTATGTTGATATTCCAGATGATTTGAAACTAAAAGTGATATGTATCTGTCAAGACATTGTGTATCTTGCATCTAAGGGTCGGAGGCAGACCCCTAAATCCTTGTGTCTTGGTCTAACGGTTCGCCATTTAACAGGTTCATCACAAATTGTGTCACTTCTAAATAGACTAGGACATTGTGCAGCATGGGACACAGTTGTCAGTCTAGACACTAGCCTTGCCCAACTTCAACTAGTAGAGGGCAGAGACAAAATACCAAAGGGATTCTCAAAGAAGGTTCCTACAGTACTTGTGTGGGACAATATTGACTTTGGGGAGGAGACACTGGCAGGTCGTGGAACTACCCACCACACAAATGGGATTATGCTGCAAAGTTCTGTAGTTGAACCTGTGTCAACAACAAACAGACAACCACTACAGAAGGGAAAACCCTCATTGAAAGTACCCCCTAGCATCCCTGTCGAACAGTACCATCAGTCTAATAGACAAGGACCACAGAACTTGTTTCATCAGGAAAGTGTCCCATTACAGGCGGACACATACAAATTGAACACGGTGTCTGCTGTACAAACTGAACTGGCATATGTTTTTGTAAAGTCCATAGATGCTGAAAGATGCACAATACCAAGCTGGACAGGTTTACATACATTACTTCAAGGTGATGGCACTCTGCAAAAGTCAGCACTGTATTATCTTCCAGTCATTGAGGCTTCACCGACAGAGATGTCAACAGTAAACACAATTCTGAAGCGAAGTGTCCAAATTTATAATCAGCTAGAACTGGACCATATAGTGTTAGTTTTTGAAAAAGCTATATATGCCAAAGCTCAGCAAA